GAAGAGGAGCCAAGACGATGATGGTAGCCAAGTGGCACGTCCTACAAGAACCGGCTACTGGACATGGTGATGTTTTTTCTCGCAAGACATTCTTCACACCATTATTATGATAACTTTTGACCTCTTCACACTTCTGGACGCGATCGTTGTGCAACGATCGATGATCCTCCTCTCGACTTGTTTTATCGCACTCACATCTTCTTCGCATGCTTCCCGGGTGCTGTTGCGAGAGGCAGAGAGCTTTGTCGATGAGAGGGCATGCGAGGGCAGGGAGGGCGGCGTCTTAAATATTAGCACCTTAAAATGATTTATGTAAGATGATGATAAGGAGGTTTTCATATTATTTTCGGTGTGAATCTCGTAAGGTTTCCTTTTCGCTCGCCTCTGGACGATTTTCTTTACATAGTTGGTGTGTTAGTTATGGAAGAAAGGCACTTGATCGTGGGGACGCGATTGTGAGAAAATGCGCGACGATGTCTTTCACATTGCTCTATCTTCGTGAGCCATCGAGAGTTGGTACAATATTTGCCAGGAATTCACAAACGCTGCTATTGACTCTGGCCGTCCAAAACAAGAGTCGACTTGCATATTTTCAACGTGGTCTCACCCAAAATGCCTAAATGCTTAAAATATACACAATGTGGCGGCTTTGGCTACATTGCGTTGTCATACAGTCGGAGAGTTTACACACATATCCGCTTAGAGACACCAAATACAGCACACATCCGACACTAAATAAAAGACAGACAAAATACACTACGGAATATTCTTGGGTCTTGCTAGGGTGAAGGAGCCAATTTGGGGCAACTCTTCAGCTTTGTGGGGTTGATGATTTTTAATTGAGGTATTTTAATGGCTGTAGAAATTCAAAGTTGGGAGACGAATAGACTCGTTTGTCGTCTTCCCATTAGGAGAGGACTTTATTGGCATTCCTGGAAATTTATCATGCTTTATTGCCAAGGCGGCATTTGTGGGTCTCGGTGTATTGATCATTTTTTTCAGCGACTATTAATCCCCACGATACAATCGTTTAGTGGCACAAGAGAGACATAAAATGTCTCACCATAGCCAAGAAATGGCTGCAAGAAGTGGCTTCATTTGTCAATCCAGTGAGTGAAATGGCCAATTAAAGTGAGCTAAATGCATCAAATTGCTGCATGAATTTGATGTCGCGAGCGTGACCAGATATCCAGCATCGTACCTTAGCTGGTGTCCATTGAGAGACAGCAGCGCGCCTAGGGCGGAGGGGGAAGAGATAAGAATTGATATGGTAGTGCACGAGAGAGTTTTCTATAGCGTATTTTAGCTCTGTTTGCACATCGCGACTGAGCTCCTTCGTGGCGCGTCCTTTACTCTTTTTCCGTCCGTCCCATTCCACATTGGCAAACACTGAGAGAATTTTTCCTATATATGAACACTATACACACCGTTCAGTACTCTTTCGCCTTTCCACCTTCCCTTCGCCGTTGGATTCTACCCGCCTCGCGCGTTTGGGATGTTTAAAGAACGCGCTTATACATATTTGTACTGTAAATGGTAAATGTTATGTGAATAGCATTAAAGGAATTCTCGCGGATAAAGAAGAAGAAGGGAAGCCGAATGTGTGTGAGCGAGAAGAAGACTTGAGTGGTAAATAGTTTTTCCGTCAGAGTTAGCGAGGAACGAAGGATGTTTTTCTTTTTCTAAATAGATAGAAAAAAAAGGTTAATTGAGAGGGAAATTTCCAATCACTTTTCTCGCATTAAAATGCATCAAAGTGGAGAGTCAAAAGTATATAATTTCCATTTGATTATGAAAATATATGCGTGTTTTTCTAGCATGTCGATTTTTCTGTGTCATTTTGCATGGAGAGACACGGTGCTATTCCGTTAATCAGGTGATTTCTTCCGCATAAGATACTCACGAGACATGCCACGGAGATTAAAGATGAGGTGAGAAGAGTCACAAATATACCTGTCAATTGAATGCATGTGTCACAGAGATTTAATCATGGTGAATTTATTCGCATGGCCTTTTTTATGCGTCAGCCAATATGTTGTTTTTTTTTCTTGAAAATGTCGCTGGAAGATGTACAAGAGATAATCATAGGCGCAGATTCGTGGTTGAGGCTGAAATCTTATCGTTGAAGCCAAAACCACGGGAATTAGCAATGTGTGATGATGAGAAACCACGTGAAAAATGTGAACTTATTCACGTGCACAAAATGAAAATGTCGTGAATTGATATTCAATTTTATTCTGGCTTTCATCTTTTCCCCTGACATTTGACGGCACGCGGGGCGGTTCGACGGAGGAGGAGGAGGAGGAGGGAGGGGGAGAAAGGTGTGTGCTCACACACCCCTCAAAATGTTGGACAGTTTGATCGAAAGTTACTACGAGGATGAAATTTTCGATGTGGAACATTCAGAATAAAATCATAATATCAAAAGTATATTTCCCATGGATAAACACATGGCGGAAAGGGGTGGGCGAGGGAGTTGATATGCATGACGAAGGGCGTAGAAAAAGAAGACGAGAAGTCTGGGGAAGTATGTACAGTAAATAAATTCACCTGCTATTTTTTTTTCACATTTCACCCTGTTCGCCTTTTTCCGTGTGTATACGACAATTGCGGGGAGGCGTTCTCTGAATTATATTCCATCAAGCTCAATCAAATGCATACAGCGCTATGTATGGGCTTGGGTGGTAAAAGTTAGTCGATGGAGTTGCAATTTTAGCCACCAAACAATAAATAATAATAAAACATTTGATTTGACTTTGATCGCTTTTTGAAGGATTGTTAATCGAAAAATGTTGTAAATGTTGAACGAGTTTAAATTTAAAATTCCCATGGCATAAATGTGCTTCTCTCGGCGGAAAATTCTGCAATATACGTAATGTGGAGCCCGTGTGCGCGTGCATATGTGTGCCTTTTTGAAGGTTTTCCCGCGGTGGGTGGTGTGTGGGTAGGATGCCCCTTTTTTCTGCCTGTCACGGAATAGAATGAGTGATTTCCGGATGAATTGAATAACTCTCGATGGGGTGTAAATTTTATATATTGTACCGTTCGCTCACTATTGTTTAGTGTTGCTGAATTTTCCCTCCATGTGCGGAAAAGGGGGCGGCGAAAGGGGTGGCGCGGTGTGGCACTCTGTGTGGCCCGGAGAGTGAAAAGCAATTTTCGTACGCGAAACTTTTAGAATTTCTGGAATTTCTTAATTCCACTCTCAATTCACTTCATCTCTACGGTCCTCTGGAAGCTCTGCGTCGAGGGTTCGATCGTCTCTTTTCATTTTTCCTATGTCAACATTTTCGAAAATACCATGGGTGGGTGGCTTTTCATTTTCCCTGAGCTCCGATCCGGAGCAAATTCCTCCTTCGCTCTTTGACAAAAATTGATGGAATGTCGGTTGTTGAGACAGTCCTCTTGCAGAAAACTCTTTTTTTCTTCTTCTCTCTATCTGCCTCTGATAAGATTCTTTGGTTGTTGAATTTGGAGATTTTCACTTGAATTAGAAAAAAAGGGAGGGATTTGAAGCAATATCTTAGCTCTCAAAATCTGCCTCTCCATTCTGAAGGAGAAACAGAAATGAAAATTGCATTTCAACCCTCGTGATTTACTCTTCTCTCGTGCACTAAGCATTTTTTGTATTGTAATTTATGTATGAAGATGTTTTACTCTGAGGGAAAAAGGAAAATGCGAGCCAGAAAGGAATATTCGGAATATATAGAGGGAATCCATTTGTTGCAAAGTCACTCTACCTACGCTTCTGCTCCTCCGTCCACCAAATAGTGGGTGTGGGTGGCTTTTTTCCTCACTAAGAGCTCTCGTGTGGAAGTGAGGAAAAAGGCGTCCGACGCATGGCATGGGAAGTAGAGAGTGATGGACAAAAAATGGGTGATGGAAGGAAGTGGGTGGGTGTGAGAAAAAAGCAGCCAGAGAAAGTATTTGATGATCCATATAAATTCCAATTTGCCTGCTGTGTTCTCTTCTCCGCCACATTCCTCTACGCATCCCCAATGTCTGAGTGGGGGTGAGCAGCTTTTTTTTTTATTCCATCCCATTCACTCCCACTATTTCACTATTTTTCGAAAAAAAAAGAAAATTTATTCAAGAAATGAAAAGTGTAGCGAGAAAGACATTTTGTTGAGGTGGAGGAAAAGTGGATGTATAAATTTTGACCTCTTTAGAATTTTCACATTCATCACTTCAGTTGTTTCTCACACTTGATTGAGGTGTTTTCATCCAAAATCGATTAAATTGATGTGCAAAATTACAATTTTTCGCACGTTCCTGGGAGTTTGTGGAAAACCTTTTTGAGTTGTGAGCTTATGTTCTCCTAAACAGCAGTTGAATTACCTTTTGCGACTCCTCTAGATTGAATCAATTTCGAGAATTGTTCTATGCATTTTCCGAGGGGGTGGTAGACGCTTGTCAAGGCAGAGGGGGGGAAGGTGAAAGATTTATGTGGACGGTATTTTCATTAGCTTTCCATTGACGACAAAGGCAAAAAAAGAAACAATTCGAAAAGGGAGAAGAATGAGAAAGAAAGTCGTAAAGGTTCGCGGAGACAAAGAATTCCTGGAGGAATAGAAGGACTTTCTCACCCAGTGAGTTGGGGTGGAAAATTCGAAACGAGAGGGGTTTGTTTTTTTTCCGGGCGGCAGGAAAACCGAAGACAAACATCAAGAGCGCCAGAGCAACAATTGCGAAATGAGTTATGTGGGTGGGCGCGCGCGAAAAACAGTTTGGGTGGGCGAAGCAGGGCCGATGTCAGTGCTTGAGACAGAGAAAATGTAGGATGTGAAGAGCAAATTCAATTTTCCTCTTCTATTTTACTTGCAGTATTTTCCGATCCTCTCTTTTTTCCCTTTTAAAGTTCAATTTAATGCCATTCCAACACACACAAACACACACACACAGGTTTTCTCAAGGGTAGGATTGCTTTCCTCCCCAAGGCTTTAAATTGTCTACAATTCCTCATCTGCTTCACGAGGAAGGGGCGGAAAGTGAAAGAAATATTTAATGTAACAAATAATTATTTTAGCATCTTTTTTTTCTCACTATAAAATCATAAATTTTTATTTCTTCATTCTCTTCATCGCCATATTCTGTGATTTTACATTGTGTGAAATATTTTATTTAGTATAGTGTTTGATGATAGAAATAATTAAATAAGATATTCTTCTCCTAGAAAATAACCCTATCTTGCCATCTTTTTTTTCTATTTTGCTTTCAAGTGTTTATTTTTTTCTTCTTCTTACATCTAATACAAAAAATTCATTTATATATTTTTTTTCCAGCATTTGTGGTTGGTACAAAAGAAAGAAGTTAGTTGCTCTATATATTTTTTACCACCTTGGATAATAGATTTATGCTACAGTATATTCATAATATAATAATTAGACCCATGTAAAAATGAACTAAATTAGTCACAATGACGTTTACAATATTGTTAAGTGCTTTGCTATTATTGTATATTGTTTGTTGGGAGGTGGGCTGACCAGAAATCAATTGAAATTTTATCCTCTCTTCAATTTATTTATTTTTTTTTAATTAATACAATCACACACACATCAATATATTTTTCTTCAGTTTATTCACATTTTCTCGCATTTTTCCTCACTTCTACACAATTCGAAAGTATCGAACACCAAAAGACTTTCCTCTTCGTTAGCTCATTTCTTTGAAATACATTGTTAAAGACAGTGATCAAGTATTAGCTATAAATTTGTGGTAATTACTATTTCTCTTGTTTTTGCTTGTTTAGTCATTAAAAAATGGACAACCCTCAATTTATTTTTCCTCTAATATTTACTTAAAAATTTAATTATGAATGTTTTATATATTTTTTTTTATACATTTAAATTACATTTACACAAAATAATGACAATTAAGTGAAATATAGGTATTTTAATTATGCATCTTCTTTGTAATATGTTCTCATATATAAACAAGATAGAATTTGTGAATTGATTATCTCTTCACTTTTGAATTATATTTACAATATCATGGGTTTATTTTTTGTTTCAAATTTGAAATATATACATATATATGTGTATATATATATATATTACGAATGTACTTTAAGATTCTCACCAGTCATTCAATAAAAAAATATTAGATTGGCTTTTCAGTCGTTTGAAACAAAAAAAATGTTGTAACTGAAGAGTTCAATTAGTTTAAGGAATTTCATAATTCATCCTATTTGTTTTTTTCGTTGCATTAATATCCGCCCCGAGGGGGTGATTATTACATATTTCATTTCTCATCTAACACAAAAACAAGTTGATTTATCAACTGTTTCATTTTATTAATCAGTCTTGGCTTAAAGTAAAAAATGAAGTTTATTGAAGATTTTCATATTTACTACACTATTTCATTCTTCGGATATTTCCTATTTGCTATTTATTGTTTTCATTGATGGTTATTCTCTGTATTATAGTTTCTTTATGTTATATTTAGGTATAGTGTATATTAAAATGGGGGGTGGTAGAAAATGATTTGTCCTCCTCCTCAAGAGACTCAAATTTTGGCGCATTTTTGATTGATTTTCTTTGAAAAGATTCGGGTTCGTGAATTTTCCTTATTATTTTCCTTATATTTTTTTTTGGTTTGCGAAGGAAGACAAAAATTAAATACGTTTGGAGGTGTATAATAAATGTGCAGTTTTCCTCTGACTCGATGCAAAATGGGTGTCTCTCTAAATATATACGAAATATATTTCACGCAATAATGAATCTCTGTGAGTTGCCAGAGAGTGAGCGCGTCTTGTAAGAATTATAGCTGAGAACTGCACTGATTTGGCAGTGAATCAAATGTGATTTAAGAATCTACCTCATTTTCTCTCTTGAAATTAAATCAGGCAGTGAATGCAAATATTACAAATTCACGCTATTACCGCTATATTTACTCTCGAAATTTTATATTTTATTTCTCAAGTAACACTCCCCAATGCGTTTTACACTCTGCTTGAATTTCATTTTTACATTTATTCGAAGTTTCTCACTTTAATTGGTTGTCTTACTTCCGTGAATTTTGTGTGGGATTTTGGAATATCTTTTCTTTTTGGGAAAGACTCTTTTTTTTCTTTTCTTTTCTTTATACATTTTAAACTCTACGAGTTAGAGCTCTTTTATATTACTCCACCTTCGGCGATATGTCCATGCTTGCAATGCTCTATGGGTTTTTGCTTTGCTGCTTGTTTTTCTTGAGCTGTCCACAGAATAAATGAAAACCACTTGGTGCTACACTAAATTACTTTTTTAGCATTTCTTAGTATATCTCTCTTTCTCTCTCTCTGTTATATATCCAAAATAATTAACTTACTTTTCATTTTCTCTCATCTCTTTTTTTTAGTTCTTCTTTAAATTTATTATCACACCATGTTTTTTTTGCAATTTAAACTTTTCTTGTTGCATATAGATTTTTAGTTTAAGTAATTCTCTCTTAATCTTTTTTTTTCTTTCTTTCTTTCAAACCATTTTTTCATCTCTCATCTAAAGGGGTTCTCTCACTATTGAGCATGTCGTGCGTGTTGTCAAAGTCAAAGGGATTTGTTGGCTGCCACAAAGGAGGGGGAGGGAAGATCTCCAGCCAGCAGCACAAGAAGACTCTCCGCCATTCGCGATGAAGGTAATTTCTCCCTCTCATGTTTTCTCTTTCTGCATGTTCCCTTCTTTTGGGGGGTCATCATTAAATTGCTAATTGTTCTTTGTAAACTTCAAACTTAGCTACGCGAATCGTTACTTTCACTCAAACTTTGGTCACTTGACTCACGTCGATTAACAATTGGTTTGGGCTTGTACTCCGTGATCACGACAGTCACGGAATTCACGGTGACCTCGCGTGTCTGTGCACTCGAGCGATCGACATTTTTCAGTCGTGCGAACTTCTTCGTGTGTTTGTGCTTGTTTCGCGAGGACATTTTGGCGGACGTGGAGCCAGGCGGCGGTTTGGGGCCTGTACCATTGGGCAGTCCTGACGATGCTCCGGGAAGGGTGGCAGCTTGCTGGGCAACCAGGGCCGAATTGAGGCGCGGTTTTCGCGTTGATGTACCTGGCGGAGAGAAGGCAAAGCATGCCAAACGATAGAATTACATTAGGCTTAGTCATGTGGCGGTGTGGGCGAGATTGTAGAGATGAAGAGGGATGACAACGAGATCATATCCCATGAAATGGCTCACGCCGAGCATTAGTCCGTTGCATCTGAATTGCTGAAGGGGTGGCAGAATGCATGGACTTGCCACTCTCTCCCCCTAAACATGGCGTCCGTCCCTGCGTGAATGGATATGCGCATCTCTGTTGTTTTTCCCAGCGAAAACTCAACTGAGAGACGTGTGCTGTTTTGGGGGCGTTTGCCGGCCGCGCTCCGGAGGCGGCATTTGGCCAGAAAAGATCGTGATTTTCCTGGCATTGGAGCGTTTTCGAGGAGCGGGCATTTGTTTTCGAGCAATTCGCGCGCGATACAAAGCAATTGTCGAGCGACTGAGGGAAAGAGAATTGTATTGATTTATTCTTGGGCCGCCAGAGATCGAGAGAACGGTTGTTATTTCCGTTCTTGGACATGTAAACAACTCGCACGCGAATATGCCTAAAATTCACTGAGTCAGTGCTTCTGCAAATGTTGCTGAAAATTCCTATTCCTGCCACATTTCAGCACTTCCCAACAGCAATGGGAATACTTTCGGGGGGTTCTCTATGCCTGTCGCCATAAAGAGAAAGAAAGATTGTACGCGTGCTTCGAGATATTGGAGTGGAGAAGTTTATTTCCGTTCCCTTATCTCGACCAGTGATTTCTGCCTCTGAAGCACGCCACTGAGAGAGAGAGCGCGCTATGGGAGGAATTTCTGCCCTCTGTCCATCACACGAGCTCTTGTGACCGTCTTTCTTTCCAAATGAAAATGGACATTGCGGGAGATTAGGAGAGATCTCTCATGAGATCCGTCCTTGTTAGGGAAAAAAGGCGCTTGGCCGGCATCTGGTGTCGTTTTAGCGAGAAGTGCTCAGCCTCTGGAAGGGCGTAGCTCCACTCTGACACGATTCCATGGTGTTTTTCTTCACTGGAGGCACTTTTCCTTGGACTTTCTTGGCTCGAGAGAGTGTAAGAATGCGAGAGCGAAGGAAGGAGCCTTGAAAACGTGGATAATTTTATTGATTTTCACTGTGGGAAGAGGCAAAAAAGAAGGGAGTGTTTCAATGATTTTTTCATCTTTTCAGACACTTTCTCCACACTTTTGGCCAATATTTCAGCATCTCTGGCCAATCTCACTGTGGCCACATCATCTCTGGCCACTTTTCCGGGCTCTTTTGACGGGAATTTCAGTGGGAATTGGGCAAAATTTCACTTTTTCTGCCACGGTTGGCAACTTCAATGGCGCACCAATGCATTCAGAAGTGTGTTCCACAAATCAACTCTCTCAACTTCACTGGGCATTTTCACTGGTGCCGAGTGTGCCGGAAATGGCAAAAGTCCCACTGGCGAAACCGGCAGGAATTGGAGAATGTGGGCCAAGGTACAGTGGAGGCACTTTGTCACTGGTTGATGAGAATGAATGGGCTTTTTTGTCGTCCGGGGGGCGCATCGCTGAGATGGTAAGATTATGAAGTGCACTAACCTTTTCGTACGTCACACATTAAACACTTGAAAGCCTCTGCCGTATTTCTATACGTGCATACACTGCAATCCCAGAAATTGTCCTCTAACACTTTAGATTGACGCTTTGTTCGACGAATTGGTGACTTTTTGTGATCCATTTCGCTACACTTTAACCGCGATTTTGTCAATAAACTCGCGAATATCTGACATTGTTAGACGGCCATGTTAGTTTTATAACTTTGCGTGTTTCTCCGTGTCGGTGAGAAAGAAATGGGGTCTCTCTTTCTCTCTCTCCTCACCTCTCGGAGAGTCAACTGTGCCTGGGTGGGCATCTGTGGCTGTTGGTTGGAAGCGAACAGCTCTACAGCTCGGGCACAGTCTGGCCAATTTGAAGCTGGCTGCGGAAGGGAGAGAACTACAGTTCACGCGAGATGTTCGCCATGGAATTAGAAGGTTTATGGTAAGATAGTCTCATGCAGTTGTTCTGTTTTACTATCTTTGAAGATCACCGTGTGCAGATCGCTCTCAGAGACGACAGGACAACTGGACTGGACGACACAGGATAGCGTGGAAGTGAGACTGGTGAGAGATGTTCCATCCATGCGTGTGAAATCTTCCCTGGACGTCTCCATGTGAGTGTTCGTTCAAGTCCGTGAGATGTTCGGTGGCAGAGCTCAAGAGAACATACACAAAACAACTCACAGAATCGAAGGCATAGAAGAGGAGATGAATTATTTTCATATGCTACGCGAGAGCATGAAAAAAGGTAAGCAAAACATGAGAGAGGGAGAGACGTCTCCTGCAGAGATTCATTCCCAAAGGCGAGTGCGAGGAAAAAATCTCGCTTTTTGGGAAACGTTTATTCCAACAAGAGACTTCCAAGTATTGCGAGAGACTCATATCTGACCGATCCGGCTTTTCTGGCCAGATTCAGTGGAATTCTGTGAAGTAGGGGAGATTGAGACATGCCATGTGTTCCCATGAGAGAACATTTTTCGACCCAACACGGATCTTTAGTCACCATGATGGGAGATTCCTTATCAAAGTGCGCCATATCGCGATATGAGGGGCGACTTCCGATGTAAAATAGTTGGCCATTGAGTGGCGGGTTAGGCAAGAAATGAATGGCGGTTGCTGGATTTTGAGGCATTTCCTGACCACTGGTATTTCCGGGCTCACTGAGAGAGACAACGTGCGGTGCGATGGCCAGTTAATCGGATTTTATATGATCCATAAAAATCGTTATGTGCTCATGAATCCATAAAGGGCGCGTCAGAGGTGGGCGGGAAGAGGCATAAGTAGAGTTTCTTGCCCAGTGCAGGGAATGAGGCCATGGCGAGCGCTGTCTGAGGAACAGGGAGGAAGGAATATTCAAGCGGGTTGGATGGGCGAAGGCGGAAAAAAAGTGGGGAAAAGACACAAGAGTTATAATTTTTATTAAACATTAAAACGTGTAATTTTGGGCAGGTTCCTACACATAAATTTTCCCGCTTACTTTCCCGCCTTTTTCTCACACCCCGGCGCCGTATTTATCGTGAGGGTCTGACGGGTGGCGTCGGGGTGGGCGGGAGATGAAAATGAAAATTGCTATACGCAATATTGAGGGAAATAATGGGGCTCTAAAGGGCCAGGAGATGGAGAGATTCACACATGCAAAAGAATTTCTATATCAGGAGTGTTGCTGGGAAATTCAGGGAATTTTCAATATTTTCATCCGCAGCGGCAGAGCTTGGGGATTTCTCTTTTAGAGTATCGTGGCTCGATGATATTCTGTTCTCCTTTTAGCATCGCATGGAGTCACATTTCATAGCTTGGAGAGACGCCACGCGAGGATGAGCGATAAGGCGAGTGAATGGGTGAAAGAAATTGTAAAGGAGTTAATACTTCTCACCTTATCCAGAGCCCCCAACCATGCATTCACACCACCCCATCCGCTGGGGATTTTTCTTTTGAGCAAAGTGACTCGCAATGAGGAGGAGAAAGAGGTTTTATAATATTAAAATACCTTTCGAGAGGGGTTTTGTATTACCAGGGGGGAGAATCTCCTTGAATTTGCCTCCACGCTCTCTTCTTGCTCTGTACATGAAATTTCCTCTAGTGCTAATCCTCTCAAGGATATACCTCTCGTTCTACCCTTCAACACTGCCGTCTTAGCTTAAGAGACTTTTCATAAGAGCGCTATGAGGGATTTAGTGAATTTTCTCAAGTGCTGCAAATATTTTTCCGAATAGTTTCACTTGTCTCAACCGGATGGGCAAAGATTGCAATATTTTTTTCTCCTGAAATGTTTTGCTACAAACATATGTTAACGCTCAGACCTTAAAGCGATACACTTTAATTGGAGGAGGTGAAATTATGAGTGGTTTTTTTTTGGCAATGCAGACGAACATTTGTGATATGCTTAATGGGGTTCATGTGCTATTGGGGTTGCACAAGTTCTGAACAAAATGGCATTCGAATGCTCAATAGAAAAGGTTTCAGATTGGGACGATTGGGACCCTCAAAACTACTGCCATTGGTTTTTTTGCATGGCTGAAAAATGATAACGCGGCCACCGACGTCATTTGGGGAATAATGAATATCAGTGTTATCTATATATTAAATACACTAATGTGTAATTTAATTCAGCGCATTAGTTTGCAGTTTAATTGTTAGGCAATGAGATAAATAAAATAATAGTATATTTTGGGGGTGGAAAAATATCCCAATCATTGAGCACTGGGAATTTACTTTGGTAACAGAACTGGCATTCGGAATTAAACTGATTTTCGCTTAGAATTCAATCTATTCTCATATCCCAAATTCATTTCATCAAAACTTATTTAAAATGTTAGTGCGTTGAACTATGATGAATGTATTTTTTATTCGTCATAATGAACACATTTTGCCATAAATATTGAACATATTTTTCGAACATCAATAGTTGGCGAGATTTTATGTAATAATAATAATTATTATTGTGAATATAAATGCAAAATGTACGCAAATACGTAGATTGAGGGGGAGTTATGGGGTGGTGATTCTCTATCCATTGAGATGGGGTGGAGTGGGGAAATGCAGTATGTGCGTTGTGTGTATTTTGGACTCTCCAATCCGACTCCCCACCGTTCTCCCTGCCGCCCAGTTTGGTGGTATAATGAATTTCTATTAAAGCTTTTGAATAGGTTTTCGGGCGAGAGGAGTGGATTCGGTGTATAGTTTCAAGAGGATGGCACAGGATGTAATGCCATGCACATAGCGGGGGCTTCCATGTAAATACATCTGTACGTGCTGTATGCGAGAGCTTTCGCCCCTCGGTCCCCACCGGCGGATACATAATAAATTGTATAACCAGGGTTACAATAATGCCGTACATAATGCGGAGGTGGGCGAGTGCATCACATGGAAGTGCATAAATAAAGTAGTTTATATATAGTGTGAGTGGAAGTTGTGGGTGTAAAGGGGGTGGTAGATATGAATTTAATCGCGTACCATCAAAATCGGTAACTTTTGCAAATGAATCGTCTTTAGTGCATGTGAATTTTTGAGAAAAATATGACAACGTGAAAGAAAAACCGTCGACTTTCGCCCCAGGATTTGTGAGAGATGTTGGTAGAAGAGCATTGGGCGAGAGATGATAAATCTTTCTCAGCAATTCTTATGAATTTCAGTGATTTCTTTTTGCACCAGAGCAAAAAAAAGAACACGAATAAACTTTCTTTCGCACTCAGATGCAAACTTTTCGCTCCTTTTTTGGCGGGGTGAGCTTTTCAATTTGGCCAAAAGTGAAGGCCAAGGCGAGAGTGTGGAGCTGAAGAAACTAATGATGATTCTTCAACAATTAGATTTTTCTTGCGCCACGCCTTCTTGATTGAGTTGGAAAAGTCAAAAAGAATGAACTTGCAAGTGCAACATTCGATCCATCAAGGAAATGTATGCCTCAAGCGAACTTTTTATCAAACTTCAATCTTGAGTTCAACCCTCTATTTTTTGCCCCCCCCCCCCTCTTTCTCTGTGTGTTTGGGGAGTTTAAGAGGAAAATGAGAAACTGCCATGGGAGATTGAGAGAGTTTGAGTGATGGGAATCGAAAGTGTATTTTTCAGGTTTTTCCCCATAAAGACATCATGAAGTGAGTGAATGTTGAGACATTGAGCAAACTCCCTTGTGGAAATGAAGGGAACTTATGCAGCAATTTTAATCAACAGTCTCGTAAATGTGTAATTATTTTAAAATAGATCCTGTGTATAGGGAAATTTCTCATGTTGCGAAGGTGCGTTTCAGTCTATTTTCTCGTCAAAATTAAATTAAATTGAAGAAGGTTAGCGACTTCATTAGTGGGCCTCATTAACCTCAGTGAGTGAGAGGTCCAGGCAATTTGTTCTCATGGCAAAGTAAGAGGAGAGTAAAAGAATCGTATCGGGAGGTATGATGTTTAATGTGTCGATGAAATATGCAAAAAGGTGTCTTAGGGGTGAGAAAAGAGCCCATTTCAGCTCTCCATGCATCGTCTCACTTGAAATATTCATAATTAGTCCACCCTCGAAATGTCTGTTGAGATAGGCCTTCGTGCTCATGATGTTTTCTCGTCTCTTGAATTTCTAGCAAACAACCCCGAGATTTCTGACACTCCGTATTTCTCCCATGAGAGAATTTCTAGGCAAAATATGGTGCCAGTCGAGGGAGCAGAGACTGAGATATGGAAGGACAATCGCTGAAGAAAATTGCTTCAATTTGTTTTACAGCTCAATCATTTCACTCTTCTCTCGCTCTGGCTCGACTTAGGCAAATTGGGTGATTCTGAGAATCTCTTATGAGGATTTTGTCAATTCGCTCAGCAAATATCGTGCGCATTTTGAATTTTAAACTCACATCATCCCATATATCTGTTCTCAATCAATTTTTCCGGATTATTCCCAGGATGAATTTATGAAATTGGTGGAAAAAGACAATCTTCATCGTGCAAAAAGGGGTGGAGAAGTATGAACATATTTTCTTTTCTACTTCCAGCATTTTCTAACCATGACACCATCTTTTTCCTCACACAAAATTCCTTTTTCCCAGATTACCTCCATTGAGAAAATCCCCATAAAGTTGATATGTGTTTTGTGTATATGTCGGTTTAATTTTCCAAATGCATCGGCCCCACAGCTGAACTTGCAACGAATTCCTTATCAGTGCAGAGGAAAGATTAGAAAGGACACGGCGCGGGAGTCATTTGGAGGAAAGCAGAGAGCAAATGACTCAAAGTTCCATTATCTCAGCCGGAGAGCGGCTCAATTTAATTTTACTGGTGGGAATTTCATGGCTTCCACAGATAAGGCTGTCTTTGCATTGAGCCCGGTGGGTTTAGTTTAGTTTGGTGAATGCAACTTTTCGGGGGTGAAGGAGGGCGGGAGAATGTTAGAAAATTTGGCGAGTTGAGTGAAAATGGATCGAAATGAACTAAACAAGAAACTTGCAGTTACATAAGCCCTTCATTTCTCCCCGTTTACATGTATGTGGGAAGGATTTATATGTGGATTTCTGACTTCCCTTTTTCCCACTCCTGGCAGCGCCCTCTTTCTAATGCTCTCGCAGGGCTTCAAATGGCACAGTTGGTAGAGGGATGAGAGATGCAAAATTTCATGAAATAATGCCAGTTTGAGAAGAATAACTGTTTGTGTTGTGAATGCACAAGGAAAAAGTCACTGTTTTTCTATTGCGAAGTGGGTTAAACTTTGGTGGAGCTTTAAAAATATTTCAGTGAAATTTGAGAAACTTTCCTCAGCCTTCCTGTGCCAACCACCTTCTGTCAGGGTGGCGGTTTTGCGTTGGAGAAACTTCCCACTCCGCTTGGGGGGCGGCGAGGCCAGGAGAGTTTCAATTGAAGAAGACGGGGAGGCGTTGAATGATGGTTTTTGGGGTTGGAGAAGGAAACAAACAGCAGCGCCTTGTACATAAATTCCAAGCCATGGGTGGTTGGGTGAGAGAGGTAAGCCTCCGGACGAAAATGTACCGTTTCCAAATGTGTACTATTTGCACATCAAATACCATACACTTAATGAGTTCACCATGTTAACAATAGTATACCAGCTTCGGTGTGGTGTGTGTACTCAAGAAATGAATATCAAAAGATTTTTCACATTGAGGAAGTTTCTAGCAGACGAAGGCAAGTGTATTTAGGATGAGTTCTAGGTTACAGGTGCCCTTTTCCGTGCTTCTCGGCTGGATGAATTGATACCCGTGACCGCGGATGTGGAGTGAAGTGTTCGACAGTGAGTGTATTTTGGCGTCTCTCCCTCGAGTATCATCACGAGGTGGGTGGAATGCCGGGGTGTGGGCTATAATGGAAGCCATACCATCCCCAACAATATGTATTCACCCTTATCGCCGTCGCCGCTGCATGAGGATGCGACAGAAAAGAGGTGGGAGACAGGCTTTCAGATGGTGCTCTCCAGCATCAAGGGAGAATTATCGATTTTCACCATGCAACCTCTACACCCACGATGAGAGAGCTTTTTGTGACAACACCGTCATATCTTCAGATTCGCCGGCAGTGTTTTCTCCACTCCCTTTTTGGGTGGGAAATGAGGTGACGTGGTTGGGGGATGAAAAAATATCAAAACATGAATCTCGTGTGCAATCTACAATATTAATTAATCTCCATATCCTTGTACACTCTCATCCAGATCCTGCCTGGATGGTGAATGCGAGCATGTCTCCCGGTGAGCCATAAATGTATGCATATCACTGTGATTTGATGCACTGCCGAGGAAGGAATGCACTTGGAATTTCCTCAAGTAAATTGATTATCTCTTCGAACCTTGTATGCAGAAGAGCAACGGAATACTTGTTTTTTTTATTTTCTCATGCTCTATCCATCATCCTGCTGAAATAACTCTTTCCTGTTTCGTTTTAGGCGACCTCCGCAAACCCATCGCGCGTCAGATGGGGGTGGGGGGGAGGGGAAAGGGGGCTTGAGACAAAAGAAGTACAACACGGAGGAGTTTTTTTTTACGGAAGATATAAGGAAGAATGAGGGATGTTAATGCGGAGAGTGTGTGGGTGTGTGTATGTGTGGGGGTTGGTAATAGAAAATTCCAATCTATTCCCACCCACCTCCACCTCTCCAACGCCTCCATCGTGGCTCGGAAGTTCCAGCGAGAGCAACACATCAGCAACAGAACACAGGAAAACTATCCGCCTGGAAGGATGTTCGGTGCTGAGGATGGTGTGTTGGGAGGAGAATTCGTAGCACAACTCCCGGAATGAATGATGTGTCTTAAGGGAGAGCAAAGGGTATGTATGGTTCACTGTGTAGCTGGGGGTATTATGTGGGTTGACTCTCGGGACGTCCTGGAATCGGTGAGATGGGAGAGAGAGAGGAGAGATATTGAGGAGTTTTTGGTGGCGGTGTTGGGCAAAAAATGAGAAAGAGATATTGAAGAGAAAAATGGTGATGCAACCCTTAAAATGTTCGCTATACACTCTTTTCCTTTAATACATTTTTTTTCGAGCTCTTCCGTCTCTCCCAAGTTTTCCATTTTCTCTCAAGGGTTGCTCTCAATTCCAATATAGAGTTTCGAGATAGGAAACACCCGATTCCCACACCACATCCAGCGCTGTGCTTATGTAGAGTGTCTGGTTTTGTACACGTTGCGGTGCTTAGGCGTATTTTATGCACTGCAATTGCAAACCTTGATGGAAAATTACAATTTTTCTCCTACATGCAATATGTACATATAATTATAGGAAAAATTAACAGGTTAACCGACAGTTTGCTGTAAAATTTTCCCGTCATTTAATATCACTTTTCCGCCTTCTGTCCGGAAAATACGAAACCCTGCATAGAAAGCTCCACATACACCTTCCTCCCCGTGGTGTTAGTCGAGTGTGGGTGTGACGGGAGTGAAATTTTTTGCAAAAAATGTGATTCGAATGAAAAGTGGATTGGAAGAGTGTGAGAGAGTCTGCATAGAAATTGTTGAAATTTTTTCATCACTTTCTTGCATACATTTCACCCATCGAAAATTCTTCTTCATTCCCTTCATTCATGATGACGCGTTCTGTGTGTGTTTTTTTTTTATCAAACGATGAGAATATCTCTGGCCACCCCCAGCGAATCAATCTATATAAAGTGGGACAAAATATTCCCACATTAAATTGATTAAATGCATACTGTGGAATTTTTCATTCTCATGGGCGCACGTCGGGGTGGTTTTTGTGGGTGAGAGAAGGGGTGGAAAAATTCAGTGATAGCAAGCAAAGGGGTGGGGAGAAGGTGGGGTTAAAATAATTGCAAGAATTCAATTTTCCTCGACATTTTTCTTCAATCCATCGCGCACTTTTTTTTCTTCACACTTTAAGATGTTGAGATGGTGTATGGGGCAAAAAACACTCAGGAAATACTTTAAAATTTTCTCAGGGAAGCACGACAGTGGAGATGTGGGGTGTGGGGAATTTTCCCAAGAGGACAAAACGGTAGAGCAACTGTGGAAATGTCATGCGAAAAAGTTTTTCCCTCGCCAAGTCTCGAAATTCCTTAAACTCAAACAATTCGTGTCTATCCTCTTTAAAATATTTCACGAAAATTCAAAACCGTTGAGAAAATTCGAGCCCAGCATACATCCCCTTCAGTTTTCCGTGCCACAAAATTCCCTATTTGCTCTGTACAGTGAGAAATGGTGGAAGAACTTGATACTTTATGAGCACGAAATGTCGTAGCCCCATAAAAAATGACATTAAAATTCCCTCGACCTGCCCGAGACGTCAAAACTTAAAGTGAATATTTGGCGTCAGTTCTGAGTGGTTTTGCGTGATTTTTGCCATACTTATAGATGCTAATGCGATGAGGATTTGTGCAAAAAATCACGAAGATCGCTTAAAGATTGTGCGATCGGTGGCCATTTGTTTTCCATGTCGATTTAAAGAAAATCTCCCTCTGAATTCCATTCTTGCTGGCGCGCCCGCCCAAGCAAGTGTGAGGACATGAGCACACGATGTGCGTTGAGGGGAAATGCCGTTCTTCATGGGGTGGCTTTTCTTGCTTATCTGAAATAGCATGCAGCCCTCTGTATGGGCAAGCTCCTGCCATTCCCTCTCGCTCACACTTTCTATGGATTCCTATGGCGCTCTGGGGTGGGTGGAAAGCTTCAGAATTCTCCCCATTTCCACACACTGGCTCTCTCGAGTTGCTCTGCAGCAGCGGCAGTGGCACATTTTCTGGGAAAAAGGGGTTGTTTTAAAGTTGGATGAGCTCACACGACGACTAGACATCTAGTGGTGGATAGGTATAAATTGGATTTTAACTAAATTAATCAATTGCTTATTGTTGTTTAGCTAGGCGGAGTCAGAGAATAAGAAGAGCAACTTGAGATTGTGATGTGCCTTTATAGGTGGCATGGAGCGTTTTCTTCGCCCATTCTCGAGGGGGTTTGCATAGAAAACAAGTGAAGTTCACATACAGACACACACTCACACATTGAATGTGGGAGAGAATGGATGAGAATGAGAAACGAGGAGACGCCATTCAGCAATGCCATGAGAAGATATTTTGGATGGGTGGATTCGTGAGAGGGTGGTGTAAGAGAGAGCGGCTGGCTGAAAATGTGTGTGACTGTGTGAGTGTGAAAGAGGGTGGAAAATGGAAAAGGCGGCAATAGAAGGGAGGTTCTCTGCATGGGGAGAGTGAAAGAGAGTGAGATGTGATATAGAATTTTTGTATATTAGAATTACGTACCAGGGAATGTATTGTAGAGGGAAAAAAGGGGAGTATTTTCACTCACACTCATCTTTTTCCTCTTTTCGCACTTTTTTTTTTAGCCAAGAGACTGCGTGAGGGCGGACAAACGCTTTTCCTTCCAGGCGCGATCTCACAATGAGGGCGGATGGGTGAGAAGATTCCAGCAGAAAAAGAGTGCGACTCTGGAGGAAATTTCAGCGCGGGAAAAACAACAGTGAGTAGTTTTTTGCCTGAGGGTTGGGGTCTGGGTGTCTTTCACTTTTTCCTGACACTGTGAAAATGGATGGAAAAAGCGAATAGATTTTTTTTTGTTTCCTGCAACTCACAGGCTTCCGTTTCCATTCCACTGACAATTTGCAATATTTTAAAGAGGGAGGCAAGAGATGCAAGAAGTCTTAATAAATATGATCAAATACTTGAGAATCTCCTGTGATGTGAAGCCTGTGAAGCGCTATGCAAAGAGAGTGTCGCGTTTAATATAGAACGATAAAAGGAGAAAGATGAAAGAAAATCCTTCTGATTTGAATTTATATCGATTCCAGGCAGATGCAATTAAAGGGACATGCATTGAAATTCATGCGGAGTCTGTATTCAGGTGCAGGCATAATATTGCAGATCCTAGAAAATAGCCCAGGCAGAGGCGTCGTGGATAGTGAAAAAGAGATGCAAATGTATCAAAGAGAAATCGCTAATGCATGAAGACACTTGGTAGTTTTCAGCACTTCGATCAATCACTTTGTGAGAAAAATAGTTTGATACATTTGATGTGAAGTATTCGGCAGTTTCGTATGGAAATGTCGTTCCTTGAATTTTCAAGTGACGTGGTAAGAGTTAAAAACAAAAAAAACGATGAAGAAAGGAAATAGATGTTTTTTCTTCTTTCTTGAAGCAATTGAAGAATATTTTCTATTGTTTCTCTGAATTAGGCGACAAAAAAGTGGTGTACTTCTTTTTTTTATTCTTGCATGTTTTTTTCCCTCCCTTTTTCTCTCTCCCTCTCGCTCTCCACATGATAAGGGTCAACGGCGGAGACTTTTTTTGTCCTTTCTCTTTTGTAAGTATTTCATCTCAGAGCATTAAGTACCATCCTTCGATACAAGGAGAATGGAGAATAAAGGGAAAACGGTGGGATGGTGGGAAAAAAGGCAAAAAGTGAGGCTCAAACAATGACACAAAAGGCACTTCTTCGGAATCACTTTTCGTTGTGTGAATCGGTAATAAGGGCGAGAGTGAGATGGAGGAGCAGAGAGAAAAAAAGTGGATGATGGGACATACAAGAATATGTTGGAGTTTCACCGTGCTGAGGATCTTTTGTGTCCAGGAAAAAGTGAGCATGGGAGAAGATGAGAAAAATTAATGTGATTAATAATTTCCGAGAAATACACTGGCGATACTCACGAAGGAGTCTGTGTCGGCGTGTTTGTCTTTCTCGCTGAGAGAGAAAAATTCACGCTGAAGGATTTCATCTCAACCTCTTCCCTTCCTTTTTATCGCCACTTTTCACTTTGCTCAATTCTACTTTGGGAGGGAGTTCATGTGTACTCTGCCATTTTTTTTTTTACAACCAAGCTACCCTCGACATTGTGTCGCGTGGTGGTGAAAAGCTAGGAAAAGCGTTGGAGCAACAGCATGTTAGGTACATTTTGCAATTGGTTGATTTTCGTTCCAGCAGTACATAAATGTATACGGCATGCGAATATATGAATAATTGATCATTTCATTACGCTGAAACGATATCTCGCGGTTCTCATGCTGGTTTAACTCTTGTATGTTTGCCAATGAAGGGTTTGTATGTCGTGCGTTGAGGGTGGCAGGCAACGGTGAGAGGACAAAAAAAAGCAGCGCGAGCGACCGTCGAAAGAGTGTCAGTGAAACTATTTGAAAAATTATTCAATTATTTCCTCTTTTTGCAAAAAAGTGAGGGTGAAAAAAAGGGAAACATTTTTGCAAGCGGTGCTGTTTAAAGCATCAACACAGCACTTTTTCAGATGGCTTTAAGAAAGCAGTAAAGAACGATGAAAAGAGAGGGAGAGAGAAAAAACTGTTGATATGGTGGGAAAAGAGACGTGATGCAATTCAATTCATTTATTTTCTCTCCTTCAACATTGAGTTGCAGAAAAGGCAGAGAAAAAGTGTCACTAAAGTGCAATAAATTCTCTCGCTTGATCCTCTTTTGAGTGTCTGTTTTGGGCGAGAGAAGCCCTTTCTCTGTCTCTTTTGTTTAAAGTGCGCAAAAGAGGAGATAAAAGAAGTGACATGGAGCTAAAATATATATGGAGAAATGATAAAAAAGGTTCAGAATTTATATTATTATGATTATGGATATTGTGACACATTTGCTGGACATTTTTGTGACCCAGTAAAAATGCGAAGAGTCGGAGGTGGTGGACGAGATGGCAAAAAAGTATTGAATGATGTTCCTTTTATTTTTATTTATTTATTGCTGGAAATAACAATATTTTATCCCTCTTTGCAGGCACTTTTTCCGTCCACCTTCACAACCACACCGTCACTTTCTCGTTCAGAGATTCCGAGAGATAATTCTACATATGTGCAATAAGGTAAACAGCTTTTTCATCCCTTGCGACTAGACAACAGTGACGAGGAGGGGATTTTCAGGCACTGAAATAACCATATCTTGTGTGTTTTTGTTAGGGTGAATTGTTGTTGTTAAAATTGTGCATGGATATTGCCCTGAAAACTTAAATTACCCCCTCTTGCATTTTATTAGGCATGGCCTGTCATCGTCCTTTGGCACTGGCATTCTACGGAGTAGTAAAAAAAATGCACCCCGAGTGACCATCTTTGATGTTTGCCCGCCAACATTTTGCATTTGAATTTTGTGGCGGAGAAGCCGAAGTTCGAGTCGTCCGGAGGAGGAGGAGGAGGAGGAGGAGGAGGAGATGCGAACAAGGTCAGTGCTTTCTGTACTCCTCATATTTTTTACCAAACTTTATTCGGGGTTCCCGCAGACGGAAGTGTGCTAAAAAGCACTTTCTCGTTTTTCCTGAGCCTCTCCACTGTCATCACTTGACATTTTCCAGAATCCCTCGAATATTTTCCTCCCCAGAAGTGTGATATTTCAATCTTGAGAGGCATTTTCTATGCTTCGTCGTTGAATAGAGATTCTCACTGAAGGAGGGAATGAGGAGAAATCCTCCCGAGGAGGTTTGAAATCACTGATGCAAAAAAAATCATGAGTTTTTTCCTTTATAATTGTATACGAAATTTGTGTAGAATGCTGAAAGTTTCGGCAAATCGTCTAACTAGAGAGCAGGAATGTTGTGTGCAAATTTTTCGCGTGATTCGTACGATGCATATCTCTCGTCGTTCTGTTGAAATCATCTTCTGAGAAAAGTAGTTTCTTTACCTCTGATTTTGGTGGTCGCCAGAAGGTGCTCGAAATGCTTGAAAACTAACGCTGCACTTTTTTATAAATAGCATTAATATATTGTTGAATTAATATAGAAAATCAGAGTGAAGGAGGATGAAGCAAAATGAAATAGATATTCAGTCTGTTGAGAAAGAGAGGGAGAAAGAGATGGAGAGAGAGGAGTCTCACTAAAAACCCATAATTTGCCAATCACCTTGACGTTTTTCCTAAGAAATTGTCTACAATTTCAAATCGCACTTCGCCCTAGGCTATTAACCGATTACTTAAGTATTTTAGAAGGTCTCTGTTATGGAGCATTTCTTGCCTTAGCTGAAGAAGGTGACGGGAAAAAAGGGGCCCGAGATTGGCGTGTTTCCCGCTCCAAATTGCGAAATTGCATCAATTTTATTGATGCAGAATTTCTTGCAAAATACCTTGAGCATCATTCTAATTTCGTGTCACTTTTTTCTCACAATGGAAATGCAATTGTGAAAATTGGTGGAATTCCTCGGTAGTCCCGGCAATGCAGGTGTATGTAACTATCAAGGGATGAGAATTACTCTCTTTGATTACTCTGGGAAAACTTGTTAGAATTTTCCTCTTATACACCACGTCACGTGTTGCAAGAGTGGAGTTTTCTCGTGTAGAAAATTCCCTTTGAGGGGTGAACAGTGGGATTTTGCAGGAGTTGAATGAGAATAGGATAGTATTTTTTGCACTTCGACACAGCATTCAATAGAATCTGTATCATTTACAAGGCAAGGCAGATGATTTGTAGTTCATTAACATGACGATATGCAAGATGATCCCCTGCAATTTGCATTAATTGAACACCCCTTGTATTTGGTGTTGAACTAACAAGAGCAGAGGATGGGGTTCAAATGAAATTTCTGGCCAAATTATTTTCCTCCTCGTCTAATGTTTAACACAAAGTAACAACTAACACTGGACCCGGGCGCCCATTTTCCTCCCTATGAGTTCAGCGTGGACCCCGTTTAATGTGGGCGGTGTGGATGAGTGAAAAATGTATGGAGAGGATTTTTGGGGAGGGCTTTTTGAGTTTGGTAGTGCATCATAAACATGCAGCTCATAGTGCAGCATCAATGTATTTATACGTATATACATAAAAGTGAATTTGTGTGTGCAATGTACTATTTTATTATTAAATGCACGCCTCACATTTTGGGGTGGTACTTTAATGCGGCTGTTCGCGTTTTATTAATAAAATATTCATTCTCAATATATATTTCAGTGGATGCGTTTCTCTCCCCAAACCCTGTTCCACACCGATTTTCCCACGAAAAACACAGGTCACTCATCCCACACTTTTTGGTGATGGTGTTATTATTTTTGCCCGCCCACTCTCCCCGTGACCCGTGGAATTCATCAAACAAATGCATACATTGAGGGACAGAGAATAGTTAATAACGTCATAATAAAATAAATAAAAGCATCGAAAATAGATATAAAACCCCCTCACATCATCTCTCATCAATTTCATTAAAATTCCAAACTCTTGTATATGTAATTTTTGAGGGGATGACACAAATGCAATAAAATGATTGCTCCTCTTTAAACAATAATCCATAGGTTGTGGAACTATATATGTTCATATATGTGAGATTGATGTGTGACATTTTGGCGAAACTTTTTCTCCACTATCCTCTCGACTCACAAAATGCCACTATTTGCAGACTGGGGAAAATCCAGCAAGTTAAAGTTTTAACCCTCTGGCCGGGGGAAAAAAAACTCCCACCCCTTCTCTACTTGCGGGAGTGAGTTTTGGGGGACTTTTGGGTGGTTTTTCGGGCGCACACAAAAAACAGCCGTAACTCCCCACATAATCGTAAATGCGATATTTGCGCACCATATCAGCTATATCATATTTATTTGCACATAAAATTTGTGTGTTACATAAGTGGGTGGATTTAGCTCTCGATGTGGGCAAAAATATATGGGCGAAAAGAGGAAAATGTAATTCAAAGGGTGGGCAATGGAGTCGCGAGAGTGAGAAAATATAATGAAATGATTGTAACAGATTTTTGTCCAATACAATTTCATTATTTGCTATTTGGCTCACTGTCGCACAACCGAAGGCGGAATAATGGAAAATTCGCTCTCAACCATATATATACCTCTAGCCCCATGCACACTAAATATTTATGGGGTAAAATAGAGTGATATGAAAATTTAAATAAATCACTTGAAAGTTTTTCCCAGTGTTGGGGTGAGCATGGGAAAAAAGTTGAATGGAAAAGTTTGGGTGTACTTTTTTTGGCGAGGGAGATAGGAAAGGGATGAGATGGGAAAACGAGTGGAAAGGAATGATTTTAAAAGGGGCGACAATGAAATGATCAAATCACCAATAAATTTCTTTTTCTGTCCTCTTTTATGGATGCCAAACTTTCTGGCAGGGTTTGTTTATCATGGAAGGAGTTGTCTGTACTAGTGATTTTGTCTTTAGAGTGTTATCAATTTCTTTTCTAAACTACAAGAACAGTGACCCTTTAGTTACACCAAAGAAAATAATAAAACTAGTCATGTATACAATTTCAGGAAGTAAGGTGAATTTTCTCGGAACACAGCAAAATTCTCTCTACTCTGTATCTCTGCTTAACTTCAAACATTGACCTTTAAGATTTAGAGGTTAAGAGACTGCAGAAATTTCAACGAAGAATTCGATTTTAAAGTTATTTTCAACTTCATTTCCCGACATTCATGATTTTATATCCAGTTTTGATATCCTTAAGATGTGAAAATCTCCCTCATTTTGTCAGACAATCTGCCTCTGTTTGAAGAAATTGTCACGGCCATAAAAGACGAAAGTCGTTGAGAAAATACTCTTCAGTGATTTTTTGATCCATTTAAATTTAATCGGTTTCCCCCATGCCTCAGAAAATCTCGTTGATGGAAAAAAAGCGCGCCACTTTTCCTTTCATCGTGCCTCATTTTTCACAATATTTGATGAAAGAGTGAGAGAAAATGCAGAAAAAGTGGCACGAGTGGCAAAAAAGCTACAGTGTTATGCTTTTTTTTCGAGGATATGGGCAAAAATTGTGTTTCATCCTTTCAGGAAATTCATGTTCCGGGACTCGGGTGGCCTTTTTACGCTCCTCCGTCCACACTGACATCGGAGATCCACCACTAAATGACTGCAATTGAAATGCCATGGCAATATTCGCGGTGAATTAAAGTGGATATGGATGTCTATTGACATTTGCGGTGGGGATTTTTCAGCAATTCCCAGTGAGGAAAAGCCACGGGATGCAATCCTCGGTTGGGTGGAGGAACTGAGAGCGAACGGGCGAAAAGAAGCGGGAGAAACAAAAAATATTGTGCAAAATCAACAGGTGCAACAGACGTAGGGATGGCGAAAGAGAGCATGTAATATATAAGAGAATATATAGCGGATGGAGGAAAGATGGTGCAGAAGAGGGTGGAAAAGTGGAGAAAGTAGTGAGTATTGCATAGAGTCAGTCACAGATATCAAATGGGGGGAGGGGGTGTTTCCGTTGATGGTGTGGGAGTGAAGTGAGAAGGGTGAATGAAGAGGCAAAAAAATGTTCCGCAGTTGTGGGGATGCTGAGATGGAGTGGGTGGCGAAATGCAAAACAGTGCCGACTGACGGAGAAACCAATAAGCATGGCAAGGGGATGAGAGGGTGGCTATTGGGGTCGGATCAGGAGACTTTCTCTCCCTTTCTGCCCAATATCTAAATATTTCTACCGCAGGGGTGAGATTTTCCACTCGCTTGTATGTAGCTGTGATGTTTTTTTCCCTGGCAGAACACTTGCGGATAGGACTCTGGTCCACTTCTGATTCACTCGCTGTCAGAGATGGAGGGCATCTAGATTGGATTAACCCCTCGAATGCCGCTAAAACAGCAAAATCAACTTATCTCTGCAGCAACTCTGGTGCGAGTGCACACAATGTTTCGCTGGTGGTTCTGTCGGTCGGTTGATTCTCTGGTGGATGGCTTGGGCGGTCACCGTCGCCCGCCCACTCGTCGAAATGTTCTCCCAACTGCGCCCCGCCACCCCCGCCGTGCTCTGTCTCTCTGGCGCGAGAGTGACTTTTCCGAGTTGGAGTTTTGGGGTTGAACGTGGTCAGGGCGGAACAGCGAGGCGGACAGGATGTGTGGGGCCTTTTTTGCGCTGAGAGCCGTGTGGTGTAGCTTGGGGGATGGTTTTGGGCTGGATGTGTGCTCTGCAGTGAGTGATTTTTTCCTCACTTCTCTGCTTGTGCACCAATTTTTTAATTGTCCCCGCGCGCACAGCACGTGCATTTTTTTCATCAACCCGAAGAGCCACTGAGCTATTTTTCCTATCAACGCGACGTTTAATTGATACTCTCGTTAGTTTACTTTATTTGCCTTTCCTCACACTTCGTCCACCACTAAATTTCCCATGTAAAATATTTAATCTCTTGATTATTTGAGCGCTTTTTTTCCCGTCAGTCACAAATACATTAAAATGCGGGAGTGGAATAAAAATCTGTGTAGGTGAAAATTGTTTTAATTGCCGAAATAGTAAAAAATGCTGAGAGAAATATACTTGCAAAACACGCTTTTTATTTGGCTGTGAGTTTTTTTTTTAGGTAACGTTTTAATATTTTATGAATGAATTTGGCGCTGAAATATCAGTTTTTAGAAACTCCTCGACAAACTGCACTACTTGTGAAGAGGTAACGAGGAAGAATCATGTTTCACCGATGTTTCATGGGTTGTTATATGCCATTTAGCCGAGACACAAAGCATTGGCCTCTTAATAACACGATGTGAGCTAAGAGAACTCGAGCTGTGAAACTAAACAGTCTGTTATAAAGCAAGAAACCGAGTCGAACAATAAAACACGTGAATTGTCTTTTTAATATTAACATTTTATTTTCGTTTAACTATTTCTGCACACAATAAATTAGCAATCGATCATGTATAATCTCAATTATTCATCATCATCATATAATGTATATATAGAGTTAAATGTATATTCTTCTTGTTTTTCTTCTTATTTGTTTCCTTTTTTAATATATTTAATATACTTTTGTATTTTAATTGTATAATAATATCAATATTATATTATTTTCACCACTTTCATCCACTAGTATAGTAGTTATTCTTTTATGTCATCTTCTCATTTTTTTGTGATTGTTTTTAGAGTGTATAAAATAATTACTGTTTAAATTACCATGAAATTTGAACTGAAGAACTTGAGAGTATGTCAAAGTATAAAAATTATCAAGTCGTAAAAGTAACGATTCTTCCTATCATTGTTTTTTTTCCTTCAAATTGTTACAGTAAGTTATACTTTCTTTTATATCAACTATATATATTCCTCTAACACTTTTTTTTGTCTTCACACTAAAATGTATATATTTTCTATGTAGAATTTAATGCCACCGCGTGTAGTGATTTTCATAGGGTTTCAGTTTTATTTTCATTCTCTAAATATTATCCTTCCTTCATACTCTTTTTCTTCTTTTCTTTTAAAGATATGTGTGATATACGATAGGTAACAGTATTTTTTATCATTTTGTATGTTCGCCATCTCACTTACTTTTTCTTCATGTGTAGGGTAAATTTACTGTAATGAGAGAATTAGATTTTCGAAAAAGGATGTTTGAAAAGTTCTTTGTAATTCTTATCTCATCGACTAGAGTTGTTTTCACACCACTTATTACATCTGAAGTTTAATCTTAATTTAATTTATTGAACACATAACTAGATCATCTCTCTGTCGCCTTGTCTTGCGATTTCTCAAAATACATTCAATATGCTTCCTTTTGCCTATGCAATTAATTTGTCTAATGTAAATTTCCCCGAAAGCTCGTTCCCCAGAAAAGAGAGAATAGCTCGTAATTTCAATGTCAATTTTTATCCAATTCAATTTGTCTTAACTATTGTGCCATTTCTTTTGCAATGCAATGCATTTTCTTCTTCTTCTTTTTTTTATTATTCAATGAAAAATGACTTTAAATATGCAAAGCTAATGTTTAAGTATTATTTTTTCCTTTTATCTTTTTTCAATAATCAACTGTACAATGTAAAAAGCGTTTGAAGGCAGTATTTTACAAAATAAATAATTTCTTTTAAATGTTTTTCCCCATAGAAATTTGATTTCTCATCTTTTTTCTTTCAGAGTAAGATAAAAACTGAAGATATTTTTCATTCCATATCACTCAATACTTAAAAAATATATATGAGTTAAATTTTATACAGCGCAAAAATTTGTTTATTACATAATAATTATATTCTTTTACAGAAAATCCCATTTTAAATGTACATGATACGAAAGTGTAATTTAAAAATCTATGCACGTTCTTGATGAATGAATTTGCATTCTGTGTTTAACTTAATAAATGCAATGAAAGATATTAATTGTTCGTGATTGCTATGTCATATGAACAAATACTTTATCGTTATACATTTAAAATTCCACACTCACATTTGAGGGTTTTTTTTCTACTCACCGTATTCTTCCTCTCTTTTTACTAATAAATAACTTTTGGTCGCAATTATTCTTTAAGAGGTACCCTTAATTACAATTTACTTGGTTGACCTCTGACACTATATTGGTTATACTTAAAAGGTCCTATAAGTTTGTTCATATAGTGATGAATTGGGATAAAGAGAAAATTGCGATGAAATAAATTTTTTTTAAATTATTCAACAATTAAAAAATTAACTATATTCATATCAACAAGATTGTTTGTTCCTATACTTCATTGCGTGTTTTTTTTTTATTAGTCATCTACTATAATTTATAATAACATTCAACAAAATTTGTTCTATCGTGATCTAAGTGATTTCCTAATTTACTGATAAAATATCTTTAATACTTTATGCTCTACGGATTTGAGGGGGAAATAATCAGAAATGCGCGTATATTTTCTGTATATAGTTCTTTTCTTCACTCCTATTTACTGAGTTGATATTTTATGTACTTTCTTTAAGTCAACAATAACAACATTAAGATCTCTCCGCACATTAACAGACTTTCTATGCATTTGCGATTCATTCTGTCATGGATGTTTCAAAGATTTTCTTCTTTCAAGACAAAAAAAAAGAACAATTTTAGCGAAAAGGGGTGAATTTTTTTTTGAACAATGTTGCCTATGAGCCATTTATGAAATGTGATTTGAAAAATTGAGAGGAAAAAAATTGAGACAAAATGAATAATTACATAAGTTTATAAATATTTACTATTCTTAGTATTTTTTTTTCTTTCGCTTAAGACTATTCACGTATTTGTTGAATAACCTCTCAAATTTGTCTGTGTTTACTAATTTTGTTGGCAAGATTGCTGCGGAAAGTATTTCAGACGATGTGGAAATACTCTGATAAAGAGACAAATGATACGAGAAGAATAACAGCAAACACAAAATCACAAACATTTACCATTCACATGTATTTATATATACAATTTATTACTTTGTTCTCATAATGATGTCAGAAGAACACTGCCACATCGTTAAATATTTTATCAACAAATATTACAACGTCTGTGATGGCTATGTTTTAAAAGTATATATTCATCCTTTTTGAATTATTGTCTATAATGTATTTCCATGCCTTTTCTTTTTGCGTAATTTTTTGCGTTATCAATTCAAAGTATTCTCTGTGGTGTTGTCTCGTGATCCTTTTTGAAATATCTCTCATGCCACGCATTTCGCGTTCTTCTTCTTGCTTGCATCTCTCAAGGTACGAAATAACATAGTATTCTCTCATTTTACCTGGATTTCTCATCAACATTTTCCGCTTTATCTCTTGTCACAATAATACTGATATTCGGCTTTACAATTCAATACAATTTATAGTTAAATATTTTCACTGGTTTCCTTTTCTTTTCTTTACATAAATATTAGAAATGTTAGAGATAAACTTTGTAAATATATTCAGGAGGGTTTTTAGAATAGTAAAGATTGAGGATTAGTGGAGTTCAGGGAGGCAGGAATTTATAGATTTGAAATCTTGAGAAGAGATGTTCAAAATATGATATGATTGAGGAATGATACAGAATGAGGGTTGATTTCTTACAACGATCATCTTTTTCTCCTTTCCTTGTTAAGGAAAAAACTTCTACTAATAATTTGATTGGATGAAAATTAAGTATAGTGATAAAAAATAGAATAATTACTTTAAAATTCATGCTACATGATTGTTCTTCAATAAATATAGTTTTTTTTTCCCCGAAAACCGAAGATTGTGTTTTCCTTTTCTACAGAGAGAAGAAAATGTGTCGTTTTGTACATTCAATGATCATGTCTGTGTGTGTGTTTTCTTTTCGCAATGATTGATTTGTTTGACGAAAATGCACTTATGAGAAAGATGATATTTAATGATGCTTGAAAAAAGTGATGAAAATACCTTTTGTACAGCATAAAACCATCCATTGAAAATTCTCTATATATTCTATCTTGGTGTATGTGAATTTTTTTCTACTTATCTTTCCTTTGTCGATTTTACTTGATGAGTATTTATAAAGTGTTTCTCTTAATTTTCTGTCCTAGATCATGGAATGAATTGTACACGGAGCTGAAGGACTCCTCTGAACGGATTCATGGGATTCTCTCTCTGTCCACAGCACAAAGTTTGGGGATGTCCATCGTGTGTGGCTCTTTCTCATCTATCCAAAATCATCGTAAATTGGATCCTGCAGGTAAAAATGTATAAGAATTCAATCAGACAGTTCGTGTCACTGCAATTGAGAGACTCACTTCGATAAAGAATATGTTAGAAAGCTCTTTCTCAAAGGAACTACACTCTAGTAACAAACTCAAAGAATTTTCACACTGAAAAGAAAGGATTTTGTTTGTATTAGACAATTTATTGAGTGGCTTTCGTATTTTGATTTCTCACCTCTACTTTTAAGCGATTGTTCAATTTATTCCTATCACTACGTAATTGATCTAAAGACTCAATTTGCTCCTGTGTCTTAGCACCAGAAACTTCCAGCTGAGCGATTCTGGCGTCCTTCTCTGAAATCGCCTTCTCAATCGCCTCTTGTCTGCAAAACATTACATTAAAAAAAATCATTTGCATTCTATCTTATCATGCTATTTGTCAAAATTATCTCACCTAATATTCGTGAGCTCTTGCAGCCTAGATCGTTTCTCTTGTAGTAAAATGTGAAATTTCCCATTCAAAAGCTCCAAACGTTTCGTCAACAGTTGACAAGATTTGCATCTGAGAAACTTTGCGTTCTGCAGCGATGCAATTCTCTGCTCCATTTTCTTTACCTGGTAGAATAAATGGGAAATATCATTATTGGATAAGTTTTCAACTGAGCTTTGACTATACAATATTCATACCTTGTCACTCAATTGCCTCTTGCTCTCCTCGAGGGAGAGAAAATCGTTCTCTCGCTCGCTTACAATTAAAACACTCTGTCTCAGTGCATCCTCCAATTCGTTCACCCTCCTTTGTTTCCTCCTCGATTCCTCGAGCAGCTTTTCCAATTGACCAAAGTGTCGCTCGATGGCCACCTGGTCATCGCAGAGACTGTTGTGGTTTTCCATGCTCGTTGGCTCATCCTGGACCATCTCTCCGAGGAGTCCCTCGAGTTTGCCAAAGACCAAATTCAACAATGAACTCTGTAGAGATTATCAAATGTCTACTTAGAGACTCTTCTCACTCTCTTTCTCTGATAATGTGGTTCTTTTGTGAAGCAGGAGCAACAAATAATGGCAGCTTCTCAATGATCTCCATTAGTATTTACACTTTACTAGTTTTTTTAGGACATATTTCTTCGATGAAATATTAAAAGAAGATTTGAATGGCGACTATATCGTCTCGATAGAACGCTTAGAGAAGATACTTAGACGATTTGCATCAAAATCTTTGGTCGGTTATGTTTAGTTTTTCATCTCCTTACTTTTCTTAGTATTTTTCTTAAGTGTTGAAAATGTCTTCACAATTTTTTTTTTCATTTAAAAATTACACCTTTAGAGATACTTCTGTTTAGGGTTATCAATATCAATGGTTTTGTTGGGCTATGTTTTAGTATTTGTTAAATTACGATGATTTCTTGTTTAGTATATTCCTTATGCACTTGATTAATATCTGTTTGCCTTTCACTCTTGGTTTATATTTTGATGGTTTAGGTTAATTTAGAAAAAGCTCTTGAGAAAACCAGCCGGTCCAGCCTTCGGAAGTGCAAGTAAGGAAAGAGATAATCATGTTAGTGGTTTAATTACAGTGAAAATGCAGTTAGTATGAGAGTGGGAATTGGGTCAGAGATATGAGTTGGGAGTGCTCACCTCTTCCTTCTTTCGTTGCTCCTCGAGTTGCTGCTGTGCGTGATGACTCTTGGCATTGGCGTTCTTTAGTGCCCTGCAGAGGAGATAAAAAAGAATTGCGAGTTAGTTCCATTGCTTGTGTGCGTTGTGACCCAGTTGATGGAGAGAGTGAAAGTATGCTGAACTTACTGCTGAAGCTCCATGATGGTCTTCTCCTTGGCATTCTGCTCCTCTTGGCTCATTGCCACTAGCTGCAGGAGTCGCTCTGTCTCAGTGGCAGCACGCTTGGCCTCTTCCTTAGCCTCTTCGAATTGCTTGGTGATTGCGTCCAATTGTCGTTGGGTTTCTGTTAACTTTTTGTTGAGTTCGCCGGCCGCCGCTGCGGTGCCGCCCTGCTTCTGCAGCGACTTCTCCAACTGATCCATCTGCTCCTTGCGCTTCTTCAGCTGCCTGTCGAACTCAGCCAGATTCTTCTCCTTCTCCTCAACCTCCTTGCGCTTGCTCTCCACTGTCTTTCGCTGCTCCTCCAGCAGACGCCGCTCGTTCTCGATGGTCTTCACTTGGGCCTCAATCTGCTTCTTGGTCTCCTCTATCTGTCGAGCCTGAGCCTCCATCTGCTTCTTGGTCGCCTCATCCATGCCGGCGCCCTTCTGGACATTGTTCTGCTGCATTGACTGCAACTTTTTGTTTGCCTCGTGCAAATCCAACTGAAATTCAATGTTTCCCGCATTAATAAATCAGTCTCGGGTACTTCAAGCGTGATCTCTTTTGCCACAGGAAAATACGCAGAGCCATAAAGAACACAGAAGGAGAGACATGGAAAATGTGTATCCTGTTCCCATTTCCATCTCGCATTTCAAGCGTTATTGCGTGTCCTCTTTCTGTGTCGTTTATCAATGCTCTACTGGAGGAAAATAAATGAAATAATAATGTTCTAAAAATATAACATCAAAAGACACACACAACTATGGATATGATTTATTTTTGCAACACAGAAATATTTTTAAAGCTAAAATAAAGTGCTACAGAATCAACTGAAAATGTACGAAAAAGTCGAAAGGAAAATCGGCACTAGAAAAAACGAGAAACAAAAGAATAATGATCAATTGTTGAGAGAATGTGAATGTGATTACAAGAGTTTGAGAACTTGTAACCTGGCTCTTCTCCAACTCCTGGACGAGCATCTCGAGCTGGGCCTGGAATCTGTCTCGCTCCACTGTGGCCATTTGGAGCTCATTGCGCATTTTCTCCAATTCCTGTGGGTTGATTTGTGCGTTTTGCTGGGGCTGCTGCTTCTGCAGATTGGCCATTTGGTTCATCTGCTGCTGCAGTTGTTTCTCCAGCATCTGCAATGGTAATTGCAATGATTGCAATGCTTCAATTCCGCTGCCAAATTATAAATTTAGTTAAATGATCTCACCTGAACCCTCTTGTGGAGTTCTGTGGCAATCTTCTCAGCTTCATCAGCTCGGATCTTCTCCTGCTCCACAACCTTTCGCCACTGCTCCATCTCATTGTCCCCACGAGCGCCGGTTTCTTGCAGACGCTGCTTCAGGATGGCGATCTCCTGCCTGAGAGCCTGCATCTCCTGCGAGCTTGGTGGTTGTCCCTTCATGGCGCCAACAAGGCGGCGATTCTCCTCGCGCTGCCTCTGAAGTTCCTGCTCTGTGGCATTCAACTCCTGCTGGAAGTTCATCAGCATGTCCTGGCTCTTCTCCAGCTGCATTACCAATTGATCCCGCTCCACTGTCAACTGTTTGGCATCCGCCTCGATCTTCATGATATTCTTCTCGATCTGGTTGGCTTGCATGTCGCGCTTCTCGAACATTCTCGCTGACTGTCGTAGGGACTCCTTCTCCGCTTCAGCACGTTCCAGACGCTCGTGGACTCGTCCAAGCTCTGCGTTCATTCTTTCGAACTCGATCCTTGTGGCCTCGGCTGCCTCCTGTTGCTTAGCTAGATGCATCTGTGCCTTCTCCAATTCCTTTGCCAGGCGACCGGCCTCCATCTCGGTGGCGTCTCGGCTTTGCAGAGCCTTCTCTAGACGATCTCTAAGTCTGTCCACCTCTCCTTTGTCGGCAGCTGTGAGACTCGGCATCATGGATGGCGATATGGCATTGGGATGAGTTCTCATGCGTTCCACTTCCTTAATGAGCTTGTCGTGCTTGTCACGGATCTTCTCACACTCAATATGTGCTCTCTCCAGCTCACTCCTCTGCTTATCCTGATTGGCTATCACCTTAGCACATTCCTGCTTCGAGAGTTCCAGCTGAAGAGTTTGTTCGTGAAGCTTCGCCTCTATGATTTGGGTCTCATTCTCCTTGTGCTCGAGTTTCTCGCGAATCTTTTGGAAGGTTTCCTCTTCGTATTGCGATTTGCCACGAATGGTCTCCAGCTCTTTCATAGCCTTATCCAGTTTGTCTCTGAGACGCTCGTTCTCCTCTTTGGAGCGGCGTGACTCGCGTGTGTAAGTCTCGAGCTCCTGCAGGCGGCGTACTTCTGCCTGACTCTTCTCGTATCTGAAATGTAGATGGTGTGAGATGTGGGAAATGTGCGATGATGTCCAGGAACCATAAATAAATTAATGCACTACAGGAATTTACTCATGGTCCCTTGCTAAACGGGTTTTCGAATAAACATCGCTCAAAAGTGCTTCAAACAGAGCAAAAACTGGTAAAATTCTTCCAACAGAAAATGCAATATATGATATTATTTGTCGAAATTTTTCCTGAAAAGGTAACATCACGTCATGCTTTTCCAACGGATACAGCCAATGTACACAACATCTTATCGAAGATCGCTACGGAATACTCACCTGTCCCTCAACTTCTCCAATTCTAGACTGAAGCGGGCAGCCTCTTCTTGTGCAGAATCCAATGCGGCAGTGTGTTTTGTATAGGAGTTGTGTGCTCTGTCCAGTTCATATGTCAAACGCTCCAGTTCGGCCTGGAGGTGCTCCTTCTCGGCCTGTGTGCGTCTCAAATCCGTCTGCACCTTATCCATTCGCTCTCTAGTCAAGTCAGACTCCTCGCGAGCCTTGTCTTCCATCTCCTTGGTTCTGGTGAGTTGCATTGCTGCTCGATCGCATGCTTCTTGCAGTCTGTGGATAATTTCGTGTCATGGATTGATCTCACGGAACTCCTCGCAGGAGGAATTCTTTTCTCATAAAATCTACAACATTGCATTTCTCACAAATACACAACAGAGACAACATTTAGAGACTCAATATAGTATGTGTTACATTTCCAAAGAGACAAATTTCGACAAATGTTGACACAGACTTTCTTTGACGGGACAAAGAGTGTGTTCAAGAGATGATTAAAGCCCAGAGAGTGAGAATGTTTGAAGCAATTAAGCTCTGCGCACTATGCTGAAATATTATCCTGTTGCACAGCCACTTTTATGGGTGCATTTGTGAGAAAAGTGATCAAGAATTGATTTGAGATGGAGGGGAGAACTTTACAGACATTAGGCATTGTTGGAAAGAGTTGATAATCCTCGCATGATATGAATTTCGCGAAGCACTGTGTTGAATGAGTGGGTTTTCTGGTCTTTTGATTTCGCTCACCTCGTGGTCTCCTCTTGGAGTTTTCTCAAGTCCTCACGTGCTTTTGTGGCGGCCAATGCTGATCGCTCAGCCTCCACTTCGAGACGCGCCCGATCCGCCTCGGCCGTATCACAGCGCGACTGGAGTCTATAGATTTCATTTTGTGCTCTATATAGAAATTTTCAATTTTGCCACATTTTTTGGATCATCCAATCAACACAGAAAAGAGAGTTCGCGGAAGAAGAGGAGTAAGGATGTGGTCAGGAGTTGATGGGTGTTCAGGTGTGGATGGGCGGTCAGATAGTATTGTTAAGATGGTGATGGAGAAAAGAGAAAGAGACACACATTAAGAGAGAACACATCGAGATGGGAAATATGGTTGTGCTCATTACCTATCGTACTTCTCAAGCATCTTCTCGAACTCCTTGGTTGAGTTGTCCTTCTCGTCAATCAACTTCTGACTGGCGTATAGAGCCTTGTCGAGCTTCTCCTTGAGAATGTCAATCTCCGTGCAGGCATCGTCGCGCTCCATCTGGGAAAGGGTCTTGGATTTATGGTGGTGAAACCGATGTGTCCAAATACACGGCCAAGGAGGTGGCTTTTCACTGGAGAATATCCGCGAAAAGCCCCTTCTGTAGGCCGCATATCTGGACACATCTATTACCCACGTGACACTACTTCCATGCATCGGATGGCATTTTACTCACTTGAAGCTTCTGGTGGACACTGTGAGCCTTCTCCCAGCGCTCCTTCACCACATCCAGCTCCGTCTGAATCTGTTCCTTGTCGCGCTGTGCCTTCAGCAGGAGTGTCTGCGTAGTCTCTGCTCGCTCCTTATTCTTCTCAGACTCCTCGAACAGCGTGTCGCGCTCCTTCTGCAGTCGCCCCAGGTTCAACTGGATCTTCTCAGTCTTGTCCTTGAAACGCTCCGCATCCAGCTGAATGGTTTCACGCTCCTTCTGGATGCGCGACGCCTGACCAAGGGCCTTGTCTAGCTGCGATTGGAGATTCTCAAAGTCATACGCCTGCTTCTCCTTCTCCAGCTGAAGCCGACGTGACTCGGCGACACCCTTGTCCAGGCGTTCCTGCAGATGATCCACCTCATTTTGCGCCTTGTCCAGAGCGTTCTGCAGCTTCTCTTGCTGCAGCTGCGCTTTGCCCAGAGTGGCTTGCGTGCGCTCCAACTCTTCGCGGGATTTCTCAAGCTCCAGCAGAGCCTTGTCTCTCTCACCATGGATGCGTTGAACACCGCCGTGAGAACGTTCAAGCTCCTGCCGCAGACTCTCCTGTTCGCCCTGGGAGTTCTCCAGCTTCGCCTTCAGCCGATATACCTCGCCCTGGCTCTTCTCCAGCTTCTCCTGGAGCGATGCCGCCTCGGCTCGGGCTCTCTCGGCGTCAGACTGTGGAAGAGATAGTGGGAAAGAGGCATTTTTACTGGTCGTTCCTCACTCTATGTGGGCATCAGAGCAAAAGGGAGGCGGTGTGGCTGAAATTTATATCGTGAGAGGAGCTGAAGGGAGTTAAAGTTTCCATATCTGTTGACAGAGCTAAAGTGTGGGTTGAGGGCGGAGAGCAGGAGGAAATCCTCAGAATTTCTTCAACTTCTAAAGAAGACAACTTTTATGGTAATGTATAATAAATGTTAAATCTTCTATATATCTCTAAGAAGAGGAAATATATACTTTATGAAATCTATAAAAGATATTATAAAATCAAGCCATTCTCTGGTGCAAAAGCTCTTTTCTTTTTGTTAATTTTTTTTCCATTTTACACTTGAATTACTTTCTTAACTGATTACGAGAGTTTTCCCTTCTGATTCTTGCAAAAACAAAACTCCTTTTTTTTGAACAAATAAAAGGAAAAATTAACGATGAATCAAGTTGAGAATAGGAAGACGTTAAAAGAGAAATGAAATAGTAAGAGAAATAGAGCAAGAAATTGCAAAATTCATAACGTTTATGTCGCTTAAAATATGACTGAAAGTGGTGAAATTTGCTGAATGATTGTAAAATTGTTTTCTCTTGTAAAAAGTAATTAAGTTTAAATCAAAACTTTGGAGTGTTATTTACTCACAAAATTTTGTATTGGCTCGTCCTATGAAAAAAATGTAAAACATGATGATTTTTTCATGTTGAATGGCGAGAAAGAGAGATAGGAGGCAAAATGAGTAGAGAAAATGTACACAGAGAAAGTATAAAGGTAACAAATAGAGCAAAAGATTCGAACTTTGATGCAATATACTTTTGCTTGAGATTCTTTTTTGGTTGGAAAGAAGTCAGAAAAAATTAAAAAAAAAAATAGAACGGGAAAAGTAATTGGAGAGAAATGATAAAAATCCTTAAATGGTTGTTCGATTGAATGTTCTTGAAGAGTGAAGAAATGGGCGTGTGGTGGTTTAGGGAAGTCCTCAAGAGTGAAGTTACCTGAGTGACTCGGAGTTCAGCCTGAGTGCGTCTGAGTTCGGCTGAGGTCTTGTCCGCTCTCTCCTGGGCTCTGTCGAGCTCCTGGGATGTGGATAGGGTGTTTCTCCCGAATGTAGTCTGGAATTGTGGCTTTTATGAGGTAATTTTAAAGTGATTTCAAGACGTCTTCTCACCTGGGATCTTTCCAAATCGTGCCGGAGACGTTCGTTCTCCAATTCAAGACGTTGCAATCTTTGTCTCGTCGACTCCCATTCTGTGCCACTGCGTCCCACCTGACCATAAGCACCATACTACGTTTGATTTTGTGTTTAAATTTTGTCATGAGAATACGAGCCAATTGGTGCATGAGTTGATTTCGGGAATTTTGACACAATAAAAACAATCAAATTTGTTTGCAATTTTATGTGATAAATCATCAGACAGTCAGAGTGTCAGAGACCAAAAATTGAGAATTTATTTATTTTTATTCTTTTGCAGATAAGAAATTATAGAGGTTCTCTGACAACTCTGCTGTCCAGATGAAATTAATGACTCAGTGATACTCACCTCACTTGTGGCCTTATCGAGTTCTGCCTTGGATTTGCCCAGTTCACTCTGTGAATTCTCAAGACGCGCCTCGAGACGCTCCTTCTCCGTGAGTGCACGATCCAGTCGCATGTTCAATTTGTCCACTTCACTCTCCAGCGAGTGCATCTTCATTTTGTACTCGGCTATCTCGCGTTCATGCAATTCGCGTTCTTCGTGCTTCTCCTGCTCGGCACGATCGCGTTGATCGCTGGAAAATTCCCCAGACATTTGTTAGATGATGAAAAGTGAGATTGGGATTAAGAGACTTACCGGAGCTGCTGTATCTGCTTCTCTTTGTCTCCAATGGATTCTTCGAGACTTGTCAAGGCGCCTTCTGAACTGCAATGGTGAGCTTGCATTGCTGACAATCTAGCTCTCGCCATATCCACTTGATTATCTTTTTCTTTCAGTAAATCCTCGAGATTTTCAATCTGAAATTGTGCAATAAAAGTTAATATGCCAACTTCTAAATTGGAAATGTTTAAATTTCTCGATATCTGTGACATTAGTTGTTGTTATACACCATCTAAATGTCTAACATAACTATTGTTTTGAGGGTATTTCGTGAGAATTGTTAGTGAGAATTGAGAAAAAGTGCAACTATGAGAAAACTTACACGGAATATTGTGAGAAATCACAGGTGTTTTGTCACGAAATGCATTTTCAGCAGTAAAAATATCCACTAACAGACACTTTTCACCTCTTTCCCAGGTTACTCCATCATCTCACGACACAGCCAGAGGGAACATATTTCCTACACAGTCTTGTTTTATCCCTCTTTAAGCCCACAATGTGGGGCGATGGGATCAGAAAGGGGAGAGGTGTTAACCCACGAAGGAATAGAATGTAAATATTTTCCCACTTGATATAATTTTTTCCGTTCATGAAGGAAAAATCGATCCGAATTGGACTTTCGTGGCACGAAAAGGTAGCAAAGTGGAGAAGTGGGGGAGAGCAAAAGATGAAAATGGAATTGCGATTAGGGAATAATATTCAATGAGGGAGGCAAGGGTGGTGTGTACACGGAAGATGGATATATAGAGCATATTACTGGAATTGTGAATATCTCACCTTTCGCTGGAGGACATTGATTTTTCTGTCCTTAATATCCATGTGATCCTTGAGCTCGGCCAGTTCATTAGTTGATCGATTACGTTCCTGAACAGCCTGTAAAGCGTTTTGAGTTTTTTTCTCGATTAAACGATTTTTTTCTTCTAAACGAGCACGGAGTTCTTCAACCTATTTGACAAAAGTGCAATTATTCTAATTTAAGAGCGGCACCTTTTCACTTTTTTTTCTTGTTTTATGGGGATATTGTATTATATTTTGATTTTGGGATTTTGGGGAGATCATTTATTTTTGTATCTACGGTTTATCTTTCGCTTCTATGCTTGTTGAGAGAGAAGAAAAAATTCATAATCGTATTGTTTTCTATTCATATTTTCATAGGGGGAATTGTTCGCTACTCGAACAACAATATATTGTCTGGTGAAGATTTGGGCCTTTTGGCGGGAGAAGGAAGAATTGAGGATAGATAGAGCAAGGAGCCAACTTACATCCGACTGCAGCATATTATAGTGTTCTTCTTTGGCACAGAGAGACTCCTTGAGAACGGCAATATGACGCTGATAGTCCTTTAAAAAGGCAAATTAATCATTTTGTCCACCACAGAGACGGTTTATAAAAATGAACATTTTTTTTTGGTAGGATTACGTGATTGATGGAGGGGCTTATGATTCTGCCATTATCTCTTTTCAATCACACAATTACCTGATGTTGCTCCTCAAGAGTCTTCATTTTAGCCGCCATTGCCATTATTTCTTGGTCGCGACGCTGAATCTCGAGTCGGAACTCATCGAGCTAGGGTGTGTCAATGAAACGGAGAAAGACAAGAAGAAAGTGGTGGAAGATATTCACAGATATAAAATAAGACATTTCACATGCATTCTTCTTTCTAAGCAACTCTGTCGATGAGTTTTATAAGATAAAATTTTCCTCTAAATGCTGTTCAGAAAAGTCGTTGCTTAGCATTGTAACTTAATGTAAATTGAAATTCATTAATACTTATCCCATGCAATGTGAGGTATAGAATAAAGTCTATAAGTTTTCCACAAACACTTATAGTATCTCATTTATAAATTTTGAAAAGTTTTCCCCCTTGAGTCACGCTCATTGGGAAATACAATACGCTCTCTCGACTGCCTATATTGACAGGATAATATGTAAATATACGAAGTGGGAAAGAAATCGATGTGAAACATGCAAAAATGTTATCTGTACAACTCGCTGTAATTCTGTTCTAAAATATTTAATATAGAGAGCGAAAATCTCTAAATTGTCATGCACTTGGAATTTTCATCATTTTTACTTAATATCCTATTCTACTATTGAATGATTTCTTTTGTTGTTAAAAATGCTATGGAAATATTCCTCCTCTTTTAGGTTCTAAAAAGTTTTCTCTAGAAAAATAATTGCAACAGTTTTCTCTCTCTCTCTTTCTTGCGTTGCTTTAATAGCATCATTTTGGTTTTCTTTTTAGTTCTGCGACGTTTTATCTCACTCCTCTTCTCCAACGTTGGATATAAGACGAGAAAACAGTACATGGGGTTCATTAATAGTTTGCAGAACAACAGAGACAAAAAAACATACAAGTGAAAAGAGGTAATATTCTTATTATTTATGATCTCTAAAAGCTACAGCATGCAAAATTAGACAGAGAATGAAAGGGAAACAATGCAATTTTTCCCCGGAATTCTCTGCATTTGTTAATTTTTCATTTCATTTACACAAACTCCTTTTTCATCAAGTTTATTTTTTAATGCGCTGTTGTGGTTTGAGGATGTCGGGGACTAACCTAAGTGGTTTCTGGGTAGTATTTAATGGAAAAGTACACTACATTATAGAGAAGCAAAAAATGAGATTAGCTATTGATAAAAGCATGAGAGAGGATGATTATCGTGAATTTGTATGAATCGTTTCTCAACTGTCGTTGAGGAGAGAAATGCAGTGATTTGCATTTGTAATGCATATTTAATTGACATCGATTGCATGTGTTTTTCTTTTTTTTTGCTTTCTCGTGATAAATGTGCGAATATATTGGGTATGGCAATGAGATGGGGATGGTGTGATAAGAGAGAGCATTTCATGGTTCAATGAAAAGATGGGTAGAGAGTCATGAGATGCCAAAATGAATGTGTGCTGCGTTGGGATTTTCACCAGGGAAAATCCACACGGAGGCATTATATATCGTATCTCGCGTCAATATAATGAATTTTGAATCACCTCCCCTTGTCTACACCAATTTCCCTCGCACTTGTGAATTGGTAAATTCAACAAGCGTTTATCTATTGCATTTTAATTTCATCTTAATACATTTTTCCAATCAGTCTTTTCGGTTAATTACTTTTTTCTTCGCTACAACGTTAAATGCTTTATAGTTTATAATATTTTTTTTTAATGTTATAATTATTTGAGTTACGATTCTTTTTTCTCAGGTCTTTTTGGCAGTTTTCAATAAGTTGCTCGTAGAGTGTCTTTTCGCGGGAAAACACAAATTCTCGTTGAATTTACGCAGTCGTTTTTCTCATTATACATATACATATATATATAGTATCAGTGAAATTTAAATGCATTGTTTGGGTATTCGTGGCGCCTTCTCCCGAGCTCCCGTCGGCCCCCCGGGAACTAGGCCATATCGATTTGCCCCCAGTTACTGGCGCTGCTGAGGAGGGACTCGGGTGTTGGTGAGGGGAGAGGCGCAGCGCCTGTGTGGCAGGGGTGCTCCTCAAGGCGCCGCGGGAAGGGGCGCCGGGAGAAGGGCACTCTGCGGCCGGCGGCCTACGAGTCAATAGAGAGTGTGTCGACGTCGAACTTGAAACTTACTTGCCGCTTGGCTTCGCCACCCCTGTCTAAATCTACCTTCGAGTAGGGGTGGTGTGCGTGGGCGTAGGTGTGCAGGGGGTAGGCCGAGGGGTGCGTGAGGTGGCTGGCGGAGTAGGAGAAGTGCGGGGCGGTCGGGGGGGAGCGCGACAGGGCGGGATAGGAGGCGTAGTGGTGGCGCGAAGGGGAGGTGGAGCTGAGGATGCCGTGCGGAGGTGATGTGTGGTGGTATGACGATGGGGCTATGACGGGCGGGTTGCTGTAGACGGGTCGGGAGTAGAGGTAGCTGGGGGAGGGCTTGCGATTGCCGAATTGAGGCGCCGGCGGGACATGGGTGTCGAACAGGCCGCCGCCGTACGTGGGCGATGTGTAGATGTTGGGGTGAGAGTAAAAGTTCGAAGACATTGCGAGATCGGGCCACGTGGGCAGCGTGGGCTCGCGGCTGTAGAGTGTGGGGTAGCTGCCGCCGCCGAAGGAGAGCCGGCGCGTGAGTGATGAGGACCTGGAGAGGGGCCGCCAGCCGTCCGCACAGAGGCCACTACTCTGCATCGTGGGCAGGGAGTAGTAGTCGCCGGCGGTCATGCTCGGGAGGCCGCCGAAACTGTATCGGCGCCGCGGCGGCGGCGATCCTGGACCAAAGGCGGAATTGTCATAGGCATACGGTGATTGGTAGTGGAGAGGCGATCCACTGACGCTCCCCAGGGCTCCGGCTGCGCTCAGAGGCCCGCCGCTGCCGTACAGATGCCCGAGGACATCGGGCGGCATTGGCGGTGGACTGCCACTGGTCAGGTTGCTCAACATCTGAAATTGTGTGGCCAAAAAAGAAGAGCACATTTTTGTCACCCACTTTCTCACACCGCTTCACTTCTGTCTCAGTGATTTTCTCTCGAACTCTTACGCGAACGGAGGCCCCATTTTTGATTGCAATGATTTTTGGCGCGAAATCTCTTGAGCGTCAACCGCGAGATCGCATCGTGACTACAAAATATGTTGCCAGTCACAGGAAGTGGGAGCTGTAAGTATTTTTCTTGTTTGTTCTGATGATATTTTGGTGTTTTCTAAGAAAGACGAAAACGAATAAGATGCAGGAAAACATACATTCAACACATAAGACAAACATAAGTTGTACAAATTAAAATACTCGTGTAAAATAATATCAACCAATTTGTCTAAGGAAATTGTTGATCATTTCTCAACTGTGGAATCTTCCGTGTCTCTGGAAATTATCATGTTTCTCTCAACGGAAAATGTGAAAAATGATGACAAAGGAACAGAAAAAAATACATAAATTAGTGAAAGTGTTTAAGTGTTAAGTGTGTGTGTGTGTGGTGTCTTCTAAGGGAAAAGACAGGGTTTTTCTTTCCTTTTTTCATTATGCCTTTCTCCATCACACACAGAAAAAGTGCCAATTAGCATGAACATTAATTGGGAGCCGTCGTTCCTGATAAGTTTCGTCAAAAATCTTGCTAAGTGGTCTTTTTGACGAAAGAATTATTTTCTTTCCGCAATTTTGTCTTCGAAATTTACTCTCACCCGCTTTTATTTTTGTCTTTGCATTTGAACTCTTATACTCAAACATGATGAAAAATGAGTTTGCTATCATTCTTTTTTTGCCATCTAATCTTTGCGTTTTGGTACACAAAACAAGATAGAGATTATATAGAGATAAAGTTTGACAAAAATAAGGAGTTGTGATAAAACAGATTGAAAGAACAGAGAAAGAGAGAGAGAGATAAAACGAAAAAATGTGGTGTACAATTAAAACACACATTTATTTATTTTATGTGCCCAAAATCAATCGTTTGATATATACGAATTCAAGACACTGCTTTAAAGATGCAATGCGTGGCGCAAATAATAATTCTTTCGCCAAAAATAATAGTTGGATAAAAATAGTATAATTAAAATACAATAACTTATCATATTTAAATATTATAATTATAGCTGCTAGCTTAGGAGTACAAAATATCTTTAATTTCAGCAAATTTTCACTTATTTCTTGTTTTGAGAAACTTGCACGGAGTTTATATTCTTTTGATTGCTTTGAGCGCTTTGAGAGAGAAAAGTCTATCTTACGAATATATTCAGAGAACGTAGCCTGAAGTGAAATAATAGTTGAAAACCAAGAAATATACAATGATACGTTATTAAAAGGAATAATTTAACAATGTTCATTTATATACGGCTCTTTCTTGCCTTCTCACGGTCGACAATTAAAGTGAAAATACTTGTGAAAGTAAAAATATTTATATGCAGAATAATAAAAAGAGGAATATGAAACATAATCGAATAGCAGCGCAACTAATAAACACAAAAAGTCATATAAAAATATAAGGAACTGAAAAAATGAAAGAATTATGGGCACACATAATAAATAAATTTTTTTTCTTTTCTGTTTATCATCACACATAAAAGTGTACGCTTTTCTTCCTTTCTTTCAAATCACTTATCCAAGTATATAAAATTCAATGTTCTCTTAAAGATCGTGAATGTGTGTGCATGTTGATGTAATTCAGTTGTAATTTGCTCTTGATTTATATTATCTGTTTGACGAGGGGGGGATTTGGGGGAAGGCGATGAGTAGAGAAGAGAGTGGATGCTTGGAAAACCAATTGTGAATGTAAGTGGAAAAATGAAATCACATTTTCCGATATCATGTTCTCGGTTCTTTTCTTCCAATCTATTTCTGCAGATGCTGAAGGACAGATTCGCAAAGGAATTTCTTTGACAATATCAATTATCGGAGCATTCTGCAGGAAGTGATGTGAGATGGAAGTGGTTGAAAATGAGCAGAAAGTTGAGAAAATTTATGATGCGGAGCACTTATGGGACAATAAGAGCTTGTTTCTGATGGTGCTTTGGGCGTATTGGAGCACATTCCCCTGATGCATCTGGTTGTGTAGTTACAGGAGAAAAAAAAAACGCAGTTTGACTTAATTAATGTAAGTAATAGAAGGAGAACTGAGTGAAAGAGTATTATTTCAGCATCACTCTATTGTCAGAAAAGTACACTTCTCCTGGTAACTAACCCAATTTTCTTTCTTATGTTCCCTTTTGTAAGTTTTGCAAGTGAATTTTATACACACAATTGACACACAAAACGTGCATACATAAACGGGATTGTATTTTCCAGTGAAGGAGCGTCGCAGGGGATGTCTAATTGAGTTTGAATGTACACATATCCCGAGATCTTTCCCATGTGGGGACTATATTTTTAATAGTTGGATGCATAAAGAATAGTAAATGAGAATATTTGTAGAAAATAAACGTAATTCATCTTGGCTATACTAATTAAATAATTCATGTTTCTGTCTCTCTTAATTGCAGATTTAATCAATGTTACCTGTTTTTGTGCCATTGCCTGCATTTGCTGGAACATTTGACGCTCTTCCTCTTTGCCTGCTTTTTGGGGTGATAATTTCCCAGTGGAGAAAATATGAAAAGCAGAGTTTTAATTGGACCATTTCGTAAAAGAGTTATTTAGCGAAAAAGTGGTGAAAACTGATGCAATGCTTCCTATCAATTTTGATTGTGTGAAGTTGTTTCAAAATAATATGTTTTATGAACAGAAGTTATGATTATTCAAGCCAATTGTTTCCTAAAATAAATCCATACACTTACCCATACCCTTGCTCTGAAGCATCTCCAACAATTTCTTGATACTCTCATCGCGAGCCTGAAGAGTTTGCTTTTGCGTCTCAATTCGCAGTTCCAACTCCTGTACAAGCATCACATTGAGAGTTTAGAATGTAATTTAGGACTGTCGAGTGCTACTCATTCCTCACCTTAATCGTGTCCCTGAGAATGGCAATTTCCCTCGTGAGGTGCTCATTCTCCGCATAAAGTTGCTCCATCTGATTTTGCATCTCAATGCTGGGCTGTCGCATTCGCATGCGAAGTTCCTCTTCAAGTTGTCTCACCAACATTGCTTGTTTCTAGATATCAAATCATCGAGGTGAGATAGATTTTTCATTGGATCTTTCGAGGGCTGATATGTGTGTCACTCACCTGATTCTCATTATTTAGCAACTTCAATTGATCATTTATGAGACTATATTTAGCACTCTCTTCTTTTCGCAGGGCGCGCTCCTTCTTCAACTCTGGCGACCAGAATGTCTTGATGCTGTGCATTGAACTGCCGAGCTTCTGATTCGTCAGATCCAATTCGCGCTTCAGCTGACCCAATTCACGCTGCAGATCCGAGTTCTGGTGTTGGAGATCACCGAGATAAGAGCGATCGGTTGCCAAGTCTGTGGTGGAAAAGGATTGAGTTACTATAAATTATTCGGGTGCCAGTGGAAATTTACTCAATGGGCCCGGACTTTGTCTTGCTGATCGTCCGTAGAGCTCATCCTCGAGGTAGAGTCCACGCTCGAGGCTGCGATCGCGCGATCTGTCGCGGGGCTCGCGGATGGGAATGAACTCCCGATCGTGCGGATCGACGAGCCCGCCTCGGTCCAGGGACTGATAGCGTGTGCCTGTGGGAGTGGAAGAGAGGTGGAAAGTGAGGTGGAATCGCGAGTGAAGGGGCGGATGGACTCACGGGTGTAATCCATTGCGTGCGAGATGGGTGGCCGGCTGGCACTCCTGCTGCGATGGTGCCCCCCGCCAGCCGGACTCGTGGGCTCATCCATATCCCGATAGTATGGGCTGCCCATTGCTGCAACGGAATTGTGGTGATAAGTGGAAGATTCGGGACCGTAATTCATGGGGAAGAAGGAATTGCCGGAACGTGAAAAGCGTAAGTTTCGTCCTAAAAGATACAAATTGTTGGGCACAAACTAAGCACAAAAGTCAACCAATTACATTTATTTTGTGAAATGAGGTTTTCTTCGGGGTGTGTGGTAGCTATATAGGAGAATCCATGTCTCTTGCGCATCGGTTTTCTTTTCGCTGGGCAGAAGAAGAAAAATTATGTAATATGTGAAACAAAATGCTGAAACAATAGTTTTTTTTTCTTTTTTTCTGTGGGTGAAGAGAAAACTGAATATGCATGATGGCATGAAAGGAGGAAAGAGTTGTCGGATGGGGTGTTGTGATGGGGAATTGTGCTGTACTTTCTCACCTATAGGACTTCCTCTCGTGCCGTATTCCCGTGACGGTGAACGATCAACTGTCGGGAGTTCTGTGATGCGGCGTGCGGAACGGCCAGGACTTCGTGCGCCAGAACTGATGGCCGGTGCTGAAGTGTAGGCTTCTCGAGACATAATACACCGCGGAAAATCCGCGGTTTATTTCTGCAACAAGAGCAAATTGATGTTATTTGGAATGCCAGTAGTTCTTTCCCGGGAATTGTGACTCGAGCATTTGGTAGAACTGTGCGGGGAGTATCAATACCCCTTTTGGCAATGTATTTTGCAATTTCTAATGTGACTTTCGTGTTCTTTTCCCTGTACAGAGTGTGACACTTTAGCAACATTTGTGGACATTGTAACACAGACAAGTTTTTTCAGAACATCAAGAGGCAATGGGAAATTGTACTTATTTTTCTTCCTTATTTCTTAATTAGTTTCCAATGATAGAGATTTATTATCGCTTACCGCAGCAGAGAGGTGATGTGAGTGAAAATCTGTAGAATTATTTATGGATTACTGTTGAGTGCTTCCTCAAATGTCTTACAAAATGCCACTGATAAATATATAAATTGACCATAAAATATAGAGGAAAATTCCCAGTGATTTTCTGGGGTAAAAGGACTGGGATGTTTGTCGAAAGCTAAAGTCATGCCTCGAGGGGGATGACACAAATTGTGGTGGCGGGAAATGATGTCATGTGAGCATGTGTGCTGGAAGAGTTTGCCTTCAACGAAAGAATGAAGCTTGCCAGTTCTTCGGCAAAGAAACTAACGGAGAGGAGAATCAATAAAAGGCGGGTGATTGTGGGACTTTTTTCTCGTCGCATGTTAGATATGTTATGTATGTACATGCAATACATATGAAAAAGGACGAAAAAGGCGATTTTTCTCACACTCACCCATCATGCGTGAAAATTCACAGAGGCGCATATATATAAAATTTGAACAGTAGAGAGGAAAATAAAAAAAAATCCAGTGAATAGCGAGAAAGGAAATGGATCTCGAGGGATGGTATCAGAGTTGGGTTATTTATTTCTGTATCATTGAGTGTGAAATTTTGTGCTGACGACAATTTTGCAACAATTTTCCGAGCGTTTTATTGACTAAGAATATTATTGTTCATTCTAGAGATCAACATCAACAGGGTCAGAATGCCCTGGTGGAAAATAAGAAAGCAACATGACTTGGGGATTATTTGCTGTGCCTGTTGGCGGACTTGATGACAAAGGAGCCGAGACAAGCATCACCGTGCGTCCTGATGCGGATGAGAGAGTTTCTCATCAGTGTGCGCCTGATGACCCCATCTGTGCGCCCTCCATCCATCACCATGGAGAAGAGAGTCCTTTCACGAGAGCAGGCAAGTGCATATTCTTCACAATTCACGTGTGTGCACTATCCCAATGCCGCCCCGTCGCATGGCATCTTGCTAGTCGGTGGCTCATCTTCACGTGGGGTGTGCGGAAATGATTCGAGAATGACTTTCTTATTATCGCACTATGTCATGTCACTTAGTGTTGACATTCCAGTTATCACACTGACGAGAGATGAGATAATTCATCCCTTGTTTGTGCTACTATGTATGAATTTCACACAGTACCGTCTCACATTATTTCATCCCTCTCGCTTCCGTTCAAAATGGATGTTTTCTAGAACCCTCCAAATTATATGGAAGAGTTTCATAGTGTTCTTTCTAGAGTATCACAAAATGGGAAAAGTTGTCCTTGCTATTACACTAGAACTGCGTGGGTATGAGAAAATTGGTGGCAAGATGTAGTGATAGAAAGTATGACTCTCGGTTCTGATGAAATCAATTGATATGGTGCCCAATTCCATTCCACTTTTGTCGCCCGAGTAACGATTGAATAATTTCGATTAAGATACCAATTACTGGATACTGAGAAGCATGAATGAGGTTGGGAGAAAAGAATGGGTCTATTGATTTCATGCCTTCACAGTTTTCGGCCTCTCTTGCGATACACTCACAATATATATAAATTGTATTGCAAACAGCCATGATTTTGAGAATCTCACATGAAATCAATTACTGCTTGAATATAGTCTTTAACCTCTGCGTGGTTATGATTTTTTGTTGTCTTCTATTAATAGACTTCTCATGTCTTTCACACATATTGAGTTGCACAAGAAGAAATGTTTGTAGAATTGGCACAGAGGCCATTGGATTTTCTCCAATAATAATTCTCTTTTTAATTTGATTTCCCATTCCTTCTGTCTCCTTGCCAGCTATTGATGTTCGAGCACTTGTGATTTTGTCAGGAGAACGCTGAGCGAGCGGGAAGGAGTATGCGGAGAGCATGTCAACCACCATGTTTCGCGTGTAAAGCCGCAGTACTTAAAATTCATACGCGCTTCAGTTTATTGGGAGTAACATATACAAACGTCATATCTGTAGTGTGAATTTTATGTATACTCGGAAAAAAAGCACTAATAATAGCACTAGAAATGGTCGAGAGGGTCTGTGAGCATTATGTTTATTTTCATTAGCACTCTCCAGTGCTCCAGTGCAGGACAAGAGCGTGGGATGGGTTGAATAAACCCTTCGCATCATGTTTGAATTTTATAGAGATGATGACGAATAATTAGTTTAAGGGTGACCCCGATAATGCCACTTTCATCTCTCCCTCTCCGCTAAATTGCGATTAATGGACATTGTTGAGCCTCGTGGGGGCGCCTATTGCTGTGGAGACGCCTAGTGAAATACATGTCAAAGGCAGCTTAAAAATTCCTCTGGCTTTTCTCCTCTGCCTCCATGCCATCATTCATGTGCCCAGAATTTTCAATTAAATTCTTCTCCATGTCATCTACGAGATAATCATAATGGGATTTTTTGTTGTTCCCAGGATATGTGGATTAAAAATGCTCCACCTAAACTGGAATTGTTTCGCTTCAAATGGAATTTATTTGGACGAACAAAAGGAGATGAATTGTCTATGCATAGACAATATATAGATTGTTTCAATTAACCTCTTTTCCGAAGAATATGTAATTTATTGGTGAAAATATTGCATATTTTATAGAGAGGGAAACAAAGTGGAAAAATCCAGTGAAGCAACATGGAAAAGCACTAAACTTGTGGACATTTCTCATAGTGAGATGACGGCGGAGTTAATTGACTATCTCAACCGCAGGATATTACAGTGTAAAGTGAGACCGTAAGATGCGTGAAGATGACAAAATGGCCCAATGGGGAGAATCTTGTGATTTGTGGTGGAAATGTCCCGCTGGCAAGTGGCTGGGAAATGTTTCATTGACCTTCTGCCGGGGCAAATGACCCACTTTTGAGGCACATTCTCGCACTCCATGCGATGTCATTTTTGGGGACAATGCGAGACATGTGGTTTATTTGGTACGATGGTGCGGTCCAAAATAAGAACTCTCCATCTCCCGCTGTAGCCCGAAGATGCCATAAAAGTCATCCATGCAGTTGAGGCGAGCGCTTTGGCGCTATTTTTCCCATCAGTCAGTCGATGGGGGTGAAAAGGGTTTCCCCTATTTGGGACACAGTTGTGCAGCAATTTAATAAATTTCATAGTTCACCCACTCACTGGGTAATGGGAGGAAATTTGAGGTCATCCGGTGGGGTGGAATTGTCTCCATTCTCATGTGGTTTGTGAGATAATTTAGTGTGAAAATTGCTTGAATGTCTCACAGTATTTTTTTTCACGTTCATTCATGAAAATATTTCTCGGTTGTTCACGAGCACAAGAGGATGAGTTTGGGGACAGGGTGGAGAGAGACCTTGTCTCGATATACCCTCGAGAGGATTTTTCGGGTTGTTTTTCTGCAGCGCCAAACAAGACTTTTCACCCATGATCTCGCACCCCTCGTGAGGTACAATTTTCACTCAAGTGGAGAGATTTAATCAAGCGATACGCTTTTTTTTTAGGATCAAGCGATGAATTCACATGAGATTCATTTACATGACTTGTGAGGAGATTTTCTTGGACTTGTTCTTGGCTCAACATTCTCTCGCTCTCCCTGTGTAAATTGTTCGAGACAGCGAGGCAACAGTGACGGAGAGAGAAGCGATTGAAAAGGGGGTGGAATGGGAGAAGAGGAAGCCTATTCTTGGCCACTGAGACGCGCCAAGACACTCCTCGTGGAGCCGTGAATAATTTATTTATCACATTGGCGCTTGAAACGATTTTCTTCGTCTTTGAGGGGCATTTCTTCAAAAGAGAGCCTCACCACTTCCTACATGGAATTTATTGTGAAATAGAAATCCACTTGAGTCTCTTTTTCTCTTCACTCTATCGAATTACCAGTTGGGCGGGGGGTGGGAGGGAGTGCGATGCAGAGAGGAGAGAAAATAAACTTGACTCTGGTGAATTAATTAAAAATGTGTGTGCTCTTGGTTGTGGGACAAATTAGTGTAATCTCATTTCTGCTTTGCCTCACACAAATCACTCAGATTGTCCTCCACGTTTTTCGCGCAGATTAAACCCAGCAACTGTCACCATACACCCATGTCTTAATACATCCACCCTGGTGTCTTGTAGTAACTCCCCCGATAATATGATGAGCGCGAGAAGAATTTGCAATTTGCTAATCTCTTCACTGTGCACCTCACGTTTCGGGATCACTCACGCGGGTATTTACAAACCTCTAAACAAGCTTGTTGATATAGTGGGGCGCGCGAATAACTGGGGAGCGCCGAAGGGGTGGAGGCATGTGGTAAAAGAGCCATGAAAAAAGAATCACTGTGAAAGTAAATTCTATAAATATCCATTGAAAACACCAGACACACCATCGGATGAGCCGCTGCTGCTCTAAGTAAACGGGGGAGCAGAAATGGAGGAAAAAGAAGGGGGAGAATAAAATGTGAAAAAGAAAAATCATTTATGAGAAGCGACTGTAATTTACACAAAAATCTATGCCGCGCTGCTCATCTCCATATCATCCCATGATAGGGAGAACGATAAAAAATAAGTGGCAGATTGAGAACAAACTGTTGTATTATTCTTATGAAATTGTCCGTGGAGTCTCTTTGTGGGGATTATGTCCCGGGAAAGGGAAATCATGGCGAAAAATTCAATACTTCATATTAATTCTGCTTCAGTGAATGAAATCATATTAAATTTCTGCATAATCCAATGAATGATGTTTCATCCAACACAGTCTCAATTCTGTGTTATTCTGTTTTATCCATAGTGACTCTATTTGACTTTTAGTCACTGTAAGAGAGAAACCGAAGCGGAGGAGTTTATGCCATGTTGAGACATTTGAGATGAAAAATCGTCTCTTCATCAAAATTTCCATTAAATTCGGTTCTTGTTGACCAATTATGATTGATATCACATTATCCCCCAAGCAAATGAGTCTTATTAAAAATGCATAAATTAGCATTAGGCCATCACCATAATTAACAATTAATATGTCGTGAAAATATTCCATGACAAAAGGCTTTAGGAGTTAATTTCGGAAAATTTCCAACATTTCTTTCAAACTCTGACAATCCAGCCAATGAATCGCTTCTCAAACCCATCCTCTGAATAATTCACGTGAGGCATTCGATTTTTGCAAGACTATTTCTGCTGTTGAAATGCGATTATGGATGGGAAGTAAATTCTAAAGTGAGTCTTCACAACTTCCCGTTTTTCCTTCATTTAAAATTGAATCAATAAGTACACTCGAAGCACATATTCCTTCTCTTCCACTGCTAGACACTCTCCTGTTCCCATTTGAGACTTGAGCCATTGTGTGAGTTAAATGTGAATGAGATGTGAAGGAATTTTTGAATGAAGGAACATACAATTGGGTGTGTTGGGAAATCCATCGGAAAGGGCATGCCTTCTTCGCGTTTCACTGTTTTTTCTTCCAAATGATATCCCTTGCATGGTGATTAAATATTAAATATTTTTCCAATCGACTTCGGGGAAAGAGTTTACATGTGCGGGAAAATGTGATTGAATCGATTGTAGAGAGAAAAAAATGGGGTTGCAGTAATAAAGAGAGGGAAAAGGGCATGTGGAAATTCATAGAACAGGAAATAAAATGTCATTAGCTGAAGTGTTTGGCTTTGAGCAATCACTGGGAAAAGGTAACTTTTAATGAAAATATCAGAAATTTCTATGTTTCTCATGATCATCCTTGTGCATATTATGGTAATTTTTGAAATCAGTTTGATAACAGATAACAATCACCAGAGAGGCGACCCTTATATTTTAGGTGAAATGCTCGGTCATCAACTAGAGGGTCGGGAGCTGGGTATGGATATCCAAATATTAGCTTATGTATGGACACATAGGAAGAATATCAAATCACTTACAGCAATTGAAGTCAGACTTTCTAGCGGCATATCTCCGGGAAATCCACACGTTGCTCTCTAATTTATCTGGCAAATACTTTCTCACGATGTTCTGCTGAATTCCTTCGTCACTTTTCTCCAACTCACTCCCTTTTTTCCTACAGCTCTTGTGATTTATTCTCTTTTCTGCCTTGTCGCGGGGGTGAAAAAGAAGAGTTCTCGAAGTAATTCCAAATAGAGCTCTTGCTCCCTCCCTTTCTCTCTCTCTTTCTCTCTTGTAATTTTCCCTGTTGATTTCTTACTTTCCTGTACAAATTATCTTTATTTCCAACTCCACAAACACCCTTATATTTTCCTGGTTTCAGAGCGAGGAAATGTGGTGATATGACGATGGAATAAAACTATTATTTTGCTATCTAATATACAATATGTATGTGGATATAGGAGCTTTTTCGTGGTTGTCTGTCGTTTTGCGCGAACATTGATTTTCGCACGATGCGGAGGCCAAAATATTCTCGTCGGGGACACACGAGAATTGGGGAAATCTGAAATGTTGCTCACCATAAAGTTCTTTTATGGGATTTCATGTGAAGCGCGCTCAACTTTCTCTCCACAAAATTTCAATTACCGTCTTTGGAGAAGAGGAAAATTTGTCTGGGAAACCAAAGTTGGATTTAAAGTTGATATGGGGTAAAATTTATTGGATCCATGCAAAAGAAATGTTTGCAAGTTCTACTTTTAATGATCCGCAATCAGCATAGAGTTTAATGCCCTATTGATTCTATTTATCAGTTCATTTGCGGGATTTCATGAGATTTAACTGATTTAAATAGTTATGGCATTTTATAATTTTATCGCATTATATTGAGTACAAATATAACGACTTTATTCTATGAAAATTCTTTATTATTTCGAGTTATTACAATCAGCAAATAAACATCAGCAGCAAAATGACCGGCAGCAGAACGCTTAAAACATGTGTATTCATAGTGAGATAAATATCTGTTTCAGCATAGTAAGCGTTTTATATTGAAGCACGAGAATCTATTCATCTGCACCAAAATTCCTCACAGGGATTTATTACGCTTTAGCTTGCATTTCTGTGCAAACTTTTTGACTACGCAGAGATAGTTGTGAAAATACATATTTTCACCCCATTTCTAGCAAACTCTTCACTTTCTCTAAAGTATCTCTGCTCTTTTCATGCATTCTCGTGTCTCCTGTGAGTCATCTGTGGGGTGCACTCATTGAATCGGTGATGACTCTGCTGCCGGGGCTGAAAATTAATGGGGGTGGGTGGACTGAGAGGTGATGAATAATGGGAAAATTATAGAGTGTACAACCAGGAAAAAGAGTCCACCTCGCGCGCCCAATCAACGCGCCAGAGAGAGCTTTACACCTTCATTGGAGTCGCACGAGCTCGTGTGCGTGGGGGTGGGTGGTCGGGAGGAGGGCGCCCCAGGAGCCCGCCAGAGAGAGAGGGAGAAATCCAGTGAGAGACCAGCAAAAGAGAGAGAGAGAGAGAGAGAGAGAGCGGGTGAGTAAGTCCGGAGAGTGCGAGAAATGGCACAAATTGACACGAATCGATACACACTATACAATTGGCTGGTTGGAATTTTCACTACGAAAGAGGCCCCCCAACACATAGACAAAATGGAATTTTATGGGCGCCACTTGATTTTCCAGCCCCCGTGTGTGATGGGAAAATGTCCCGGGAGATGTGGAAAAATTCATCTCATGAATTTTTCCGTGTGAAATTTCTTGGTCACGGAATATTTTCTTCACATGAGGTGAAATATGAGCTTCACCATCACGAGGCGGGGAAAAGTGATGAAAATTCTTACTCACACACCACACAAGTGAATGGTGAATTTTTCCAGCACTTTTTCCCACCTTTCTCCCTTTACTTTTTCTTCACCTCTCTTCTTCTGTATGCCTGATTCCGTCGGACGCGCTTTTCCACTGTCGCTGGGAAATACTATAGTCCGTCGTCGTCCATAGTGGAAAAGAAGAGTGAGTTTTTCTTCATGGCTTTTTCATCCAGGTGGGGGGCGGAGGGAAGGGCTTTTCCACTGGGGCTCGAAACACACTTTTCACTGGGCCATGGCGCCCCACGGGGTTCTCTCGGGGTGGCTTTTCCGTAGCTCTTTCGCCCCCAGCCTCTGATGGTTTTTGCGCTCAAGTTGGGGGTGGGGGTTTGGCATTATTTTTCACCCAGAAAATTATACCCCATTTTAGGGTCACTCGAAGCACTGCCCATTCCCTCCTGCACACACTTTTCACCCAATCTCACGAGTTTTTCTCACTCTTGTCGTTTTTCACTCACTTTCTTGCACTTTTTCCACCACTTTTCCAGCTTTCCTCTTCCAGGCCACGGAAAAATTCCACACTAACCGAGTCCGTGGTGTGGAAAATGTCCCGTGCTGGTGCAATATGGGCTCTTGTGGCAATGTGAGGATCGATGAAGGACTTCTCACCACCGCCAGTTGAGCCTCACTTCAATTTTCAGCCACTCTTTGCACTTGTTCCACGACGACGAACTGATTCTGGTGCACTTTTCCACACCAAGAGTGCTTCGAGTGAGAGGATCAATGAAAAAGGCCCCAGAGATACGGATTCGGCGCATTTGGAGCTACGTTGGGTGGCCAGAACTCTCACGCGAGAGGCTTTCTCTGCACAGAATTGAATGGAGCTCCACAGAATTCTCCTCCAACTCATTCACTCTCTCTCCTCGACTCTCTCGCGGGCCCCGCGAAAGAGTGAGAAAGAGGGAAAATTGATTGGGAACACTTGCTGGCCAGGCAAGTCTCCACGGTGCGAGTCTCAACTGTGTTCGCGATGATGTGAGCGCTTCTCAAACTGTACCAACACTGAGAGAGTGAGTATGAATTCAGAGGAATGGCGAGACGCATTAAAAAGACATTTCCAATTTGCGCAGAAGTCTGAGGATGAAGGTAAGATGTTGGTTAATTGATTTTTAATTGAATTAAATTATTGGGCTTTTATACAGACATTTACATATACAAAACACTTTACAGCGATCATAGAGGTTGAAATGAACGATTTTCCGTATAAATTTCAGGGCCTTATTTTAGTCAGTCTTCGATTCTTCCACCCAAATTGTCAGTTAGAGAGCGATTCGGCCATTCCTGACGCATCACCGTGCGGAGTGGAGTGTTTGACTTACAGAAATACTGCTCGTGGTTGATTGGACATGCTATTCTGCCTCCTGTGGGGCACTCTCGGCTACTTGCAAGTATACTCCTCGAAGTGCTCATGGCAAATGTCGCACTGAACGTGGCAGCACCACTGGAATTTGCACCTGCACTGCCAGGTGCGATTAATTTGGTGTGTATTGTAGCCGCGGCCGCAGCAGAGTAGATCACAGCCTTCGATGCCTCTCGCCGTGCGATTGCAGCGGCGGCCCATGGTGCCCAGAGAGCCCAGATTAACGTCGCGTTCGCAGTAATTGGGCGACGGCTGAAGATAGACTAGTTCGAGACGTTTCGGGCGCTGCGCCTTGGCTGGATTCACCACCATTCGGCCTCTTCTGCAATGTGGAAAAAGCGTGAGATGAAAGTGTGTGTTGAGGTGAGACTATGTGCACTAACTTTCTGTTGATCAGCACGAGCTTCCCTTCATCGTGAATGCCCATCACGGGTCGGGCTCGGGTGTGCTTCTTCATCAGGACGTCACCGATGGCCCTCATCGTCGGCAGACTCTTCCAACATGTTCGCATCACACATGAGCCACTGACGCCGTGGCATTTGCACTCTGTGCGCAAGAGATTCTTCACCAACTGCAATAATTAATTGGTGTGAAGACCAGAGAGCATCTCGCTAATGGATTCCAATCATAAAACACCACCACCAGTGTGATGGAATGGCGATGAATGACAAAATTAGTGGTGAGATGCTAAAATTCATACTAACTTCCACATCATTTCCATTCAACGGCCAAAGTAATTATCTGAGGAGAGAGAAATTTTCAACTTGCCTTCCTGCCCACACGATTGTTGTGCAGATTCATGAGACTCCTGGCGTCACCCTCGATTTCTCTGGCATCGAGGAACTTCCGCGCGAACTTCATTCCAAACCCAATGTCGGCTGAACATCCGCCCCACTTCCAATCCTGCCGAAGAGATGGCGATTTTGAAGATGTCTGGCATGAGATGATTGTTTCGAGATTATACCTGATCATGCTGCGACAGTGGAGCTCGATCACAGCCGCAGAGTGATATATTACCTCTGGCACATGCGGCCACGATAGAATGGACGGCACCCGCACTTGCGATCGCGTACGTGAATGCAGCCTCTTTGGATCCTATATGCAAATGAGAGGAAAAGAAATCTTCAGCACAAATGGGATCGAACGATGGAGAAACAGGTGAGTTGCAAAAGATATTTCCCATGCTTTAAATGTTGCTAAGAGTTGCAATAGAAGAGGCAGAAATTTGAATAAATCAATATATGAGCGCGAGGTTCTTTTGATTTGGCGCTCAAGTCGGAGATAATTTATTGGATTTCATCTGTTGTCGTTTAAAATACTCTTGGCGACATTTTATTTATGGAACTACCATATAAATATTGACAATTTATTGTGGACTAAAAGGCTTCGCCAGAGAGTGAAAGAAGGAGAGATCTCTTTGCATAATTTATTGGTAAATCAGAGACGATTCACAATACATTTTTTATGTCAACATTTTTTTTTGCACTGTGCCCTCTCGTTTGGCATTGTCAGTAAACATTGCAAAAATGTCGCGCGATATGGACCCCAAGAGTGGGGTTTCTTCTTCGTGGCCTGGCTTCGCAATGCTCAAAGAGATGAAATGCCCCGAGGAAGAAACGGAAAAGATGCCTCAAATAATATTAATAGTAATGAGGGATAAAATATTTCGAGAATTCAAATCTCTTTGCCATCCTCTGTCGTTTTCCTTTGACTTCTTTCTCGGCTTATTGACCACTTCGACTTCCACTGATGATTTGCACATGATTGGAACGCGATAGAGAAGGTATCGGATTTTTTCTCACGTTTCCCACATTTATCAGTCAACAATAAAATCACACAAATAGAGAAGAAATTTGAATTTCTAATGCACTCTCAAGCCGCAGGGATAGAGTTTCGGGTGAATTCTGTGGTAGAATTGAAGAATAATTTCAAGATTGTGGGGAGAGAATGTAAAGGTAATCCATATGAGACTTAATGAATTACCGTGTAATATTCGTTGTAATCCCGAATGTCATAGTGAAAAAATCGTTGAATATATTTTATATGGGCGAAGTGAAAGAGACTTTTTAATCCATAACCATTTTACATAATTGCTCAGAGGGTGGGCAGTTGAGATTGTGGATATATTTGTTGTAAATTAGCGCCCCAGGATATCCTCGAGAGCCATCTCGCTGCCTTGCTCCATGGCCCAGTGTGCGAAGAGCCAGAGCAAAGGGGATATCGATGAACTTATAAATGATTCATAATCTTCCTCATTATTGATTTTCTCCTCAACTCTTCTCTGTTGCCTCTCACGCGGGATTACCTAGACAAGGTATTTTCATTGTTGATCTTCCACGAATTCAATTGATCAAAAGTCATCTCTATTGATATTGGCAATATTGGTTTTTCGCATGAAAAATTCCTCAATGAAATTATTGTGCGACAAACAAAATAAAAGGGGAGCAAGAGAGAGAAAATGAAGAGAAATTTAGAGCGTGCAATTGCAAAGAAGTATAATAATAAGAACGAAAATGAAAAGAAGCAAATCGATATTGAATGGAGATTTGCATGAAATAATAAAATCAGGTGGTGGAGGAGGAGGATTTTTGGGGGATAATTTACTCTCTTTCTCTCTCTCTGTTTGCATGACAATGGCTGAAAAGAGGTTGGAAAAAATGATGTTGCTCTTTGTGTGCAAAGAAATTGATTTTGCATGCAAGAAATTCTCGCCAGAGGCGGAAAAAAGGATTTCGTGTGCAAAAATTTAATTGTCTTCAATTGTGACGGTGGAGTTTCTTTAAGCCAAAAATATTGCAATTTGATTTAATGAGTCTGGCAAGGGAACAATTGATAAAGGAATTTTCGTGGGTTCTTCCCACTTCTTTGTGAAGGGAACAATTCGTTAGCCTTGTCTTGGGTGAACTGGAACCACGTAGCAAGTAATTGCAAGTGTTAATGGTGTCTTTCTTCCCTCTTCAGAACACTCGAGGCGCCTTCTCTTATCTTAGCAAAGTGGGCTGCAACCTGCTAATTGATTTTCATGACTCTTAACATGAATGATGTTATCGAAAATTAGACAATTTATTGCGACTGCTGATGCCAACGCACATTTTGTACGAACATTGTTTCACAGACACTTTGTGAGTACAGAAAGTCAGCAAATGAATGCATTTATTGAAGACTCCCAATGAATATTTAATAAACAGAGTCTCTAGAGGACAGAAGAAATGAAATTTCCCATCTTAAACTAATAATTCAGGTAACCTGGTCACAAATTGTCAGTCTCTGGTCTAACCCCTTCAGAGTTGTCGAGAGAAAAAGTGTGCAGAGAAGAAGAAAACCAATTTGATTAGCAATTTTCAATTGAAATTTCCCCATTCTACGATTATTCTCGGCATTGCACTTTTTCCAGTGTTATTGCTATTGTTGGGCGCTGGTCTCTCTCTCTACCCCTTAGCTTGGGAATTATATTTGCGAGAGGGCATAAAAAGGTATGACAACGACAAAATGCAATTGCTACGTAATACGGTACTCTGTCGTATGTGCGAATATGCACTTGGCTCTGACCAATTAAATGAGAAAATTGCGATTACAATCTTCCATACTTGGCATAAGGAGACAACAAAATGTTTCTATAATTCCCTTCCATTTCATGAGCTCTCAATGGAGGCTTCTCCTCTGCGTTTGCCATTGGAGAGAAAAAAATCATCTCAATACAACACTGACGGTGGAAATTATCGTTGCGTTTGTTGCTAAGGTAGTGGGCATCGAAATCTATCTATCTGAGAAGTATCTGTCTCTTCTCCTTTCAATATACAGCTTTTAATAGAGTTCATGGTTGAGCATTTACAATAAATATGCGGATTAATAAACAACGCAGTTAGTGTATATGAAATTTTATTATTAACAATCGAAGGTTGGCTATTTTCTACATGATGGTGAATGAATCTATGGGCGATTGGAGAAAAATGTGGAGTTTATCCCGGAGGAAAATGTGCCAATTAATTTAAATGTGAAAATAAAATGAAGTGCAGTCCAATTGGAGTGTCTGTTGAGTGGTTAATTAAATGCAATTACTACCACAAAACGACGTCCCACACATTTGGTATTTTCCACATAATCTCTCACGTCTCTTTTTCCTTTTCTTCCAGCACACGGCCGGTCGGTGTCTGTGAGGAGGATGTCAAGGATGCAAGAGGCACAGCGTCGAGATTGTGCGTGGTATGAGCGAATGAGAGCACAGGTGAGTGTGGCGGGGGGGAGATTGATAATCTCACGGGGAGAGATTTCAAGGTGTAGGTCTCCAGAGGATGCGGCGAGTCAATTGAAAATGACAGACCTCTGGGGAGACCATAAAGTTAATTTGGACAGATTTAGAAGAGAGTTTCTCTACTCTCGCAAATTAGAAGAAATCCCAGCGATGGAAAAGAATCCATGTGTGTGGGTTTTCTTTTGCTAATGAGGTGCGCACGTTCCGGTGCGCCACAGTGAATGGGCATGGATGGCGGAGATGATGCAGTGAAACAATATGAGAGTAGTGACAGAAGGAGAGAGAGAGAGGATTGCGGCTGAATTAGATGATATGAATTAATTGAAATGATGGCACAATTATAAATTCATTTAACAGAGTGACTCTTTCACCTACAGGCCATTTTATTATGTTGTCCTATGGTGTGCACATCACAATCGTACAGCATTAATTACCATTTGCATAATTGCTCCTCACGAGATCATGTTTAACATCATGTTTGTGTCTCTATCGCTAATTGAATTTATAATTCTTCACTCTTGAAAAATCCCGCGCGCACATCTTCGGGCCACCTTTCCATTGAGAAAACGGCGAGAGAACGTGAGATGTTCTTGTGCGGTGATGTGAAAATGTGTAGAGAGAATCTTCCACTTCTTTTCCTGTATATACACTCTCGCGCGAGTCCGGGAATCACAGTGATAGGTACAGAAGGTGGGAAAAAGGAGATTAATTAATCGGGTCTTGGGAGTGCAATTGGCGTAATCAACTAATTGATTTCTCCAACACCCAATAATATCGTCATTTCTTGCTCATTCGCCATTTATCATTGATTAACACCCAGCGAAAGAGGAGTTCTGCGTTGAGAGCAGATGGAAAATCACCGTAGGTGGTCTCTTTAATAATTCTATAAAAAGGAGGGGATTCATTTGATCGGAGGTAATTGCCCAATTAATTAGGGTCATGTTTATACACACTATTTCATTGTTGTGTACATATCTGCAATATAGTTAAAAGCGTAATGTCAAAAGCATTTGCATGTTCTTGCGCCAACTCTTGCCCACCGAATGAATGAAATGCATAGAGTGTGCATTTTACACACTACTTTAGCTAAAAACTCACCGACAACAATTATATGCCCAAAAACCTCCTTCTTCCACACTTGTGTGCAATTCCATCGATGGCCTGATGAAGAGGATCACATTGTGTTAATCTTCCTGGGTGATGTGGAATTGTTGGAGAGAAATAGTCACCTCTAAACTGATGTTGACATTCCTCAGCACCTGCGACGTGTCCCATTGCCAGAGCCACAACAGCGTCGGGGGATTCCGTGCAAAGAGCTCGTTGGACGTGCGAGAGGCCAGGAATTCTAGCGCACAGGATCGATGTGGTGAAACTGGAGACAACCCTGGGGAAGCGACAAGGAGAAACAGGTGAGAAAGAGTCAATAAATTTCGGGAAGAAGCACCTCTTATCACTCCTGGAGCGGTGTTCGAAAGACTTCAACGATAGCTATGAGACGAGCCTGAATTCATTAGTCCTCTTAATTTAACAGATAGGAACGTCTGCCGGATATCTCACTTTTGCCGGATGACAGGGGATATTTTATTGCGCTTTTTCTCTTCCAATTTTTTTTTCTCCTTTAGGGTGTTATTCACCTCGTCCCTGATGTATATAAATTTGTGAAGAATGTCTCGCGTCGCGATGTAAAGTCTTATGGGATGAGATTTTAATAAAGGGGTTGAATTTACATTCTTCGGAATTCTAAGGCGAGATTCTATGGAAGAATCGATATGAATGATATATGAGATGGAAAGAAGAGACACACAAGAGTTTCTTTCAACATTATAACTTATTGTTACGCACAGAGAGGTGAACTTTTCCCCTCCACACTCTGAGTTGAGGAAAATACTGACCGTTTTGCCTCCACCTTGAATCGCGACAGAGATTGTGTGGTTTTCAGCTCATCCTCATTGTCATGACAATAAATTCAACATGTATTAAATAGAGACATCTGTAATACTATGCAAAATCATGTGGCTTCTCGGAGATTGTCCCTTTCACTCGTCTCCTTTTACACACAATGGCCTGAGTGTCTGGTCGCGCACAACCCTCTTGCTCAGTGAAGATTGAAGACTCCGCACACTATATTTACAACTGTTTGAATGAAAATTAAATTTACACACTCGGAATCCGTCAAAAGATCGTGACCATGAGGCTTTCAAGTGTTTCTTTAGCCTTCAAATGTTTGTGAATGATTACTGTTTGACTTAATTATCCACCCCTCGTGGTGAAGCGTTTTCTCTCGACTTTGCACATCTCTGCCATTTCTTGTTTCTGGCTTCCTCGTGGCTCCCTGAACCAGAATGGAATCTCCGTGTTAAATGGACGCAAATGTATTAATTTGAATTTATAGCAAATGCACTGCAGTTTGCGTTGATTGGAGATTTTATGTGGTGATTTTTGCAGATGCGAGGAGAAAATTGATGAATTTCTTGTACACCCACCTGGGACTGCAGTGGAGAGAGCAAGTGGATCAAATTTCACGTGCCGAAGAGGCGAACGTTGAAGAGTGGTGGGCAGGAGGAAGACAGTGGCTTGAAAAATGACTCAATTATGCCAAAGTTTATTGATCACCGCGCACACGGATGGCTGGCATTGCCATGAATGAGGTGAGTCAATGAAATGTTCTTTTTTACCTCTCTTCCTCTTGTTTATCTGCAGCCAAAAAGTGGTTTAATTCGCAAGATTCTGCCTGCGAAGCAGTGTGTGAAGAGAGATTATAGTTGCCGTGCGGTGACAATTTGCGAATCTCGAGTGAATAATCTCTTCGCACTTCTTAAATCCATTGCGGGCTCATGATACATTTGTGTGTATACAGAGTGGAGTGCGGGATTATGGTAATTTCCCATTAAATGTCCGAGGAAGGAGCGGGCGAGATTCATTTGCTGGTGTCTCGCTGAATTGTTTTGCTGCCGTTTCTGCTGCTGGTAAATCTCCAATTTTTCCCGTCTCTCACACTGTCGATCGTGTGAATGAGGTGGATCTGATAAATGGATGTTGTGTGCTTTGATTTCCCCTTAAAAAAATCACCTTTTTCACTGCCTCTTCTCGCCATCTCTCAATCTACATATTTCCATTTTTTTCGTGGTCAATGAAGATATTTTTGTGCCCATCACCGACGTTGATCGTTTAATTTACAATCTTCGGTCGCAGCGATGGTTCTTGTCAAAAGGAACATGATGCAATCTTGCAAAATATAATTGCCAGGAAGAGAATGATTAAAGAGTGTGTGTGTGTCTTGTTGAAATTTGACTAAAAGTCCATCGAACTTGATTGGAATTCGTATGAAAAAGGCTCCTTGTTGCTCTTGAGAGAGTTCATTAAAATTGAAATGCTTTATTTTGGTAATTTTTTCTCGTCTTGGCCTCTTTTTGGGTTGTTTGATAAGATAAAGAGAAGATGGAAAGAATTTATTATAATAATTAATCTCTAAAAAATGTATGGGTTGAAGAAAAACAAACGTGACTAAAATAATATATTAAATCTTTTCTCTGCTCTTTCTCACACAATATTCATGTGTGCCTTTATCGAGATTTTTCTTCATACAACTGATTTTTTTCCGTACATCTTACACACACTCATCAAATCTGCCAATTTTGACTCACAAACTCTAGAGGCGATATTTTTGCAGAGGGCAAAATCTCAATGCACCAGTAAATTGATGGGTGATTTCTTAAAGCAATAGACTTATAATTTTTCTTCTCTCCCTCCCTCGCAATACTTTTTCATCATGTCTATTTATCATGGCAAATGGGAAATCATTTCACTCCTCACCTTCCTCCTTTTTTCATCGCACTTCGCCCTCCACATCATCATTGCATTGGCTGCTATATTGATGCTATATCGTGCATGCAGGAGGAAAGACAGAGACTCCTACAGTGAATTATTCCTTCATCTTTTGTGAATCTCTGCTCTTCTCCTCCCCCAGTTTGCCCCCTTTGTTGCTCACTCAGTCTCCATTTTCTGTGTATATGTGCACTTTTAATGATTTATGTAACATTTGCAATCAGCACATTTTCCACAGCATCGCTCTATGCGTCTCTATAATTATTATTAGTGGAGCGATAAAGGTGTAATTTAGTGAACACAAGAAACTCCCTCATTTTCTTCTCACTGTCTTCGCTTCTCCCCCATCGTGCCTTCAATCAGTTCAATGTTGCGATTTGGAGCATATTTACCTCTAATTGCATATTAACGTAGGAAATATTATGGGTGGGAGACGAAGATGAGATTTAGGGCCAAATTTAGCGTCAGAAATTCATATTCTACTTCCCCTATGCCGAGTCGTTCTCTATGGTCAGAGTAACTAATAGTTAATTATCGTTGAAGATGATGTGTACTAGAAGATGGGATTAAATTAAATTTTACATTCCCACGGCAATTTCCTCCTTGATCAATCTCACCCACCCAATTAGTGCACTTTCATTGCGACTTATGGCTCATGTCCCTAATCTCTTGTTCATGCGTCTTCTTAATTTTCTCCTCCGTCAAGCCATTTAATCCGAATGCACATGAGCACGTATGCAAGCGAAGTGCATCAGCAGCAAATGCTGAAGTGCACAAGTAAGCGGAGATATTTGTCATCTCAAATCAAAATATGTGTACAACACTCCTTGTTGGGTGCAATTGTATCGCGTGATTTCAGAGTTTTGTGCTTTATTGAATTAAAATATGTAATATCTATGTATAATGGCGTGGAAGATAATTTTTCCCAGAACAGTCTCGTCGCTCTCACGTGTCTCTCAGGTGTTACAATCAATTAATGTTGTAGTGAATGTTAGCACGATGTTGAGATCACAAAACATGTGTTTTAAATAATTTTTGTGACTTTATCACATCCATCGTTCTTTGCACTATGATGAATTCTCCATGTGGATTTACTTTATCTCTCTCAGGTAATCTCTTCTCTGGTGGGGAACTTTTTGACTCCATGGCTCAGGCATGACATGATTTTTCTGGTATTTTGTACAAAATCACAAACTCTTGCAAAAGCGACTTTTTACCTTTTGTGTGGTAAAGGAGGTGAAGATGGAGAGAAGAAGAGTGATCTTTTTATCTCCTTTTTGCCCTCTCATTTGGCCAAATGTGATTAATAATGGCAACATGTTTATTAATGGAATGATAATATCTTCGAGATTGCATCTCTTCACTGTGTGATTAATTCTTGTACATAGACAGTGAGTGAGGGAAGAGGCGAAGGATTGACGAGATGGACAGTTGATGAGTGTGGTTGACTAATGCTGCTGATGGAGGAGGATTAGCATGACAAGGTGTTGAACACACCGTATGATCTTTTGGATGTTATTATCCACGATTTTTCATAGCATGATGTAAGCACGGTGAGATCGCCAGAGACTGATTATCCCGTGACTTTTCTCGTATTAATTGCTCATTCAAGCATATTAACTTGTATGACTCCGAAGGATTTCACAGATTTCTCTCCATAGACAACCGTCTCGATTGTGTTGCTAAACCACACACAAAATAGTCGGCAAATAATGGGGTAAAAAAAAATAACTCTTTTTCAACATCTTTCACTTTACCTGATTCCCAAAATGAGCAACATGAGCAGGAGAAAAATGAAAGATTTGCACATTGTTCTTCGCAACATTGCTCGCCTCTATGTTAAGTCATGTTTCACGGAAATTTTCACCACAAGAACTACACTTGGAATTTCCACGAAATTTTTCACTCACTAATTATTGGTTTATAGTTAACCCATTTGATTTTGCCTTCTGCCACACAAGACACAATAACAGTTTTAGTGGGGTGAAATCTTGAGATTCTGACTCATCTCTCGTCACTGGTTCTCGCGCAGAGATCTTCCAGAATTGATTCGTTGGCAACGGATTAATTAATTTTCTGCTTATCTCTCTTGCTTCTCATCAATGAATCTCCATCTGGAGTGTTTCTGAATGTGTTTAAATTAACATTTTCAATCGTGTCTCAATCGATCTCCACAAGTGGCCGATCTGTGGGAATATTCGGCAAGCTTCAGGTGGGATTTATTGATTGAAATTGCCCCACGACGGAGAACTCTATAAGAATGACTGATCACTGGAGAACTGTTCTGAATGCAGCCAAACATTTAATTTATGATTAATTAATGGATTCCACGTGATGACTGATGATCAATTATTATTTGCTTTTACAGGATGCTCTGGTGTGGTCTGGAAAGTATCAATTTGCAATGGTCCGTCGATTTGCTGGCCTCACTCGTGATGGACGTGAGTGAAAGAAGTGAATTGTGACACATTCAGGTGAGCTGGACACAATTTTTTTTTTTTATAATTCTCTCTCACTCTCATAAAGAATATTTGCATTCACAACCGTTTCGGACCACCAACTATCCGGAAATAACTCCGTGTCTCTCTCTCTTCCAGTGAAATGAGTCGCAATGTGAGAGAGATAAACAGGAAAAAAATATTTAATGGGATTTTGGAGTTTACAAATTTGTCCCCAAGCATAAATTTAGCATGTTAATACGCGCGGGGTTATATTTAAATCTCATCACCAATTGGATCTCTTGTCTCGCGACTGATCTACAACATGAGCTTCCAATTCTAATTAGCAGAAAAATATGGGTGAGTTGAGGTGAAAAACGGCCACACATGGGAATTGTGTCACTAATTGTTTCTCTCCTTCTTCCTGCTGTGGGGCCTCACGCAATTTTTCACTCTGTAACTTTTCACTCTTGTCACATAATCACACAATTATTTTTCACGCCGAATTTTCACTCGATATTACTCGAGATTTTTCCCTCTGTGTATCTGCGCGCTCTCGCCTCTCTTTTTATCAGTCCGCACACAACAAGCGAAACCGTTCGCACAGTTCGGTGGATAGATGAAAACTAAAAGAGACGAAACGACACACGGAGTCTTGGAAATATCAATTTTACCTTTTGTGAACACGAGAGAGGCTCACCAACCAGCTTCAATACAGAGCAACAAATGAAAATACACCAACCAAAAGAGATTTTTCACAATACAAGCGACCAACGGTGGTGGGAATGACTGCTGCTGCACACATCACTCGCTCCTCTGCTAATTAATCCCCAATTATTTCGATTCGTTATTATTTATCGGAGCACATTTTCACTTGCCATCAATTAGTTGATTTGCTGAAAAGTGCAATTTTCGTTGATGTTGTGGTAAATATTGATTGGTGCCTAATTATGAATACTTATTTTTATACTCCTTCAATGTTTGCTCGAAAAGCGAAAAAAGGTGTATCAATTGAGAGACTCAAACCGCAATTCACCTTTAAATTAACCGTCTCCTGCTCTCTCGCTCTTCTTGCATTTCTGCAAACCGCCCAATTATTAGCTGAAGAAAGCATCTCAAATTCCCCTTGAATGAAACCATGTTTATGGGGTGGTTTTTCGCTTTGATTCTCCTCAAAAATATCCAACCTTCAATGGTGCTTTTTGCAGTTGATTTCCGGGGCGGAGACGCATATGTTTTTTTTTGCCCATGCACGCATCATGAGACGAGAGAACTTCCAGATGATCAGCGCGAATTAGTGAAAAATTTTTTCTCCAGTTTTTGGGAGATCTAAAAATATAACCCGTAAAATGAAGAACAATATTTGATATTGTTGGTTGAAAAAAGTGTGTTAATTTTTGCCACATATATTTCTTCAACTCGTCATCTTGTCTCTCCACACGCTGAAGGGTACATATTTGCAGAAAATCAACTGCTATTTACCGACAATTTACATCGTTCTGTGTTGTGTGTACGATGGACGAGACAAATATAGTGAAATATGCCGGAGGACTGGCGAGGAATAAATTGTTTAAAGATTGTTAACAAATCACATCTCAATTCCCACATGGAATTTTGTATGCCTCACAGTGTGTGCAATTTGGACCGGGTAATTGATGGAAAATTGATCAATGAGCAATTTATGGGGGTTGGGGAGAGGCAGGGAGGGAGCAGAAATTCAATTGACTCTCGATCTCTTCCTCGCCATTCTTCGCGCACGAGATCATCCTCAATGATCACTTGAGGCACTCTCTTGTCTCTTCCATGGGCATCAATTGTGCTCTTCTCAGCACAGTTGGGCCAATATTTGCACTTGGGATTTCTTGTACACACTTTGATCATGTCAATCCGTGTGTGATCTGTTTTCTCTGTGAATGTTGGCGAGAAAAATAGGTGACTTTTCAGTGAGTATTTCACCACGCCCACCTAATTAAAAATTCACTCACTACTCCTCGAGTGTGAGACGCAATGGAGAGAGATTGTGTGGTGATCGTTTTTTTGCTGCCTACCCAATGGATGTGGCTTATGAGACTCACTTCTCAGGCATATCACACTTTGCCACCAATCGACTGGGGAGATGATCTCGTCAGATGATCACGCGCAGATCGCGAGGAAGTGCAGTGGGGGACTGTGTCGCCCCCTCTCAACTGATCAGTCCTCTTCGTCACGATCGTGTGTGCGTGCCGTGGTGATAAAATGGAAAAATGCATCTTTCACTGTTGCGCAAAATGAGGAAATTTATGGCCTGTATGACTCACTGAGCATCACATCTCGCGGGGGTGATTCACTCTGATAGAACATCCAATCTAATGCATGTGTGTCGTAAGCATAGGGAAGTTAACACAAATTTTCCAAAGCACCTTATACAAGATATGGACGAAATAACTTACATGAATATGATTAATGATGAGTGGATTATCATCTTAATTAACCCGGTCCTGAGAGGCTGTGAATCAAATTCCAATTCGTCATCAATTTGTTCGTCTCTCTATTTGCACTCGAACAGTGTGAGAGAAGGAGCGAGATTTAATCGGGCGAAGACAGAGAGCAAATCCAAGAAGTGGTGGCTTAAAGGTATGATGAGAAAAAATCTATCATCCCATTTGTTGGTTTTTGTTAATGATGATCATCTCTGGGAGCGCTTTTTTTTCTCTCTCCTCTCCCAGTTCTCCACAGTGCCTCCGGACAAATTGGTGTATTCTCTTGATCAGGCCACTATCAAAGTGGCTATTAACTCCAGAGCTCCTCTCTCGCGCTCCTCTATTAAGAAATATCGATGATTTAGGGCAATAAATTCAATCTCATTCTCTCGCTTCGGCTCCACCGTCCAAAAATCTAATGCTCCACTGCTGCGCTGCTTCTTGAACACTGACTTTTTTTTTACACCGGGGAAGCCACACACTATAAAATTCCACAGAAACACACACTTTTTCCGTGGGGTTTATTTATAAAATGCAATTTTGAAGCATGGACGGACAAAGGGAAAATCGTCGCGATTCACTGCCACGAAGACTCACCGCGGCACTGATATCCACTCCTCAGCTTGGCCGTTATCACCTGCATCTTGATGAGAAAGAGTGCTCGAGTTGACTTGTGTAAATAAGAAGACCATGTTTACAGCGAGAGATTATCTTTCTCACTGGAGATGTTGGGGCTTCTTGATAATAAAATTACGCACAAGACTCTCCCATTTATCTTCACCTCTGGAATTCTTCATGGCCGCTTTTTATGGCTTCTGATTGCGATTTATTCGAACTGTACCATTTTCCATCGTCAACTCAGATAGAACACTGTTGGCGGCCGGTCCAGTGTTCACAAGGGATGCGATAATGCTCTGATTCTCAGCATTGCCTTCGAGGACATTCTTCAGCGCCACAATCGCCCATTCTTTCATCACTGCAAGGAAGATTAGAAAAACGTTCACATCAGATTTGGGAGATAATTCTGTAGGAAACTCACTTGGATTACGGGCATCCATTGTCGTGCAACCACAAATGGTGAGGAGAAACTTGAGTTCTCTGGCCAAATCTTGATTTTTGCGATTTTTGTGACACAAATTGGCCATCAATCGTACAAGAAGTGTTTTCAGTTCAAAGAAAACTTCCTTCTCAGCTTCCTGCGCCTCTGCTGATTTGCTCGAGAAGTCTTCAAGCTTCCCGAGAGGAGAAAAGGCAGAACCTTCCTGAGTGCTAATTCTGTGGACAGTGTCGAGAAGTGCTCCGGTGTTGATAAAAAGAGAAGTCTCTGCGTTGTAAATCTTTGCATATTTCTCGCTTCCAGTTATTGTCACTATACATCGCAGCAAAGCCATTAACTCCTTGGCATCATCCTCCTCATATTCCGAGCACCTGCTGTTGAGGTAGCGTTCGGATTTTCTATTGAACTCTCCGGGAAGAGAATTGAGCACTGTCTCCGTCACTCTGGGCTCCCTATCATCTTTCACGTGGTCTGTGATGTAAAAAATCGTCCAGATCCGATCGTGTCCATCGAGCTGAGAGTAGATTTCTTTGAATTTGACCGATTCTGTGATGAGATACTCAAAACAGAGGTGGACAAAATCCATCCTGCTTGACTCAGCGCTTTCGACATTCTTTTGCAGCACTTCAATCATACATCTGAAGATTTCCACTGTTGGTATTTCTTCAACACCACTCTCCAGAGCTATTCTAAAGCAGTTGAACAGTACAGCAGCATTGGTTCCTGAATTCTCATGAGTTTCACTCATCTTGGCGAGGATGTAGCTTCCGAGACTGTCCCACAAGACTATCAGACTCGCCACGTTGTCCACAATAATGTTGACCAGTAGATGCCAGCTCCATTTCTTTGCCGTTTCGTCTTCCGATTGCTCTATAATGGTTCTTATAGCCTCAAAGACTCCTTCTCTATTTGCAATTACTTCCTGCTGGGCTCTTCCATGAGCACAGCTGGTTTTCAGGAATTTGATTGATGCATGCAAAAGTTTCTGGGAAGAACTTTTGCAATCTTTCCCACTATCAAATTGTAGTTGAACCACAGTTGTGAACATCTGAAGAATACCGGGAAGACTTTCCAGGAGTTCACATTCCTTGTCAGTTCGGGAATGAGATGAGGGAGAATGCCTAAAAGAGGAATTTCTTGGGTATTATTTGTAAACATTGCCACAATCTTAACCTTACTTTTGCAGATTTCCCTCGATGTGTTCAATAAAGTGTGCAATATCATCCTTCAGAACAGATGATGTGATACTTTCGACAGAGAACATTGCTTAGAGCACCAGAAATAGTGAAAATCAAGGAGAATTACTGTAAAATATCACGTTTTCTCACAGTCCACCGCTTTTGTAAATTCTTCCAGGAAAAATATCCCGTATTGCAGCGCCATCGTCTCTTTGATGGTGGTCAGTAGCGAAAATAGTGATAAAAGAGACTGTCAAAGTAAGTGAAAATGCTTTCTCAAATAATTGCATTTTCTCTGTTTATTTCAGTATTTGCCAATGAAATTCAGGTAAGAATTCGTGAAGTATGAAAGCTGTCTTTGAATTGTGGTAAAATTTATATGTTTGCGTTCTAGCTGCCTGAGAAATTCGTCCAAAGCGACTCCCACACAAACAACTGGGCGGTTCTGGTGGACACCTCAAGATTTTGGTTTAATTACCGTCATGTGGCCAATGTGCTGTCGATCTACAGATCTGTGAAGCGTCTGGGCATCCCGGACAGCCAGATAATTCTCATGATAGCCGATGATATGGCCTGCAACCCACGGAATCCCCGACCGGCAACTGTCTTCAATAACGCCAATCAGCACATCAACGTTTACGGAGACGATGTGGAGGTGGATTACCGGGGATACGAGGTAATCCACGTTGTGGGAAGTGAAGGGGCAGTGAACTATAAAGCTTACGGGGTGTATTTTACAGGTGACTGTGGAGAACTTCGTGCGACTGTTGACAGGGAGGAACAAGAATGGCACCACCAGATCGAAGAAACTCTTGACGGATCCAGGAAGCAACGTGCTAATTTATCTCACTGGTCACGGTGGCGATGGATTCCTCAAGTTTCAGGACTCTGAGGAGATTACAAGTCAGGAACTGGCGGATGCCATTGAGCAGATGTGGCAGAAGCAGCGCTACAATGAGCTCTTCTTCATGATCGACACATGCCAGGCAGCTTCCATGTATGAAAAGTTCCACTCGCCCAACATTCTGGCGGTGGCGAGCAGTTTGGTGGGCGAGGATTCGCTCTCTCATCACGTTGACCCGGCCATTGGGGTGTACATCATCGACAGATACACCTATTACGCCCTGGAGTTCCTCGAGAAAGTCACTCCGGACAGTCGAAAGTCCATGGGAGAGTTCCTCAAGGTGTGTCCAAAACGTGTCTGCATCTCCACGGTGGGCATCCGGCAGGATCTGTATCCGAAGGACCCCTTCCAAGTACCCATAACAAACTTCTTTGGTTCCATTCGACACACCGAGATCATCCGCACGAGATTGAATTTAACGCTTCCCGAACAACCGGAGGACAATAGCGAGGAGAATACTTCGACTCCTGATTACTCAGAGTACCAACTCAACTTGATAGAACAATTTCCCACGAAATTATTTCAATAAAGTGCCGAAGAAGTCTAGATTTCTCCAAAACCAAAAAAGATTCTATAACTCCAGAGAAGTAGAAAAAGAAGAACCATCTCGGCGAATTTTGTAGTTCTGTACAAAAAAAAACTGCACAGCTGTCACGAAAAGATGCTTAAAAGTTGATTTTTCCATTTTCGTGTTGCAAGAACGAAGAAAATAGACCAAAACTCCCCGAGAGAGACAATTTTCTATAAAAATTTCTATTTTATATAGAGGTAAGTAAAAAAGAGATTTTAACGGACGCTGTTCAAATTGTAAATTTCCCATGGGATATTCCAGTCTTTCCAGGGATATTTCCAAATGTGTCATTTTATGAGTGGGATTTTAACTGTAAACGCAGAAGCTTGCTGGAAACAATATTAGATTTTGTGAGTTTTTCAGGGATTCTCACGAAATGGAGACTTATCAGACGTTAAATCGTGAACTAGTGTCCAGCGTGTGTGATCTGCGGAAAGAGAATTGTGCGTTGAGAGATCTGGTGACCAGTTTGAAGGCAGAAAACATGAAACTGGCAAGAGAGCACAGTGATTACAAGCGACGTGTTTCCGATGCATTTTCCAAACTATCTCAGGAATTTGTGAATTGTACAAAGGAGGTCCTAGAGGAGGTCCCAAAAGTCAGCTTCCAGCAGGAGATGTCCAAAATGAGGTATTCCGTGGCGATGAACTCTTCAGTAATTGGCACTTTGCCGCGATCGAGTCCTGACAAATGCCAGCAAAACAAAGTCGCTGCAGCTTCATTCGTGAATATAAGACGCCGTAATTCCTTCCGACAACCCAAAGAGAATGCGGCAAGCATTCAGAACATCCACGAGGACTATGAACCACAAGACATGTCGACTGATGGCATAAAGGAGTGGCTGCGGAAAGATTCTATTCCGGCGATTTCGGTTGAAGTTCCTGCTTTAGGTAAGAGACAGTGTAATAATGTAGAGGAATTTTACTTATTCTTTGATATTCTCAGAAGAGACTGAGGAGCAGAGGCGAGAGGACGAGCCTCCACAGCAGACTGAAGATACCGTGCCAAACAAAGATCTCATTTACAAGAACATGACGACGATTATCGAGGAGAACTCCAAGAACAACACATCGTGCAGTGCAAAGTTACACAATTCTGTAGCCAATGTGGCGAAATTTGCTGCCAGCACTCCTCACAATGGTAAAGTGGCAACAAGTGAGCCAGTCCGAATGGAATTGTCACCGATTCCCTTCTCTGATGGCTCCAGAGATGAGAAATGCCGGTTGGCCAGCCGAGAGACACGCGACCATATCTTTGAGCCTATCTTCACCAAGCAGACTTCTCTGTCGTCTGAGATGAGCAATGGAGACTCCAGTTCCTCCAGCTGGAGGCCTTCACTGAGCCCAGAGCCTCTTAGTAGAGTAACTGTTCGGCGAAGGAAAGGGCGAATTCAAGATGTTTCACCGACGATTAATCTGGCGCAAGAGTCGGAAGTTCAGAATGTTGAAATGCAAGAGACTGAAAACAAATCTGAAGAAATCACGTCTCCAGTCAAGGCCAAGAGGAAGCCTAATAAGAAGATTTCCAAGAGGCAGAAACTGGGGGACAGAACAAATCTGACCGCCACCGACGAGACGAGCTCTCAAGTGTGCCCCCAACCAATTAAAGTGGAGAATTTGGAGGAAGAAACGCTGTCTCGACGTCCGAGGCGCCGGGCAGCACCGCAGAATCTCACAGAGCCCAAGATTAGCGGGAAAATGCGTCGCACATAAATAAATCACATGTTTCATTATAATTTTTCTTAAGTTATTCCAATAAACGCTTTTCGTTTTTGAAAGAGACAGCGTGAGGTGTTGCTTTTGTCCGCTGCCGGCGCTGGCGTGCTCATCGACGATTCATCGAGAGTACGGCTGGCGTCTCTTCCGGCCTTTTAGTTTTGGCGTGTCGCTGCAGCAAGAAGGGCAAGAGCGTTTTTCTCTGCAAGTTTCTCAAAAATACTTCTTTTGTTACCGCGTAGTGTTGAATTGAGAGCGTGAGAAGAGATGGCCGATCAGGAGTTCGACATGAACGGTGAGGATTTCTCGCAAGATGTGAGGCCAAGTGACGACGAACAAATGAATGGTGACCAAGCCGGTGATGGTGGCAACAATGTTGGAAATGGAAGCGCTGCCGAGGCCCCTGGACGCGATGACGACAGGTAAAGAGCCCCATTTCCTATCACAAAACCACCCCAAAGCAGTGTATTTTGCATTTGACTGGTCATTGAGATGAAATAAGCAGCTGTATGTGGTGGTTTTGGCGTGTGAAAACATTGTGGTGTGGCGTCTCGGGAAATTTTCCGTGTGACATTTTGGGAATGACTCATGAGCATTCCACTGCGAAATCCTAAATCATCGGTGTCGCATCATCGTTTTATCGTGTTTTAATGCCATAATTCTCACGCCAAGACCAGCATCCACAGATTTGACCAGTTATATTGTCGCTATTATTTGCGTAAAAGCTGCAATTGACTTTTTTTCTCGCCATTGTACTACGCAATGGATGGAAGCGTGTGCAAAAATGGCGACCGAGGCGGCGAAGCTCTCTCTTCTCTTCTCTCTCACTCTGGCAATTCTGTCCGGGTAGCAAAATTCACACGCTCAGCAAAATTTTCCTATCACTTTGCCCGGTTGGTTCTCTTGCAATTCTTGCGCTAATATTATTTCAGTGAACTTTTTCGGATTGCAATAAATGCTGGAATATCATTTATTAATGAATTTTGTCATGGTAAGATTTCCCTTCACCGCCTTCTAAGAATGAGGTTGTGTGGTCAATGAAAGGCGCAAATGAAGCAAGGTGAAAAAGAAACCGATAAACTTTCGCGCTAAAATATCGCGTATAATAATATTCTCAGTCAACAGAAATGAGTAATCGTGAATTTCTGAAAATGTGTGAAAAAGCATAATTTTGTCTAACAATTTTCTTGAAGTTCTTCCCCCCCCACGCCAAAGGATGGAGATTTTATATTGGCTTTTCCAGACACACAGACTTTTTATTGATTGTTTCTTTTTAGTATTTAGCATTTAGAAGGGAGAGAGAGAGTGTATTTTGGACGGAAGCAGTAGAGTTGTTTGTTGTTTCGGGCGAAAGTAATCATCACAGTTGACTATCAGTTGGGTCTTTTTTTTATCAGAAATTGATAAAAGACAGAATTGACAAAGAGGCGAAGGATTTTCCTTATCAACACTTACGATGAGTGTAATCATTCAAGTTATTGATCATGCTCTCTCCAGATGGTTTGTATTTGTCCACTTTTTGTACGATTTCACCATAAACTTGACGTTAGTTTTTAAGTAAAGTTCATACACATTTTGTCACATAAGCGAAGGGATCAATTCTCAAGAAATCGGGTTAAGTTTTTTCTACCTGGCTTCTGCTATTAAGCTGCAGACGAGAGAGTAATTAATGCGAGGCGTCAGACGAAATTGATATGAGCCCTTTAGCAAGAGGAGAGTTCCTGAGAATTGATTTCTGATTGTTCAGAAATACACGATCTTTCACAAACTGATGAGCAATAATAGTTGTGTCTGAGAGAGAGAAGATTAGTTTCAAATTGCCAACCTCGAGAGTTATTGCCGCTTCGTTCTATTTAATTGTTAGTCAAGGGAGAGAGATAAAAGTCTAAGGAAATTAACAATTTGTTCTACAGCTCGATTGATTGATTGTTTGAGAAAATAATATGTATAGCGATAATCAGAATTTTATGGTAAACATAAAAAAAAGGATTTGGTGTTAAAGAATTTCTTTGAATTCAGGAAAAAAGTGTTGTGAAATGGTGAATATATCTTTGTTTTTAGCGAAGATAAAGTTTGTCTTGATCAAAATTCTGGTATTTTTTCATCAATTATTGTTTTTTTTATTTTATCCTTTGCTATATAATTATTGTGTCACATTGAATAATGTTTTTTCTTCCTAACAGAACCAAACAAAAAAAAATGTGTGTATCTTTTTTGTAGCGAAATTTTTCAGATTATTCCCCAATTGCATTTTCCCTCGTGTCGCAAAAATTGAACGCATAGTTTGTCCGTATCGTAGAGAGTTTTCATCAGCGGTTTGTGACATTGGCTAAAGACGAAGAGAGAAGCGTTGTTTGACGAGAATTAAAGAAAGAATGAAAAAAAAAATGGTCGGAAGCGAAAATTTGTCATCGTCGTTAAACATTTTGCAAAATGATCACGAAAATATAAGTATGAAAAGTTGTGTAAAATACTTTTTTGTCTTGTAAGAATTTTTAACATTAATCTTTGTAATTTACTATATAATGTGTTCTTTTCTCCTAGTGTTTGCCACACTGTTTTATTGTAGATACATATAAAAGACATCGTGGATTTGCATTAAGAGTAATCGAAAGAATGAAATCTTCTCATATAATGAACGTGTTGAGTAAATCATCAAAAGTAATCGATGAGATGCAGTTGAGTGCAATTGAGTTCCTCTTTAATCGTCGGCGCACCCGCACGCACGCACGCAATTTTGTGGTAAATTGATGCCTTGATGAAAGAGCGCAGAGTGGCAAATTTTTGACCAAAATCACGGGGAATCGAGTTGCAAATTTGTAAGACCAAAATGAGCAAAATGCGAGATGCAGACACTTGACGGTGTCTCAATCGCGATTTTGATTGACTTCTGTAGGGAATCCTTTTCCACCTCTTCTGTGATATTTGGCCCAGTTGAATAGAGCGAACTAACCTTGTTCCTCTCCGGCAGGTGTGTTGTTGAGTGATGAGAGTGATGATGAAGATGAATCCCAACTGGAGTTGTGTCTCCTCATCTCTAAAGCCGGAGAAAATTCCCCGACAACCAGATGAAACCCGATGGTATTTATCACACACACACAAAATCTCAACCAAAAAAAAAAATCTCAAATCAAATTCAATCAAAAGAAAAATGCCCAAAAATTGAATGGATGGAAATTTCGCACACAATGAAAAGTTGAAACGAAAAAAAAAAATACAAATCAAATTGAGAAGATTTTCTTGTATATAGAAGCATTGCCAGATATCAGATTCAATGCCAGAGGATCAGAGCCCAAGAGCAAAAGAAAAGCCAAGAGATGAAAATTTGCCAATAAAAAGATGTGATGCCCAAAATCCGGAAATGGACAGATTGATGTTGCTGAAAAAGTGGAGAAATGGCCACAAAGATTGTTGTTGAGCTGCGCTGGCTTTTGCTGTTCCTTCACATGAGAGTTGTCTATCTTTTCTCACTTTATTGCTGTCTTGTTGTCGTTATTGATTCTCTTACATTTACTTCCCTATCTTCTTAACGTAAATCCGGAACAGCTGAGAAGATGTTTTTCACTTATTATCTGTTGTTGTTGCTTTTTGGGTGATGTTTTTCGCCAGCCAGTGTTTGAGAAATTGTTCAATTTTGAGATGTGAGTCCCTTAAACTGCAAGAGGCAAAAAGACAAAAGAAAAAAAAAATGGCAAAAAGCAAAAATCTTCATCAATTTATCAGCGGACGTTGCATATTTCAAAGTGAAATTTGTGGTAAAAAAAAAACATAATTTCTTTTTTCTAATGTAATTCTAATAAAATTTTTATTGATAAGAACTCAAATGAATCAAAAATCTATCCCTTCTTTTTTATAGAGCTTGTTTTTATTGCAGACGAGATTGTGATTTGCCTAGTGAGCGAGTTTTCCAGTTCAAAATGTCGAAATTGACATTCGCACAGACAGAAAAAGTCAAAAGAGCCCAAATTGATATGCAATTTTCATCAATTGACAAAGCGTAATTCTCTCTTTGCCATGGATATTGAGTGCAAAAAAGCGAGACAAGACACAAAATATATTGTTGTTTGTGAAGTAATTGTAAGAAGTATTGTTTCTATACCTCATTCTTGGTGATGATAAATAAAAAAAATGTTGAATAATTTTTTTTCTAGAATGTTTAATGTAAAATTTTGTTCTCCACGCGTCAGAAATACAGAAAAGACTACAAATAATCGTTTTTCTTTCATATTTGATAAAATAAGTAATTGTTAAGTAATATTAATGAAATTTTATCTTCTACCTTATAAATAAGTACATATTTGGAAATATTTGAAAAGTTGCCTTTGAAATACTATGTCAATACTGCTAAATCTCTTATTTTTTTCTTTTCTAGATACCCTAACGTAGATTTGTAGATATTTTATTTTTGTCTGTTTTTTTTATTTCTAAGTTTTATAATGTTTTTTTTTTTGTTTTTAACCCAAATTCTCTTCGCCACCACGACAAAGTATCAATCTAATGTTGAACTCTTTTGATATTGCAGAAAACTTTTCGTTGGCGGTCTGAGCTGGGAAACCACGGAGAGTACGTATTTGACTTGATACCTTGATTATATTTCTTTGGGGAGCTGTGAGTTTGATTGTGGCTGCTGTTTTTGTTGTTTTGCAGAGGAGCTTCGCGAGCACTTTGGACAATATGGTGAAATCGAGAGCATAAATGTGAAGACAGATCCACAGACCGGACGGTCGCGTGGATTCGCCTTCATCGTGTATGCATCAGCTGACTCGATTGATAAGGTGACAGCAGCTGGGGATCACATCATAAACAACAAGAAGGTTGATCCCAAGAAGGCCAAGGCTCGCCATGGAAAGATCTTTGTCGGTGGACTGACAACAGAGATCAGCGACGATGAAATCAAGACCTTCTTTGGGCAGTTTGGAAATGTAAGTTTGCTATCTCTGGCTCCATTTGGGCTCTTAATCTTATTTTTTTTTATCTAATCTGTGACCTTGTGCTTATCTCACGACAGATTGTCGAGATGGAGATGCCATTCGACAAGCAGAAGAACCAGCGAAAGGGTTTCTGCTTCATCACCTTTGATTCTGAGCAGGTGGTGAGTGAGCTGCTGAAGACACCGAAGCAGACCATCTCAGGAAAGGAGGTGGATGTGAAGAAAGCCACACCAAAGCCAGAGAACATGCCGATGGGCATGATGCGCGGCGGTGGTCGCGGAGGCCGTGGAACTCGCGGTGGCCGAGGAGGTTAGTGCCAAAAGCTACATCTTTACCACATTGGCATAGCGGAGAGCTTTCATGTGGGAAATTGTTTCTCTTTCATCTCCTTCTATGTACGCGCGCGTCCTCCTCTATCATCGGTGCCTTTGCTTCCCGCAATTACTGGCTCATCAAACTCCTCGTCAGGTGGTTACGGCCAAGGTTGGGGCAATCAGGGCTACGGCTATGGCCAGGGATACGGATATGGGGGCTATGACAACTACGGGGGCGGCAACAACTACGACTACTACAGCGGCGGATATGGGGGCTATGGCGGCTATGATTATGCCGGATATGGAAACTATGGTAAATACCAGAATTACCCTCAATATTCACAACACAGTCAGCATAAGAATAATCATTAAAGAGAGAGGGATACGTGGAATGATACGAAAGAGAGAGAGAGAGAGCGAGAGAGACGTAGATTGTAGGGAACATTCATGAGAGATTGCAAGGGTAGATATGAAGGAAGGTTAGAAAACATGAGAAAGAGAGCGTAATTGATAAGTGAAAGGAATGATGAGAGGAGTATTTCGTATAATTCTTTAATTTTCCCTTCAGTTCTTTTTTTTTTCACTACTCTATAATACATAGTTTTTTTTGTCATAACAATATACTTTTCGTTTTCTAAATGAACTTTAGTAATTAATAACCACGTAAGTTTAAAACGATATATCTTTGGAATTCAGATTAGTTCTTTGATTAAAAGTACATGTAGAATTATATTTTCTTCGTCATAGTAACTCAAAAGAGAAAAACGTAATTTTAAGGGCTAATATCTTTTTGCGATTTTTTTTTGTCTTTTTTTTTGGAAAATTATGTCGTTGAATTTGGGATAAATTTGTTCTATTTTTGCAAAGAGTATCACTTCACAGATGATCAGTAAAATCCATTAATACACCCCTCAAGTAATAATTTGAGAATTATACTGAAAAGGAGGCGAAGGAACCACGAGGTGTAAGGCGGCAGAAAGAAGATCTGACAAACAATGTTAGAAAGAAGGAGAGTGAGAGAGAGAGAGAGAAAGAGAACCACAGTCTTATCGATCAGTGGTCGACAAAAAAAAGAGACTACATTCGCTAATGAGTGTATTTGTAAATATAATTTTATTCTTTTGTACAAAAGACGAGCAAAGAGGTGAAAGTATAAAATAGGATAATGTGTAGGAGAAGAAAACTGAGTGTAGGGTTCGATCCACAGCGAGGATTGGCCGCAAGTCTAGTTTTTAGAGATGAATGAGAACTGAAAACAACTCAGGAAGATATATTTTCATGTGCCGCGAAGTATCAAAGTTTTTTTTTTAATCTTGATTACCTCATTCGTTGATTTTTCTTTCCTCTCTCAGAAGTTTTTCATTTTTTTTTCCTATATATACACAGATTTCCCCTAGAAAAAAGAAATCACTGAAAGAAAGTGATGAATGTTGTGTTGAGTGCGTCTCTCTGACTCAAAAGCTTGTCGAGAGAAGACTCAATGAGAGCAGCGCAAATAATAATATACTAATCCCAAAAATATATTTACAAAAAACCTGTTTTTCATATTATACAATGTTGTTTTACCGAAAAAGAAGAATGATAAATATTTTTTATTTATATATATTTACAGATAATAGACAGAAGAATGTGAACAATAGTAAGAGTTCAAAGAGAGAATATTCTAGACCATATTCAAGGAAGTAGAGATGAGAGAGAAAAATACACAAACAAAGCAAAAAGAAACGAGTTATTGCAATATTGCAAAACAGGCAAAAGAAGAGAGAGAGAGAGAAAGAGAGAGCCTTTAATTTTAAAATAAGATGGATTGCAAATAATAAGAGTAAAAAAAAAGAAGAAACATAATTGCAAGAGAGCAAAATATCAAATAATGAGTGGAATTATAGAAGAAAGATTATTCAAATTCAACACATAAGAAAAATATATCTAACAATATTTCATTTTCACACATTAGGAAGTATTTGGAAAAAAATACTGAGAAATTGTCAGGATTATCATTGATGAGATTTCTTACATTTTTCTGCATGGTTCCAATGTTTAGATAATAATTTCATTTCTTTTTGTTTTACTATTATCAATGTGATACCATATATTCCCCTTAAATGTGCCACCTTCATTGATGCTACTATTTTTACTTGATATATATATATATATATATATTCCTTATATATATTATTTTTGGTTGCTAAACTGCGCATTACAATTTATTCACGGGCTTAAATAACATTAGTAAATGAAATGATTGTTTCTTGGCAAATGGTATATAAAAATATCCGATTGATTAATTGAAGTTTATCGTACTAGATTTAAATTAAATACTAATAAAACATATAAAGTTCATTTAGAAGAAGCGAATAATAGCTGAAGAAGAAAAGCTATATTTCGAAAGAATCTTTCTTTTAAAGTACATTTTGCAGAGATTTTGATGGTTTATAAACTAATTATAGAGAGTGAATTTATTTTTTTTTTGGTGAAGATTTCAAAAGCAAGACATTTATGTTGAGATGAGAAAGAATACGAAGAAAAAAAAATGTTAGGTGACACATTTTTAAAAAGGAGAAAATAAGGTAATAATATATGGAAAATACATTGTGAAACATTGGGCTTTTAACGTTCGATTTTTCTTTTTCTATGACAAAATTTGGAAGGAATGCAAAACGCCAGATGAGCTAAAGCAAAAAAAAATATATTGTTACAGAATGCAGAGAGAAGAGATAGCGAAAATAAAAGACAATGTGTTTGCCATATATTTATTTATCCTTGTTTTCTTTCTGTTTTATTTTATCTCTTACTTTGATTCATCATCAAATCTTTCACACAACGCACACCTTTATTATTTTTTTGTAATAGTTTTTAATATTTCACTAGTCTATTTGGGATTCTTGTGTCTTGTAAGAGCAATTTTCTTTTTGACCATAATCTTTTTGTACATTTTCTCCTCGAGATGTTTTTTGTGTTTGTTTCAATGATTAAGAATCTTGTAACTATTTTCTAATTCTTGCTCTAGTGAACTGAGGGGAAAATGCTAGAATTATACTTTGTTGATGATCGCTGACGAGAGATGTGACGCGCTATATTGAATTGTGTGTCATTTCCGATCAGTGATTATTTGTGAGAATGCCTGAAATTAATGACATTTTTCTAATTTGATAAAATGTTCTCTTGATCCTTCTTTAAAATGCTAAAAGAAAAAGGAGAGAGAGAAAGTGAAAAATAACCAGGAAACGTAACTAATTTGCTGAGAAACAACACTCGAACATTTTTTTCTCACTTTTCTTTATTGCCTTGAGTGTTGGAGAGTTTTTGTATAGAGAGTTTTGCTAATGCCTGAACATGCGAGACATGCAAGACAAAATCTAAAGAATCCTCATTTTTGCCCAGACTATGGCTATGGCGGTTATGACGGAGGCTACGGGAATGGCGGGCGCTCTGGAGGGCCACGGGGCAAAGGTACTGACAGAGATTTTCACTGCAATGGCCTTTTTTACCAATTATTGACTGTCCGTGCAAAGTAAAGTACAAGATGAGATATGATTTGAGAGCAATTTTCCTATTAGACGAGAGAAAGAGAGAGAGGCAATTGTAACTGTCCATTTTCTGCACCCAAAATCTTGCTTGAGTGTGCATTTTGACCACATTTTACCTCTTTTATTTACCTCTACTTCCTCCACATTTATCTCATTCTTGTATCTATTAATATTTTGTCGTATTTACCACTATATTTTAATTTTTTTTCTTGTGTTCTTAACGAGAAAGTGCTGTTATTCTCCTCCTCCACATATATATATATATATATATATATTTGTTGGTTATAAATTGTTCATTGCAAAATTTTGTCCATGACGAGAATAACTATCATTTTACTTATTAATTTGATTGAATTTATTATATGGTTTTGTTGTCTACAAAATTCTGTTAAAATTGTCTTGGTGAATTTGGCAAAAAAAAAACAAAATAAGACAAAGAAAGTACCGAAGAAAATGTCAAATTAGATTTTATCAAGTGTGTTGGTTGGTTCGGTGTTGGTGATTTGTTTACATCCTCCTTTATCCGCTCATTTGCTGACATAGATGCATTTTTCCTCCTGTCCGCTGTGAAAATCTGCATGCTTTAGCGCCTTTTAGTAACACTTGCCATTGATCATCACATCATGATTTATTTCCTTTATCTCTAATTTTACTTTTTTCACTACTTACAATTGAGCTTAGTGAATGTTCTATATATCCTCCTTAAGTGGTACAAAACACAGTCGAGATTAGAGTAAAAGCTAATTCTCATGATAATGTGCGTGTTTCCAAAAAAATGGGTTGACAAAAAGAACGATAAAGAGTGTGAAATGAATCAGAAATTTTCCAAATTGAAAAGTATTTCATTCGTGAGATATTGAAGAGAGAGAGAGAGCTCAAAGGGGGAATTAATTGCATTTCTTTTTGTCCTTTTCTCTCTCTCTGTGTCCAGGTGGAAACTACCAGGGTGGCAAGCAGCGAGGCGGCGGCGGTGGACGTCAGCAGAGGCACCAGCCCTACTAAGGAGGGGGCCGCGAGCGCGCCCCACGGAGTCCCTCTGGGCATCTTTTCTTCATTTTCAAGAGAAAGCAAGAGAGAAACAATTACATTTAAGAGACACACCCTCCCTTACAGATTAAACAGAAGAAGAGTAATAGTGGAAAGATGAAGAGAGGAAGTTAGCATTATTAGGAGTGAAGTGAGAAAGAGAGATCAACAATTCATAAAAAAAGAGTCTCTTGTGTGTATTTCGTGAATTATTTACAGATAAACAGGAGAGAATATTAATATTTTTTAACGCCTAGAATGGAAGATATTCTTCAGTCTCATTGAATTTTTCTGTGTGTGTTGTAAAATCTAAACGTTAAATGAGAAAATAGAGTAATTATAACAGAGAAGATGGGAAAAACTGTAGAGATTAATTCAATAGGAATGTTTAATTTCAATGTGATTTCATGTTTGAATGGAGAGGGTCTGAGGTCGATCTGGATGTGACCTCCCTCAAGAGTTCAATTATCTTGGCCTCCATCCATCCTCATCATTCCATTACAGAAAGAAGAAACAAAAAAGGAAAGGATACAGTTTCACTTCCAGATTGCCCGCAGGATTGCTAAAGCTACAAATCCTCGCTCATTTCTTTTTTTTTATACGACATTTTTCACTTATTTAATATAGTAGCCCCACTCTGTTTGCCTTTAGGATCCCCGGGGAGACCCGGAAAGTTTTATGATTCTCATTTAGACACAATGGAAGAGATATAGTGAAAATGATAAAAGTCCGTGTAAAATCTGTTTTTAAGATAAATTGAGATGAAGAACAATAAATATAGTTCAACATGTAGAAAATATTTTGTAAAGTCTTGCATTATTTTTTCACGTTCGTTGAAAAAGTAAAAAAAAAAAGAGTTCAATAAAGTCTAGCTTTTATTGATGAGTAGTAAAAAAAAAGGACAAACACACTTGGAGAGATTCTCTGGTTGGGTGTTTGAGAGATTTTTGGTGTCCACGAGACTATGCCGCTGAGCAAAGGAATTAGGAATGTATTTCACAATTTGTCCATTTTACCTTGACATACATAATTTCTCTGTTTTTTTTTTGCTAGCATTTAATGTGTACAATTTAAGGAGCAAGGATAGCCGTAAGATTAACTTAATTCTCTGATACAATTTTAGCATTGGTAATCAAGTTTTATTCAAACTAACATGTACTTTGAGACATAATAAAAACCACCAATTTAAATTCACAGTCTTGTTCCTTTTATTCTGCATGGTTACTTTTTTTTATTCTTTTACCATCCAAACTCCAAAATGCTTAGAGATTACGCGTGTTTGAAATGCGAGGGAAGAAGGGAAATCGATGAATGTAATCGATTACTTCACTGTGACATGAGCGCTCTCAAGCGGTTGTTACGGGAAACACCGTTACGATTTGGTAGCACGTACCGAAATTGTTGACTTTACAAAGCCGCTTTACTGATGCGTTTTTCGGGCATTTCACTAGACAAATGGTATTAAGAGATGCAATAAAACGTAAAAATGATAATAACTCTATTATTTTCCTGTGAATTGGGCGGAAAACTGACGCAATGTGTGGAAAATGCGTCACATGCAGTAAGGCATACGAATGGAGAGGGGAAAGTGCCACCGGGTTTTGCTTCAGCGATGTGATTGGTGGAAAAAATATCCCCGACAATATTTCCCTCTCGACACAAAAAGTCTCAATCAGTGCATTTCTTCTCTCAAATAAAATTAATAATAATATATTTGTTGTACTACAAATAAGTGATATTTTAGAATTAATCAAAATTAGCAGGTGAGCGGCAGCGAGCGGAGTTGTGCGGGGGATCGTGGGGGCGCTGGGGTGGCCGCAGAACGCTGCGAAATGTGCATGAATATGGCATCGACGATGCCATTTTAACCTTACAATTTTCTCACCCTTTTTGTCACCTCCCGGGGCTTGCTGCGCCTCTGAGAGCACTCCCTGTCGCGAGCTTGGTGCCTGGGGCGCGGGTTGCTGGGGTGCGGGATGAGTAAGGTGGGGCGGGAGGGTGGTTTCTGGGGCGCTTTGCATCGGACTGAAGGTCCCCATCGTGTGACAGTGGCTTCTTGCAGACGCCATGAGAGTGCCGCGAATGGGCCATGCGTTTTCTCACAGTTGCCCCTTTTGCGACGCTCAGCGTGCCCCGGTGGGGCTCTTGGAGTACTCAAATGCGAGGAATGTGTGGTTTTCGAGGCATTTTTGGGGGATTTTCAGGTTGGGCGTCGCTGCGGGAGTTTTTTTTTTGGTCGCAAAGAAAAAGAGCCCCAAAAGTGACACTATTGATCGCAGGCTGTGGGATTTCTCGACGCAATTTGTCATCTCAGGCACTCTTTGTTCTTCCTTGCTGGAGCATTTTGGGTGCGAAAGTGGGATTTGGGGGTCCCAGGGGAGGAAAATGACGAGGGTGGGTCACTTTTGCAGCCCGACGCGCGTGATTAATGTGTCTGAGGGCCATCTGCATTGTCCCGATTGCTCGAGTCGAGGTTACGCTAATGCTGGCTCTCTTCCATCCCGAGTAGCAACACATCAGTAACATAACGGCAATGGTCATGGACGCTTCTCCCTCGCCTCAATCTGTTGGACGTGAGTTTGTGCGCCAGTACTACACGCTCCTCAACAAGGCGCCGAACCATCTCCATCGCTTCTACAACCAGCAATCGAGCTTCGTGCACGATGGCCTGGAGCCCAACAACCGCGAGTCGAGCCTGGTGATTGGCCAGAAGCAGATCCACAACCGCATCCAGCAGCTCAACTTCCGCGATTGCCACGCCAAGATCAGCCAGGTGGACAGCCAGGTGACTCTGGGCAATGGCGTCGTGGTGCAGGTGACCGGGGAGTTGTCCAACGACGGGCAGCCGATGCGCCGCTTCACGCAGACCTTCGTCCTGGCCGCCGAGACGCCGAAGAAGTACTATGTTCACAATGACATCTTTCGCTACCAGGACGTGTACTCGGACGACGAGGCGGACGCGGACAGCGAGCGCTCGGAGAACGACGCCGACGCGGACACCAACGCGGCTGGAGCCGTCGAGGAGACCCCGACCGGTGGGACCATCCAGCTGTCGCAGCCGCAGGCGCCCATGTACTATCCGATGGTGAGCCAGGGCGCGGCTACGGGCTTGCAGCAGATCACGCAGACGGTGCAGATGAACGGCGTGGTGCACGACGAGATGCTGCAGAGCTTGCCGACGGCCACGCTTCTGCCCGTGTCGCCCAGTTCGGGCGCCGTGGCTGGCGCGCCGCTGGTGCCGCCGAGCGCCAACTCCGGCGTCCTTCCGCTCGATCCGACCGTGGCCGCCGCCCAGGCCACGCTGCCGCTCGCTCAGGCTGCCGCCAAGGACCCCACCATGCAGCTGCCCGCCGTGGCCGAGGTGAGCGTGATCGAGGCCGCGGAGAAGGCCAAGGCAGTGGCCGCTGCGGCCGCGGCCGAGGAGCCCGCCAAGGAGCTGAAGGAGGACGGCCTCAAGGACGACATGGTGCCGCGCGTGATGCAAACCGAGACGACGTACGCCAACCTGGTGAAGTCTGGCGGCGGCCCTCCCGGTGGTCTTACCTTCGCTTCGGCTATGGCTCAGGCCGGCGCCCCGGGGTCCCACGGACCTCTTGGTGTCGGACAGCCGACCGTTCCCGTCTCCCTGACACGACATGTCACATCTCCGCCTCCAGTGAAGTATGAGAACAGCAGCAGTGGCGGCGCCGGCGGCGGTGGTGGCTACCGGGGCCCCAGAGATGGGGAGCTCGCCGGGGCTCTGCCCCAGCGCAATCCCGGCAACGTGCCGCCGCGTCAGGTGCGCGAGCGGAGGAGCAGTAACACGAATCAGGGCGCCTTCTCGGACATGCAGCAACTCTTCCTCGGCAACATTCCCCACCAGGCCACCGAAGAGGATCTGAAGCCGCTGTTCTCCAAGTATGGCACTGTGCTCGAGTTGAGGATCCTTAGCAAGCCCTCCAGCGCCGTGAAGATCGTGGGCAGGCCCCCGCCGCCCAACTATGGCTTCATCACCTTCGCGGATCCTGAGGCGGCCACAGCGTGTCACTCGGAGAACGTAAGTCACTGGCTAATTGCGTCATATTGTCCATTACTGATTTGTTTTCTTTCTTCTCTTGCTGCTATCTCTGTGTGACAGAATGTCGTGTTCAATGACGGTTCGTCGGATGGACAGAAGCTGAACATTGAGCTGAAGAAGGCAAGACTTCGGAACGAACTGGGAGGCAGCGGCGAGCGGGACAGGCGTGTGATGGGCGGCGGCGGAATGCCGGGCAACGGCATGCGATCTGGAATGAACAGCGGTGCCGGAATGGGCATTCGCGGCTCCAGCAACACCAGCATGATGCGTCCTGGTGGGAATCGCAGCCTCGGCAACGGCCTACGCGGCAATAGCTTCAACCGCTCCGACCGGACGGGCCCGATGGGTCGCGGCGGCGACGGCGAGAGGCCAACCGGGCCCATCGGCAGCGGCGGCAACACCTATGTCCGCCGCTAGGGCGGCCACGAGCGGGAGGAGGCAGCGGAGAGGGTGAGAAGGAGAGAGACAGAGAGAAGAGCAGAAGGCGTCCCCGTGAGAGCGATCTTTGAATTTAACAACACGCTGAGAGAGAAGCACTGGTGAGAAGACGATGAGGAGATCAACACGAGAGACTGGAAATAGCGCTGAAATCAGCATCAAACTTGAAGACAAAACCCTTTTCTTTTTTTCCCTGCCTTATTGAGCGAAGATTTTCAGAAAGAGAGAGAGAGAGAGAAATTAATTTTGTGAAGTGAGCGCAATAAGAACTCCTCATCCAAGAAGCTTTCCATCTAGCGAAATAGTATTTCTTCCTGCGCTCCTTGAGTTCTTTTAACAACCACATTTCACCTGTCACTATAACGTTTTTTTTTATGTAAGAAGAATTATTAGGAAATATTTATGTTTATCCTCGGAGGTGGGAAGAGAACCAAGAAGAAGAAAAAGAAGGTCAGCAGCTCTTTTCTGGCCTGCCTTTGTTTTGCAAAATTCGCCACAATGTACTTTTTTATATGGGGGGGAAAAGAAACTGAGTGAGGAGCACAAAAGAGAGTTTTAAGTTTATTTGTTTTGTTACAAACAACATATTTCTTCCTAATTTTAGTCAGTAAAAAAACAGTTGAGAGAAGCAAAAGTGAATGAGAAAAAGTAAAGTAACGTGAAAAGTGAAATCCGATTTTTAGCAGAAATGAAGAAAAATCGTCATTCAAGAGGAATAATCTTTATAATTTATAATTAATTATGTGTAAAAAAAAGCAAACCTATAGTTCTTTTAATTTATAATTTAGATAATTTGATATAATAGAATAATGAAGGATAAAAAAAAGCTAATAAATGATAGAAAGAAAGAGGATATTTTACGTTATTTTATGATTATGATAGAAAAGCAAGAGAAGAGCAAAATAGTATCAAGTATAGTAACTCGTAAGATTTGTTTACCCTCTTTCCTCACGACTAATTTTTCCTCCTTTCAATTTAGGGCTGAAACAGAGTTTAATAATTTAGAGAAAGAGAGAGAGAGAGAGAGAGAAGAGAGCGGTGTGTGAAATGGAGAATTAATACCACTAAATTCTAGGAAATGAGAGAAATATACTTATGAAATAAACAATCTTTTATATGCAATTCGCGAGACTTCAGCATATTTCTAATGTCCTCTGTTTATGTAATCTTAGGTAGATAACTCTTTTTTTTTTAAATAAATTTCTCATCGCGGATTGTTCAAAGATATCTTTTTTATTTCACTTGTTTCCATTAACAACATTGTGTTTCTGTTTGTAGCCAAAAAGAACTAACAATGAATCCTCTTTTTTTCAAAATTGTAGAGCTGGATCTTTACAAAGGAGAAAAAGGAAATACTTTTTGGAAAAATAGAATGTCAAAAGAGAGAAAAAAAACAAGAGCAAATTGATCGGACTATATGTATAAATGTGTTGTGATAGTGAATATCTTAAGGACACTATGAAGAAAAAAAACAATGAGAAACACGCAAAATTGTAGGCTCCATGAAATCCAGCAACTCTTGAAGATTCTTACCCGTGGCGCGACTTGCAGGAGTGGAATTTTTATACAGGAACAGTGTGGATATTTTGCATTGTAGCGAACGCGCGAAAAGTGACTAAAAAGTAGTAAATTGCTTCTAATATTTATTGTATAAAGACTGAAGAATTTAATTTCGTCTTTCTTAGTGGAGCAAAAAAAAGGAATATTGCGACGAAAATTTTGGAAAAAAAAGAAAGAAGCATAATAAACGTAGACATATAGTAAAAAAAAATCATCACTGTAAATTGCCTTAAGAATTTTTAGCGAAAAAAAAAGATTTATTGAAAGAAGAAATTTACAACACAATAATAATTGTATCCGAACCTCCTTCGACACTCGATCAAAAAACACCATCCATTTGATGAGAGAAGAATTTTTAGATGAAAATTTTACACTGGAGAGGAGCAAAAATTGGGGAGGACAGAGCGCGCCAATGGGTGGAATCTTCAGGATTCTGAGCAGAAGAAGAAGAAAAAAACAAACCATTTCTGAGACCCTCTTCTTTTCTTTCAAACCCCGCAAAACCCATCCAATATATTGTATTGTGTGTGATATTAGGATTTCTTGCCAGAAAGAACACAAAATATGTTGAAAAAACACAAGAGGAAAAAAAAAGCGAAAGAGATAAAATTCAACAATACAATTTCACCTTCAATTAAAAGCAGCCGAGAAGAGAGTTTTAAGGGAGAAAACATAGTTAAGAGAATTTGCAGACATTTTTCAGAATTATATAAAAGATAATTAACTGCCAACTTAGTGCTACAGAGAATTTGAGAGAGACAGAGTGTGAAAGGAGAAATCGATACCGATGTATTTTTTAGCTTTCCACACTCCTCCAGAGCTCAGTTTAAGCCGAAGAAGGAAACCTTCTTGTGAAGCAAGTGTTAAAAAAAGAAAATCTCGAAAAAGAAAGAATTCCAATTCTACCTTCAGCATCAACTCTTATCTTTGTAAAACCTCTTTAAAGAATAACAAGAATAAAGTTCTCAGCTCTGAGTTTTACACCGTAACTGCGAGAGCAACAATTTCAAAAGACAAAAACAAAAATCCACAAAGACTTTTCACTACACTTCGAATTACATTTTTTTTTATTTTCTTATACAGATTCAGAGGACTCAAAGGAAAAAAAGAAGAAAATTCTGTCACGAAGAAGGGGGAAAAAGTGTGTGTGTGTGGAAGTAATTTCACCTCGCTTTTTCTCTACTTCTTTTTAGCCTTTACGGCGCCTTTTGTGCCGCCCGCCTTGAGATTGTTTGTGAGCTTCTTCTTCTTTCGGGCCGCAGCCTCTTCGTCATCCTCAGCATTCTCACCCTCCTCGTCGCCAGACGAGTAGTCCGCCTCCCAGATCTCCTCCTCCTCCTCACTCGACTCGCCGATTAGATGGTGTCCCAGGATGTGCACGGGGCTCTGGCCCTGCACCAGCTTGAATGTGACCGGCGCGTCCGGGAACTCCAGCTCCATGCTCACCGATCGCAGCTCACCCACCTTCAGCACGGCGATGGGGATCTTCACCTCGTCCATGCACGTGGGAGCGGTCACCTGCAAGACAGCGCGAGCGTCAGTGCCCTGAAACGGCCGGCAGAGCCACCCAGCTTACCTCAACAACATGATATTCTCCCTCCTTGGCCGTGACGTCCAGCAGGATCTGCTTGATGAGGAGCTTGTTGGGCACCACCATCTCCGCATCGTCGATATTACTGTACGGATCCCATGTGTGTGTGTTCTTCTCGCTGGTCAGCGTAATACCTGCGGAGAGAGAGTGAGTCTCTGGTCAGACAGACGCTCTAACCTCACAATTTTCCTCTTCTTCCCCGCTAAGCCCTCGTTCAGCCCCAAAACAGACACCTGCCACCCCCAACGCGACCACACAACAATTACATAGCACTTCCAGCGAGTTCTGGCCAGGATCTGAGGCAAATACTGACGAAAAGCATCTGGGAAGAAGTGTTGTTTTCATTTTCCCACCCCCCAAACAAATTGCAAATTACACCAAAACTCCCAGAAATCCACACCAGACACAACTCCCACGCTCATGAGAATCACATTCCTGCTGAAAATCACTCCTGCTCAGAGAACCACCCTCCCGCCGGGCATTTCCTGCAATATTCGCAGACATAACGCTCAAGACGGGATTCGACGCCAATTTTTGTTTTCCCCTCAAATTTAGCATCTCGAGCGAATATCCCCAAAATATCCGCGCAGATGGACAGATAAACATCCTCGGGAGGCAACTCACCAAAGAAATACTCGTCAGACATGGCGATGAATGTGAAAAAGTCGGATTTCCCAGGATATTTCACGTGCACTGCTGAAAAATTGTTTTCCTCCTCAAAAAGCGAACGCTTGCCCGGCAAATGACAGCACGATGTGGTGGGGGGAGAAACTTGACGAATGTTTTTCGGGGGAAATTTCTCTTTACATTTTATAATTCCAGGAATAAATGATCTCAAATAAATCTGTCTGTAAAGTAAAATACAGTTCAGCCCGTGGTGGGCGCGTAATATGGGGGATGAGTCGATTACTTCTTCTTCGCAGCGGCCTTGTTGTTTGTGCCGCCATCCTTGGAATTGTTGGCCAGCTTTGCCCTCTTGGCCGGATTGGGCACTTCCTCCTCCTCCTCGGCGTACTCATCCTTCACATCATCGATGCCATCCTCGTCCTCCTCGCCCTCCTGCATCTCACCCATCAAGTCCGCATCGCTGGCCTCGCGGATCAGGTGGTGACCATGGATGTGCACCGGCCCAGAGCCCTGGACGAGCTTGAATGTGATCGGAGCGTCCGGGAATTCCATTTCCATCGAGATGGAGCGCGTCTCGCCCACTTTGAGGACAGCGAGTGGAATCTTTACATCATCCTGGCTCGTGGGGCTCGTCACCTGGAACATTGTGTGCACGTCAGCCAGGCAAAAGCGCCCCAAATCGATTAAATCTTACCTCGACAACATTGTACTCGCCCTCCTTGGCTTCATAGCCCAGAAGCACTTGCTTGATGATCAGTTTGTGTGGCATCAGCATCTCACTGTTCTCGGCATTCTTGTGATAGGGGTCCCATGTCTGTGAAGCCTCGTCGGCCTTCAGGGTGGTGCCTGAAAAGGACGCAAAACATAAAATCACCCACCGATACATAACCCTATTTCGTAAGAAAGATGTTTTTCATACATTTCCCTTCATTTTTTCACTCCCTTTCTAATTTAAAGTCTAAAATAACACCCTATTTTCCGAGTACACCGGATTTCTAAACAAGCTTTTTTATAGAATCGTATTGCGAAGTTATTGTTTTGTCTCCGATGCCGGCCGGAGAGATTATTCAAGTCATCCTGGTTAAAATACGTGTGCATCCATCTAAATAATTGCAACATCCTGTGGAGAGGAGTTTGCCACAGATTTCTTACCGTAAAAGAACTCGTTGGACATGGCGATGGAGATGAAGAAGCAAGATTACAAAATATGATACACAAGATTCGATGCCTTCGAGCCAAGATGACGCAGTGACGCAACTCAACGAAACTTCGCGTCAACTTGACGAAGCTCGACAGGAGAAAGCTGTCCGGAAGGGGTTTGGCGAAATCCAAAATGCACGACAATAGATCCAAATGGACAGATTGTATTCAATGAAATGCTTTCCTGTGAAACATTGTACATTTATGTGAAGGAGTTGTGGGTATTTTGAGATGGAATTTCATGGCAAATCAGAGTATCTCTCTATTTCCTCTTGTTTCGCGCCAAGCCGGCGGCTTTTGTAGTCGTCACTTTCGGGAACTTTTGCTTCCTTCGCGCACTCCCGTTCTCCTCTCCCTCAGCACCATCTTCCGGCTCCTCTTCCTCCACGCCCTCCTCATCCCACATGTCGGGATCGCTCGCCTCCCCAATCAGATGATGGCCATGGATGTGAACCGGCCCGGCGCCCTTGACCAACGTGAAGATCACCGGAGCCACAAATTCCAGCTGCATACACACGTTTCGAGCCTCGCCGACCTTCAGCACGGCGATGGGGATTTTGATTACATCCTCCATCGTCTGAGTGGCCGCCTGTTCGTCAGATACACATTAGAAAATATGTGGAATTCTGCGAAATTATCTTTACCTCCACAACATTGTACTCGCCCTCCTTGGCTTCGTGGCCCAGCAGCATCTGCTTCACCAGCAGCTTGTTCCACACGCCCAACTCCTCGTCATCGTCATTGTGGAAGGGATCCCATGTCTGCGAGGGATCCGTGCTGGTCAACGTGACTCCTGCAAGATTGAGGAAAACAATTAAGAATATTGTTTATCCCAAACATAACCTCAAATTCACGAAAACGCTTCTTCAGCCACAAATATCAAGTCTCTCCGCACAATTTTATGTTCTCACCATAGAAATAGTCATCAGTCATCGTAGCGTGTGGGAGATTAGTAAATTTGTCAGCTTTGAGATGTTGAATATGCAGAAAAAAGCGGATTTCCACAGCCGCCGGTGACTTTTCCTGTCTCTCCAATTGACGAAAGGGAAATTTTGAGGGGAAGATGAGTGTTTCACATTAATCGCCTATGGTGGCGCTGAAAATGTTTGAAATATTTTGCAACAGTCGAAAAAATATTTTCTGTAAATTTGTTACAAATATTCAAGAGGTCACAATATTGGGTGAAAATTATGAAATAGTTGCGCAAGAAAACAATTACAAACGGATCACTAACGAGGATCAACATTGTAAATATTTTTATGACCCCTGTAAAAAAAAGTAATTAAGAAGTGGTTAGGGGCCATAAAAGAGCAGGGGATTCACCGACGCATGCCAGGCTAGTCAGGATTAAGCGGTTACGCCATTGGTGCGCACAAGGCGCACGCGCCGCTCGTGTGTGCGTGCGTGTTCGTGAGCGCACTGATCAGGCAAGGGTATAAATAAGGCGTGCACGGCGCGGAGCAGTCAATACCCGCTTAGTCGTCAGAGTGATCAGACGTACCGAGTTTTTCCAGTGCTTACCAGTATCTTACGCGCGTACGAGTAGTGAAAATGGTGTGCAACTCTACTGAGAACCATGTCGTCGGGGGGCAACGAGAAGAGCTCACTCAACAGCCTCTGCAGAGTAATCTATCGCAGGAGCTTTGGGATGAGTTGGCCGCGCTTGCTTCAACATTTGACGGTGAGGCTTCAGTCGAGTTAGCAACTCCAAAAGGATGCTCAGAAGTGGTTTCCGACGTTTCCGATCAGGAAGAAACCACTTCTGAGCGCCTTTCGGGGGAGCATGTGTTTTCCGCGAAAGAAATGATGGAATATCTGCTGTCGGATGCGGACATGTCTGGGGATTTTAAACATTCAGAATTGTTTGCAATCGAGACGGAAATCTCGCCACTTCTTACGCCCATAAAGTCCATTTCATCAGTTGTCCCATCTTCAAGTGTTCCCCCACGAAAGGCCGTGGACAGAGTGGCTCAAAAGGAGGAAGGCGTCAGTGCGCAAGTCCCAGATGTTTCGAAAACTAAGAAACATTTGCCGACAGCACGCTGCACGTCTCCGATTCGAGAGCTTCCTTCTTCCCTCTCGGTTGATTCTATGACTAAGAAATCATCAAGAGTGAAGGAGACTGTGTCTGCAGTCGCTCCTCTTCCCGATTCTGCTGTATTTAAAAGACCCTTGAGCACCGTTGTCCCTAAGTCCCATGTTTCCCGCTCCAGCTCTTCCCAGCGACAAGCCACCGGCAAAGTGATTCAAGAGGAGGATGTCGCCAGTGAACAGGTCGAAGTTATTCTACGATATATGAGGCAACTGAGATCTTTTCGCTGCGTGTCTCCGATTCGAGAGCTTCCTTCTTCCCTCTCGGTTGATTCTATAACTAAGAAATCATCAAGAGCGAAGGAGACTTTGTCAGCAGCCGCTTCCCTTCCTGATTCTGCTGTATTTAAAAGACCCCTGAGTACCGTTGTCCCTAAATCTAATGTTTCTTCTTCCAGCTCTTCCCAGCGACAAACATCTGGCAAAGTGGTTCAGAAAGAGGAAGATGCCAATTCACCAGTCGAGGTCATTCTGCGATATATGAGGCAACTGGGATCTATTCGCTGCGTGTCACCAATTCGAGAGGTTGACATCAGTGCCGAGGTCAAAGTTCCTTTGCAGTCAATGACACAATTGTCGACGGTGAGCTGCGTGTCTCCGATTCGAGAGCTTCCTTCTTCCCTCTCGGTTGATGCTGTACCTAAGATATCATCAAGAGTGAAGGAGACTTCGTCTAAAGTCGCCCCCCTTCCCAATTCTGCTGTGTTTAAAAGACCCCTGAGTACCGTTGCCTCTAAGTCTAATGTTTCTCATTCCAGCTCTTCCCAGCGACAAGCCTCTGGTAAAGTGGCTCAGAAGAAGGAAGGCGTCAGTGCGCAAGTCCCAGATGTTTCGAAAACCAAGAAACATTTGCCGACAGCACGCTGCATGTCTCCGATTCGAGAGCTTCCTTCCCTCTCGGTTGATTCTATGACTAAGAAATCACCAAGAGTGAAGGAGACTTTGCCTTTACTCGCTCCTCTTCCCAATTCTGCTGCATTTAAAAGACCCCTGAGTACCGTTGCCTCTAAGTCTAATGTTTCTCATTCCAGCTCTTCCCAGCGACAAGCCTCTGGTAAAGTGGCTCAAAAGAAGGGAGGCGTCAGTGCGCAAGTCCCAGATGTTTTGCAAACCAAGAAACATTTGCCGACAGCACGCTGCACGTCTCCGATTCGTGAGCATCCCTCTTCACGTTCACTTGGTTCCGCGAGATCCGTGGCAGCGAAGATGTCTTTGCCAAAGGCTCCCCCTGTTTCTGTAAATTCCAACCATTCTAATTCACAATTTCATTCTTCTCATTCCAGATCAGCTCACCAGACGACATCGCAGAAGCGCCCCAGGAGTCCAGAAGTTTATCGCCCAGAGGATCAGAAGAGGAGGAGGATCAGCCGCGTTCCACCAACAGCCAGAGGAGTACCACCGATTCGTGCACTTCCCTCTCAGGGGTTGGCGGGTTCTGTTTCTCAGAGACGTCCAGATCAAAATGGTTCTACTCAGCAACCGATTTCGGTCCGGCAGCGACTCACAGAGAAATGGTACTCGAACGAGAAACCTCTCACGAAGCGGAGACTGCAGGAATTTAGGAGATAAGCATGACATGTAAATATTATCAATCTTTTTGTTAGTTTTAAGGCATGAAATGTAAATATTTGCTATTTTTGAAAAGACTTGTTAGTTTTAGGGAATGATTTGTACATATTTAGACGATTAGTGTTTCATTATAATTTTTAAAATGTATTTAATGAATTTTCCTGGTTATTCTTCACTAGTCCGCTCAATTCGTTTGCCCTTTCTTCCCCTAATGGTCTGCTTGGTTGGTCGGTTTGTTTTTGAATTGTCGTACACTTGAAATGTCTTCGCGGTCTTCGCAAAATATCCCACTTGGCCGACTTTCGTTAGGTTTGCAGAAAGAAGAAGAAGAAGAATCCGGGCCATTTGACGTCATTCACTCGTGGTGGCTTTTTTCTGGGATTTCGCAAAAAATACTGGCGATTTTCCCGAAGTAAGTGCTCAATTGTATAGTTAAATGCTAAAGTGATCGTGCGTGAAGGTAAAAATCATGTCGCGCTATCTGCAGAAGCCGGAAAATGCGCTCAAAAGAGCGAACGGTGAGTGGCCGGAGAGTGGAATTTTCTCTCATTCCAATATGGTGGCCTGTCCACGTTGCGGGCACGTCACGAAGCTATTTTGGGAGTTGTCTGACCGGGAGCGCCCCCCATTCTCGTCTCTCTTGCAGAGTTCATCGATGTGGGCAAGCCGGCGCGAGCCCTGGACACGCTCCAGGAGGTGTTCCGCAACAAGAAGTTCACCTACACGAGCTCCGAGTCCATCATCGAGCCCATTATGTTCAAGTATTTGGATCTGTGCGTAGAGCTGAAGAAGTCCCACATTGCCAAGGAGGGCCTGTTCCAGTACCGGAACATGTTCCAGCTGGTGAACGTGGGCTCACTGGAGAACGTGATCAGGGGGTATCTGAAGATGGCCGAGGAGCGCACCGAGGCGGCTCAGCAGCAGTCTTCGCAAGCGGTGCTGGATATTGACGATCTGGACAATTTGGCCACACCGGAGAGCATTCTCATGAGCGCCGTGTGTAGCGAAGATGCCCAAGATCGCAGCGATCGCACAATTCTTCTGCCTTGGGTGAAGTTCCTGTGGGAATCCTATTGCCAGTGCTTGGAACTGCTTCGCGTGAACACGCACTGCGAAACGCTCTATCACGACATCGCTCGCATGGCCTTCCAATTCTGCCTCAAGTACAATCGCAAGATGGAGTTCAGGAAGCTGTGCGAGAAGCTGAGGAAGCATCTCGAGGACATCTGCAAACCATCCACGCAGACTATCGGCGTCAGCATCTCTAAGCCGGAGACGCAGCAGCTGAACTTGGACACCAGGTATAAAGTGCATTCTTTTCTTTTATGCAGTCTGAAGCTGACTCTCGTTATCCTTTTTTCGTTCAGGCTTCATCAGCTGGACAGCGCTATTCAGATGGAACTGTGGCAGGAGGCTTACAAGGCCATCGAGGACATCCACGGCCTCATGAACATGAGCAAGAAGACGCCCTTGGCCAAGACAATGGCCAACTATTACCAGAAACTCGCCATGGTGTTCTGGAAGGCCGGCAATCAACTCTTCCACGCCGCTGCTCTGCTCAAGCTCTTCCAATTGACGCGCGAGATGAAGAAGAACATCACACCTGAGGAGCTCCAGCGCATGGCATCGCACGTGCTCGTGGCCATTCTGGCCATTCCGCTGCCCTCGGCTCATCCCGAGTTCGATCGATTCATCGAGACGGACAAGAGTCCCATGGAGAAAGCCCAGAGATTGGCGGTGCTTCTCACTCTGCAGCAGCCGCCGACGAGGGTGTCTCTGTTGAAGGAAATGGTGCGTCTCAATGTTCTGGGCTTGGCGGCTCCGTCACTGCAGGATCTCCATCGTTGGCTGGAAGTGGAGTTTGACCCTCTGGCGCTCTGCAATCGCGTCCAGGCGGTGCTCGATCAGATCACGGCCGATGAGAATAGTCTGCTGAAGCAGTACGCGCAGGCTGTGCAGGATGTCACGCTGGTGCGCTTGATCAGGCAGATTTCTCAAGTGTACCAGTCGATAGAGTTCACGCGATTCCTGGAGCTGGCCAAGTTTGCCGATGCCTTCTATCTGGAGCGCATCCTTGTGGATTGTGTGCGTCACAATGACATGCAGATTCGAATTGATCACAAGAAGAAGTGTGTTCACTTCGGGACGGACTTGAGCGAGAGTCAACGCGAGGATCGCCAGGATGGACCGACTCTGCAGTCCATGCCCAGCGAGCAGGTGCGCTCTCAGCTCGTGAATATGTCAATTGTCCTCCATCGCGCCATAGCGACGATCAATCCGACCAAGAGGAAGACGGAGTTGGAGAAGTTGCGTGTTCAGATGGTGGAGAACTACCACAAGAACAAGGTGGCTGAGCACCAGAGCATTCTCAAGCGTCAGAAGATCATTGAGGATCGCAAGGAGATCATCGAGAGGCAGACGATTGAGCGCGAGGAGGAGCAGCTGAGGCGCCAGGAGGAGATCAATCGACAGCAGAAGATTGCGGAGATCAAGAGGATGGAAGCGGAGCAGGAGGAGCGCGAGAGGAAGCGCCATGCCAATGAGATTCAGCAGATCAAGGAGAGGAATCTGAAGGAGAAGATGCAGCAACTTTCTCAGACTGCGACTGGACAGAAGGTGATGAAGAAGTTGGATGAGGAGGAGATCAAGAAGATGGATCCTGAGCAAATTGCCGCCAAGGAGGCGGAGGAGTTGATTAAGGAGCGTAAGGAGGTTCAGGCGAAGCTCAAGAGCCAAGAGAAACGCGTGGACTACTTCGAGAGGGCGAAGCGCTTGGAGGAGATTCCCAGAATCAAGAAGTACTTGTCGGAGAAGCAGGTGCAGGACAAGGAGTTCTGGGAGAAGCAGGAAGCCACTCGTATTGAGCAGGCGATCGCCGAGCGGAAGATGTCAGTGGCTCAGCAGGAGCGCCTGCGGAGGATGATCGAGGACAAGGAGCAATTCCTTGAGACATTGCGCGTGGAGAGGAACTCGCAGTTCGATGAGAAGGTCAAGCTGTTCAATGAGCGCATGGCGGAAGAGCGCAAGGTTCGTCTGGCGCAGAGAATTGTGCAGCGTCGCGAGGAGCGTCGCCAAAATTGGCTGCGGGAGAAGGAGGAAGAGAAGCGTCGTCGTGAGGAGGAGGTGAGGAAGCAGAAGGAGGAGGAGGAGCGCCTGGAGAGGGAACGCAAGGCCAAGGAGGCGGCTGTTGAGGAGGAGAAGCGTCGTCAGCAGTGGGAGAAGCAGAGGGCCAAGGAATTGGAGGCGGAGCGAAAGATTCAGGCGGAGAAGGACGCCATTGCCAAGAGTGTGCAGCAGGAGACTGTGTCCTGGCGCAATGCCGGAGAGCGCGAACGCGGAGATCGTGGAGATCGCGGAGAACGCGGGGAGCGCGGTGAACGCGGAGGAGAACGTGGCGAACGTGGAGAGCGTGGAGAACGCGGAGAGCGTCCAGAGCGTGCAGAACGAGGAGAGCGTCCGGAGCGCTCTGAGCGTCCGGAACGTGCTGAGCGGCCTGAGCGTCCGGCTGAGAGTGATTGGCGCAGCCCCAGGGAGAGATTCGACGGCGCTCAGGGGACAGGAGGTCGCGATCAGTGGCGCCAGAAGCCTGCTGGAAAGGACTCTTCTGGAGATGGGGATCGCTGGCGTCGTGGAGGTGATGGGGATGGAGAGAGACGCCGTGAGGACAGACCATTCACGCGCCGGGAGATTCCTCGTGACCGTGACGACCGTCGGGATGATCGCTCTGCGTGGAGACGCGATGATCGGGACCGTGGAGATCGTGGGGGCGATCGCGGAGAGCGTGGAGAGATGCGCAGGAATCAGCCGACCGGAGGAGCAGGAGGCGGTGGTGGTCGTGGTCCTCCGCCCAAGGACAACATGTGGCGCAGCGAACGCCCACGCCAGGAGCGCGGTGATCGGGATCGTGACGACAGGCGTGGCGACGAAAGGCGCGATGATAGGCGCGACCGCGGACCGCCGCCGCAGCGGCGGGAGCGCGAAGAGCGTGGCCCCAGGGACGAGAACGAATGGTCAGAGGTGAAGAGACGCTGAAGGACTTATTCTGGAAGCGGAGCAGCATCCTGGACTTCCCGCAAGAGAGGAGATCTATAGAATTATTCATATGCTATCATTTTACTACTTGGAATTATGTATTGCGATTTTCAGCCACTTTTCAGATTTGAAGAAATAAATCAGTAAATTCAATTCCGGAAGTCTATTTGAGAAGTTTTTCAAGTTGTCTGGATCGCTGCAGACCGCGACTGAAGGGAGATCCGCGGAGGTCCATTGGTTCAGACGTCCAGACATCATATCAGCTACATTTGTGAGTTACTTTCTAAAGTCTAAAGGCCGCCTTGGCTCTTCTGCAGGATTTGGGCAAAGCGGTTCGTGATCAAGAGGGAGGTGTCAATAAACCTGTCCACGCAATTCGAGAGGCAGGATTCGGTCTTCCCATCTAGCTTGTTGCTGGGCTTGTCCACGCACTTGTCCCAGCAGATATCGTTGAACTCGTGAATCTGGAAATGTGGATACGAAGTTATGAAATTTCCGGAAGCGCCCCAAAACACAAGTATCCACTTACCTGGGCATTTACTTGTGCTCTCTGTCGTTCTATCTGCAGGAAGTCTTGCAGTTCAGCGTCTCCCGCTTTCGAGCCAGACGATGAGTCAAAATCACTCATTTTTCAAGTATATTTTGCAATGAAAACTGATGAAAACCGCGAGGAAAATGTTGTAATTTTGAGGTTAAGGGGAAATACTTGCAGAAACACTTCAACAGCAAAAGAGTTGTCAAAGTTGTCAAAAATCAAAACAATGCAGGGATAAAAATGAGGAATTTCGCGAAGAATTAGCATAAAAATGTGTGCACAAAGCACAAAGGAGTGTGAATATTGCCATCGGGAGGTGAACTCCTCGAGTAATAGGCTGATTCAGGAGTTGTGCGGCCACAACAAGTGCCGAAGGTGTTTCATCCAGGAGAAGGATGGATGCCAAATTTGTGATGAGGAATCCCGGAAATCCACACAGGTTTCGAGAGTGACCAGTGCTCCGTGCAAAATGAAGACCGCCTGGGCGCAGATGATGACAGCAAATGGAGAGCCAGAGGAAGGAATTGTCCAGGAGGAGAACGGGGAAAAGTCAATGGATTCTGAGGCTCTGCAGATTGATACGGACTTGGAGGAGACGGAGACTCCACCGGATGAGGACACCCAAGAGGAAAACGCAGAGTCTCCACCTGTTGTCGCAAGTGTATTTCGTGAGCCAAAGAAGAGGTCGAAATTCGTCATTCCCAAACATGTGAAGAGAATTGAGGAGCAGAGATTTGAGTGCACAATTTGCCAGAGGCAGTTCTCCAGTCGCCAGCAATGTGTATACCATTCGTACTGTGATACTTCCATCAAGAAGCCCCACGAGTGTTCCCAATGCGGTCTTGCGTTTGTGACTCTCAACCATCTTCAGTATCACATGGAATCTCACGAGGAGAACAATCTGCGGTGTTCGCTGTGCAGCAAGCAATTCAACAGATCTCAGAGCCTGCAGAAGCATCTGAAAGTGCACAAGGCGGAGCACGAGCACAAGTGTTCCAGGTGCAATATGAGCTTCCCCTTCCGGTTCCAGTTGAAGCAGCACGAATTCAGGCATGAGAACATCCGACCGTACAAATGCACAATTTGCCCGAGGGCGTTTACTTTGAAGGAGAACCTCAAGAAGCACTTTTTGGTGCACAGCAAGGAGAAGAGGTTTTCTTGTGAAGACTGTGGAAAGAAATTCAGCCGAAATACCACGCTGAAGGTGCACAGAAACACTCACTCGAAGAAGCGCCTCTTTGGGCCCTGTTCGTCGTGCGGGAAGACATTTGTGGACTCGCGTAGCTTCGCCAGACATCTCTTGAGTCACAACACAACGCTGAATTATAGCTGTTCCCTGTGCAACGCCACGTTCAAGAGGAAAGACAACCTTCGGCGACACGTGAGAATCATCCATCCTGAGGAGAGCCTCCAGGAGACACTTCAGAAGTCAACAAAAGCTGTACAGGAAGATGAGGAGCAAATAGCAGCTGTGAATTTCCCGCCAGGAAGAACTTGCAGTGTGATAAGATTCACAGGAAATATCCCACCATCTATTCCTGAGCCTGCAGCTGAGACTGAAGATGTTCCCGACGAGTGTGCAATTAATGAGGAGCCCGAGAGGATTCCCGAAGTGACTGAGAAACCACCAAAGCCAAAGAAACCCTTCGATCCACTCGAGATATACCGAAAAATTCTCTGCCCCAGTCGAGATGATGAGGATGAGGATCCAGCTCCTGATCTGAATCTCAAGAAGACCTCTCAGGAGAGCAGTTTAGTTCATTGGCGCAAGAGAACGTCCCTCAACTTCACACAGAATGCAAGGCGAAAAGACTGATTCAAGGTGGGTTTATTTTAGTAGAAACACTCACCTTGACTCCCTGCCAATTCTGAACAATTTTTCTACTTTCCCCCGCAGATTGTCAAAGTGGTTGTCAGGCTGAGATGTTTTCTGCAATCTCAGAGTGTGCTAAAGACTGGCGAGAGGTCCTTGAGGTCGTTGCTCAAGCCTCAGTCGATGAGAGGAGGAAGTTCTCCTGGATTTGGCCGTCAGAAGAATGTGTCGAGAATTTGCAGAGGAGTCTCAAAACGTGTGGAATATCGTGTCTTCTCAGCATTGGCTGCGGATCAGGACTGTTTGAGTGGATCATTCAGGAGAGTTGTGGTAAGTGCTTCATTGTTATATCTCTGTGAAAGTGTTTTGGAGACATTTTTCAACATTTGACAGGGATTAAAGTGTCAGGACTGGAATTGGATAACTCCTGGTGGACTTCACCCTATGCTCCTGCTACTTTCATTCCCCTCCACTTTACTGTCACCCCAATTACTGCAGATTTCCTGAAGAAATGCGCCCCAAACGATCGATTTGCCCTCATATTCTGCTACTTTAACAACGGTTTGGCCTTCTGGGATTATCTAGAGCACTTCCACGGGGATTTTGTGATAATAGCCGGTCCGAAAGCAGGAGTAGGAATTCACACTGATCCAACTCCGTACGCTCTCTCAACGGAAAATGCCCCCAAAGAGAAAGCGTGGACATTGAAGACGATAATCGACGTTGCAGATGGATTGAACATCATAGCGATTTATGAAAGGAAGCGAAATCCATAAATTTGATCACCTTTTTCGACTGAATAGAATACTTATTGATACTCAAATTGGCTCATTTGGTGAAATTGTCGAGTGATTTTGCAAAGTGAAACTATATTCCGTCTCGATCAATTAATTTATTAAAAATTTTTTTTCTTAATGTTGCGCCGTGAGATAAGTGACTTACAGTGCTATTAGAAACTACAATTTTATAATTTTAAATATTTCAACATCATCCCTATTGCTACACTGTCTTGTCTTACATGATTTATAACTTTATGAGATATATTACCTTAGTAATTAATTACAGATCATTTAATAATATGAGAAAAAATGTCTTGCAGAGTATATGTTTCTGTCATATATAGTGTTAATTGTCTAAATGCACTTATATTTACACGTAAAACAACATATTTATCTTTATAAAAACAAATTGGCGCGTAAATATTACGCGAGAATAAAGCTAGAGAGGTCGAAGTGTGACAGAGGGGATCGTCCAAGGCACTGAACCCTTCTCTAGGTTCTCAGCCATTATCTGTAGGCTTTCTCGTCGTAGATCACGTAAGGCTGGCCATTGTGGGAGGTGCCCTGTGGCTGCTGGGCCTGCTGGGAGGGCGGCGGAGGTTGTTGCTGTGGGAAAGCATAGGGAACGCGGCCCATTGTGGAGAACGCTGGCCTGATCTGACTGAGATTCGCGTGGCTCTGTGCCACGACGGAATGCGGAGGTGGCAGCTTGTGCGGCAGTGTGGCGTAGCTCTGGGCGTAGGGGGGAACGGCGTAGAGGGCAGGGCCCGGAGCACCCTTGAAGCTCATCTGAACACTTCCGGGACCCATTGGCATAGGCGGAATTCCCATTGGCATGGGTCCGCGGTAGGGAGCGCTGCTCATTCTCAGACGCACGATGCAGATTATGATGATCAGGATCGCGATGAAAGCCACGACGCCTCCCACAATCCCTATTATCAAGGTGTCGTCATTATTCATGGGCGCTTGCTTCATCTGTGGAGGCTTCGTCTTCAACTTTGGCGCAGCTTTGGTTGGGGCCAGACTCCAGATGATCTCTGGCTCAGTAGTTGTTGTCATTATGGCGCGAGGAGTCGAGCTGGAAGTCAAGAGTACCATTGTGGGTCTTGGAGTTGTTGTGGGAAGACGTCTGGGATCACACGTGAGTTCATCATCCCCAACTTCAATCAGGAGTCGATCCTGAAGATACTCAGGCGTTTGGCACTTGAGACCGGCCATGCTAGTTCCCGGAATCCATCTCCTGAGAGCTCGAGCATTGCAATCGCAGTGGATTGGATTGCTGTCTAAACCCGTGAGAGTCAAGCTATTCCTTCGGTCTTCGAGGGCTGTGAGGAGTTGAGGCGATAGGACGGGAATTCGAGATCCTGTGATGTCTAGCGTTAAGTGTGAGGATCGAGGAACGGGGAAAAGTAAGGCTGGCGGAAGGGAAGATAAAGAAGTGTTCTTGAGTTTGATGTTGAGGTCCTGAGCTTTGAGGCCAGCCAAGGTGCCTGAAGAGATACTCCTGAGCCTGTATCCTCTGATCCCCAGTTCTTTAAGTCTTGGATGCAGGGATGGTTGGATCTGATCGCTGCCCACGGCGGCATCTTTCACCTCAATATCCAAGGTCTCGAGACCAGGCAGTGCCTCTAGGATCCCTTGAACATCCAAATAGCCCAATCTTGGGTAGTTGTAGGCTCGCAATTTGGACAGATTTGGCAGGTCTTTGAAAGCGTTCTTCTCAATCCGGCTGCAATGATTAAGATTGGCAATTGATAGGGACTTTAGCATCTCCAGATTGTCCAGATCTCCATGTGCTATGGTCTCGAAGGAGTTATTGGACAAGTCCAGATACTGCAGAGAGTTCAGCGTTGGCCAGATCTTCGACACACTCTTCATATCCTGGAGTTTATTCCCTGAGAGATCGAGATTCTCGAGAAGAGTAGCCCTGCTAAAGACTCTCTCATTGACGCTTGTGATGTGATTCATTGAGATGTTGAGCACTTGCAAGAAGGGTGTTTCCAGTGACGAGATTTCCTTAATGCCCGTTCCGGCTAAATTCAAATGCCTGACTGTCTTAGGTTCGCTCAGGATGTTTGAGATGGCCTCTTCGGTGAGGGGATTGTAGGAGAGATCCAGTTCCTTGATGTTCACCATTATGCTGTCATCTCCGGGGATGTGTTTGAGCTTGTTCTGACTTAGGTTGACAGAAGAGACGAAGAAGTACTGTCTCTGGAGTGACTTTAGAGGAGCCACTTCGAAATTATTCCTCGCCAAATTAATATTCTCCAGCATGTGAAGCTTTCCTCTCTCGAAGATGGTCTCTGGCAGTTCAGATAAGTTGTTTCCTTCGAGGTTCAGGTTCTCAAGTCGCACCAGACCCTCAAAAGTGCGATCTCCTATCCTTTCCAGCCTGTTGTCACTAAGATCAATGATCTGCAGTTGTGTGGAGTTGTGGAAGGACATCTCACTGAGGGTATCAATGGAGTTTCTAGCTATTAAGAGGCTCCTGAGTCGCGGAAGTCTGGCAAAGTCCAGCTCTTCGATATTCTTCAGCAGATTTCCGGATAAATTGATCAGTTCCAGATACTGCAGATTTCCTATCAATTCAGACACGAAGAACTTGAGCTTGTTGTTGGAGATGTCCAGCTTCCTGAGGCGAGCATGGATTCTGAAGGCAGACGGGAAGAGGTAGATGATTTGATTTTGGGATATGTCCAGCTCCTCAAGACTAGTTCCTGTATTGAAAATCTCGCCCTTGAAGGCGCTCAGCTGGTTTCCCCTGAGAGACAGCCTCTGGATACTCATGATGTTGACAAAGGACGATGGTCTGATGGTCATTATGTTGTTATCTGATAAATCAATGGATGTAATATTCCGCAGATTGGAGAAAGTTCCTTCCTGAATCTCCTGAATGGCGTTATTTTGTAGATTTACAACTCTGAGATCGGGATTATTGGCCAAGAGTTCGATTGGAAGTATCTTTAGACCTGCTCGACTGAGATCCAGACTTCGTAGTTTCTTCAGTGGCTGCAGGAGAGTGTGAGGAAGAGGTCCTAGATGAGGATTTCCACTCAGATTCAGGTGAGTGAGACCAGGAAGTCCACTGAATGCATTTCTGGGAATATCCACGATATTATTCTCACTGAGATCCAGCTTGAGGAGATGAGTGAGGGCAAGAGGAGTGCTTCCAATGCTGGCAATCTTATTCTGGGCCAATCTTAAATCTTGCAGAGCCTCCTCGAGTCCCACGAAGATGTCCGCACTGATGCCGATTAGAGAATTGCCTGACAAGTCCAGGTAAATGAGGTTCTTGAACATCTGGAAGCTGGCTGGCGGAAGCTCACGGATGACATTGCGAGAAAGGGACATGTACCGGATATCTTCGGGCTGGATTGATCCCAGAATGTCCGAGGAGAGTGCAGCGACGCGATTGAAGTCCAGGTAGAGATTTGAGAGTCTTGGGAGTCGACCGAGAGCGCTTCCAGGGATGAGGAGAATATTGTTGTCTCTGATGATGAGTGTTTGTAGAGCATCCAAGCCTTCCAAGGCGTCATCCTCAATCTGAAATATGCAGACACACCGGTTAACATGTATAAGAGATGTTTTGGTGGCATTGTTTTACCGTTCTAAGTGCATTGAGACTGACATCCAAGAATTTGAGAGATCGCAGATCCCTAAACGTTCCCGGAGCGATTGAAGTGATCCCATTACGGCTGACGTCGAGTATTTGTAGACCTTTCACCTGAGCCAGGTGCGAGCTGTCCAGACTGGTGATCATATTGGCAGACAGATTGAGAACCTTCACATTCTCCACTTCTCTGAGAGACACTGACGGGAAGTTTGTGATGAAATTCTCGGACAGATCGAGCTTTTGGAGTGTAGAGGCGCCCAAGAAAACATCACTATTCATTCGCGAGAGCCGATTGCCGGCCAGGTAGATCTCCTTGATGTTGCTGAGGCCGGAGAAAGCGTTTCCCTCAATGTGACCAATGCGATTGTATCTGAGATCGACTCTCTCCAGGTTCGATTGGGCTGCGAATGCTTCTGTCCTGAGGGAGGCGATGTTGTTGCCACGCAGTGAGATGAACTTGAGTGCTGCTGGTCCATTCAGTGACATGGATGGGACACTGGATAAGCTGTTGCGATCGAGATAGAACTCCTGAAAGGCATAGAAAGAGATTTTCGTGTGACCAATTCAGTCGTTACATAATTAATTGTGCGCACCGTTAGAGATCTTGCGAGATATATTCACCGTGGGATTCTGACTATTGTTGCTACCACGGTGAAAATCATTCAGCCCAGAGTTCAAGATCACGATCATGTCTTGCAACAGTGATCAAGTGATAGAAACTCAATATTGCTCAATCTCATCCGCATGTGCAATAAATCACCCAATTTGCGCTGCATCAGACTTTCTATCTAGCTAATTTCCGCGAAAAACCTTCCGCCAAGATATTTGATCTCAATTCGCGCCAGGGGATCTCTCGTGATCGTGTCTGTGGGGTAATATTTACGATTTGCGTGTGGAAATTGATGGACAAAGTGTTGTACAACTTCCTCCAGAAGAATCTCTTGGGAAACTCGTCTCGTGAGATTGCCAGTGAATTATTTGTCCGGGAAGCCTGCGGTTTGATTTCCAAGCCAAGGAATTTGGGTTTTAGGGTCAAGGATTAAGCAGAGCGGTTGAGAGGTTGAGTGTGCAATTTATGGTGCCACAAATTGCAGGGAAGAAGAGTGAAAAGATCGTGCCACAAGTCTTTTCTATAGCAGTCAAGCGACGATTCCTCCTCGACGCAGTGATAATCAATTTTTATGCATCGCTGAAGTGAGGAAGAAACTCGATGATGCCACTACTTTTCACTCATGTACCCATCATCCACTCTTGACCATTGCAATTGCGACAGCCAAATGACTACTATTATTTTATTTATTTAAGCATCTCGCCAGTTGTGATGGAGCGAAGAGAGACGTGAAGAATGGTGGAAGAATATGCGGTTACAATAAGTTGTTGATTTTAGACGCGCTGTGTGGAATGAATGAGAGAATAAAGCCTCTCACTCGCACTCATAATCGCCACAATCACAATTCTCAATATTGCTAATAGAATATATAAATAACGTGGAGCATCCGTTACTTTGAGTTTCTTCATCTTCTATTCGCGACTCTCTTTTTTTCCTCCTTTCTCAGCCATCTTTTCACCTTTTGCCGATGCGGAGAAAAAGTCTTTTGTGCCATCTGGCTCTCGGCTCAGGTGTGATGATCAGAGGGGCTCTGCAGACCTCCCAGCCATTGGAAATCTATTAAGCCTCTTTGCCAGCACAATTCCACCGTCATTGCGCGAGACCACGAGACGCGCAAGACGCAAGAGATGCGTCTGCAAATGGATCAGTGGTGGGACGATCATTAGATGTGCGGCAACAATGGGCCCAGCAGGTGAATTCAGGTGAGCTCAACACCTTCGGAAACAATTTATCGTGTCTTCGAGCGAAGGTCAAAAGCAGGATGCTGGAGCTCAAATTCAATAAATCGTAAAATCTCTCGGATTCCACAGGGTCATAAATGGCTGAGTGGCCAGCGGAGTGTAGCAGCTCGGCATCATCTGGCATTCTCGCCACGGAGAAAGAGAAGTTCTCTCCGGGCGCATTTGAATAACGTGGCTGATTTGGCTCGAGAATGTGGGTCACACTATGGCAAATTTCAAAGCAATCTCCAAGACAGAGAGAGTGATACACAAAAGGTGATCCGGGCTATTGTGAGTGGAGATTTGTAGGGTTGATCAGTGTGAGAATTTCAAGCACGACTTGCAAACTCTTTCCCCTTGGGATTGTGCTGAGAGAAAATGGATAAACCCTTTGGGTGAGAATAGTTAATAAATTTCTTGCTAGACACTTTTCATGCTTTTCATTCACCGTGAATCCTCGCGGCGTCTCCGCCAAAGTGTCGATGGAGAAAATGTTGTGGCACTTCTCAATAAATAGCTAACAAATTGTCGGCCGTTAACTGGGCAAATTGTTTATTGTAACGTGACGGTGAATTTGTGTGCATTCAGGAGAGCCATATGTACACACTGTTGAGGTATAAGAATCTGCACGAGAGTGCTTTTGCTCTTTCACGGCTCCTGATTAATTTGCTCGATGATCTTCAATGGTGAAAACTGTGGGAGGTTTTTTTCTGTTTTTCCCCTCGATTGACCGTCTGTTTCTTCTTTCCCTTTGTAAATTGATATTCTTGGCAAAACACTCTCTGGCAATTATTCCGATAGAGACACACTGGAGCAAGACGGACGGGGAATTTTGTATTGCACGTTAAACCAGTTTTTCAGTAAATGGAAAAAGGGAGAGATTTCTCAACATTTATGGCTCCCCGAGAAATCAGCCAGAGTCTGTTTCCTTATAGAGCGCACACACAGCCGCATCCGGAAACTCACCTGAAGTTTCTCGCATCCTTTGAGGATGCCCTCCTCGATGGCCTTTATCTTGTTGCCAGACAAGTCCAGGACGCGGAGATTCGCGAGCGTGTGAAACTCCGACGTGGAGAAGATGGGATTCAGTGAGTCGCCCAGCAGATTGTCGTTGAGGTGGAGTTCCGTGAGTGTCTCCTGGATTCCTGCGAATGCCTTATCCGGCAGCCGACGGATGGAGTTGTGTGAGTAGTCGAGATTCCTCAGGGGGAGGCTCGATGTGGCGAAAGCCTAGAAAATCCAGAGAGTTGCAGTGAAATGTTGAGGGCAATTTTGACGGAGGCTACAATTAAATTGTCTGATTGGAATCACACGTGAATTCCTTCCTCGCTTTCGTGCTTCTGGGCCTGCCCGAGAAATGAGCAGAGGCTGATATTTAGTGATGCACACCCAAAGAGATATATTAAATTGAGTGTGATAGTGAAGAGAGTGCAATCACAGCAAATAGAAATTCCTGCCGCACAGCGAATAGGCAGAGTTGACGGTGATTAAGATAAGAGATTGCAGGCGTAATCTCTGCCATTATCTCGCACTCGCTTTCATGCATACAGAGTCTGTGCTCGATTTGAGAGGAGTGCGATTTAACCGCGAAACGATCATTTAGCCGCTGTATCTTATCGCAATCTAGCAAACCCACACGCCGCCGAGGCCAGCTCTGTGGGTGAATGAATGCATAAACGGCAGAATTGTGAAATTTCCTCGGCGGAATACTAAGCATTTTGCCCATTGTAACGAGTAAACGTCGAATTTATGTCAATTTACCCTGCAATTTTCCCGCCCAGCTGAGAGGCGAGCGCGCATTGCGAAAAAAGCAAGTCCGGTCGCTTTTAATTGATTTCCACAAAGAGTGCATCTCACGAGAAATTCCAACAGCCATGGCATTTTTCCGCCGCCCGAGAAAGGATGGCAAAAGAGCATCAAATCATAGGCCAAGACAACATCATAACTCAGTGGTGATCTGGGATGGAATTAAAGTGCAATAGCACGCTATTGAGTGGTAAATTGCACTTGATCACACCGATCGTATATTGATCATGAGTGAAATTGGATAAATCATTTTGCCTATTGCCTTTATGCCGAGCGACGTGATACAATGCCGGCCTCGCGGATGCGCCCGTTTCCAGCACGAGAGGAGGTGGGAGACGATAAATCATAGCCGGACGACCACGCATCGGATTACCTGGCTCGGGAGCGCCTGCTGGCCACTGAAGCGCTGCGAGAAGGCGATAATTGGGGCTCCAACCGGCAGCACCGGCGACTCGCCCGGGAACACGACGCGGTCGCAGTCCATCGCCACGGCCGAGAGGGCCCCATTCAGCCCCAAGGGCTCCAGCTTGCACCTGTGGGTGGAATTAGGCACCTTTAATCCTCCTGCAATAGCAACTTTGCATATCTGCTTCTGATGCATGCGCTTGACCCCGAATGGAATTTGCGGGAAAAAGTATGGCAATTTATTGGCGGAAAACGCCTTGTTTCTCGACCAAATCAGCAGATTTACGAGACTTCCTTAATTAAATCAACACACACTCCAAGATGAGATAGTATTTTAGTTTAAGTTTTAGTCTAATTTATGCCATAGAGTGGGAAGATTCTGTGAAATGTCTGTAGCATTTTCATCTCAAACATTCTCTTTCACATCTCATAAATTTGGAAGCAGCAAATATCCATAATTTCATGCTCGATCTTTGAGACATTTTTATATTAGAGCTTCTCAAAATGTATACGTAAATTTTATCTTTTCACCCACTTCTTATGCACATATTAAGTGATATTTCTGAAAAAAACAGTTGCATGCAACTCAGGATTTTGTACGGAATCATAGTGCTGATCCTATTCATACTGCTGATGACTGTAATTAATTCCTTCAGTGCAAACATGAGTGCGTTAGCGCTTTTCCTTCCAGCAACAGTTTCTTTTCAGCAATTTTGCTTTCTCGGTCTAACACCATCTCGCTAAATCTCTCACCTGCAGGGAAATCTGAGTGCTGGACTGAGCTCTGGACAGGGCTTCCATGCTGTTGCGAGTCCGATCGCGAGGAGCACCAGCAATTGATGCAGGTGAGTCATTTCTGCAATGCAAAAAGAAAACAATTGAGGTGGGCTGACGGAGGCAGAAAGAGCGAAAGAGAGGGATCATGAGAGAAAAAGGGAAATTGCCGTGGCGAGTCAAGAAAGGTCATTGAGAGTCCCAAAAAGTGTGTCAATTCCTCCATGGTCCGCGAGACTTTTTTTCTGTTCTTGCTGCCGCCTCGTTGTTCCCAATTCTCTTGCTGTGCTCAAATTACTGTGTCGAACAAGAGTATTCCAATCAAAAATTATTGTACAGAGTGGAAGATTCAGATGGCGGGGACAAAAAGAGGGGCCCACGTCGCAACTTTTATGTGGCGAAATTCCCATGCCTGTGAGCATTAGAATGCCTGATGGTCTCTTTTTTGATCTCGCCAAGAGAGCGAGAGAGGTTTTATGTGTGTTTATTTCATACTGCAAATATATAGAGAGCATAACTGTACAGCGGGGAGCCCCTCGAGGGAAATGCCTTAACAAGCGTTGAAGACATCTCTTCAGTCTCCCTCTCTCTCTCTCTCTGTCTTCATCAAATAAAATTCTTTTTTCCACACCATTCACTTTATCAGAGCCATCGTTTTGCGCCATTAAAGTGCATCTGCGGCCGCACTCTGCGTTAGTGTGTCTTAGGAAAAGTCCTACACCAGAAAATGCGTCTTGGAAGATGAGTCTAGAAGTTGAAATTACTTCAATATGCGATTGTCTTTGAACACTTCCACGATGACTCTCTTCACGCTTTCATTCATATAATTTGAATAAGACATTTATTTTTACACAATGGTCACGGCAGAGTGTTTGATGCTTCTGCCAAGATAATTCATTCTCGCATTGGGAAAGAGTGAAACAAGATTCTCTGAGAAGAAAGTAAAAATTTATCATTTTACTTATTAAGCTGTATTTCATATTAATTAACCGCCCATCGCTTATCTCCCACATCTTGGCGAAAAAAAATGAGGCAAAAACTCAAGATTATAATGAGAGGTGGAAAATTTGGTAGAAAAACAATCGTGCTAAACACCGTTAAAAGCGAATGTTTTACTGACCATCGTTACAAGAAATTTTGCAATAATGGTAAAAAGGGAAATTTCTTCATCGGCGAACGAGTAAAATCATTTGTGATGCTCGACAGAAGATGCCAAGAAGAGTTTATAAAATCACGATATCGATGGGACTTCCTTGAATATGTCCAATGCAATATACTGTTATTATGTATTAAATTTCACATTTCACAATCTGGCCGCGAAAGATTTCTCGTCTCTGGCACTTTTGCTATGATATAACAGGTGACACGACAGGTATTTGCCATTCGTTCCCTCTTCAGCGCGCTTTCAGAGCGTCTTCAGACCCCATCTGATGTGCCTTTATTTATTTCATTATGCACACATTACTTTATGCGCATAGAGATTGTTGTAATTTGAATGTCAATGCGCGGAATCGCCGCGAAGGGGCTTTTGAACCTCTGCACAGTTTCAAGGAACTTTTCAGAACGCCCAGTGGAGTTCCGGTGAAAGTTTCATTGGCTCTTGCCACTGACCTCCACCTTCTGCAAATGCTTTTAGTCACAGAGATCTCGCAAGCTCGCCCATGGCAATGAAAAAGACAAGGGCCTTTCTCTCTGGGCTTGATTTCTCTGAGCGCGAAATATTTCACTGCAAATATCACTTCTCTCGGCCTAATCTTGACCACCTCACCTGGCGACAATTTAGAGTGCGTCTGAGAAGAATTACTGTGTGTAGGAAGAAATAGCAGAATTCTTTCCATCTCTCTGGGTTTGTCTCCCATGGAATTCCTTCGAGTTCTCCCTCCTCGAGTCCCGCTTATCAATTTGCATTTTATTAATCACATCACGTCTCTCAGGTGACTGTGACATCAGCATTTTAGGCCGGACTTTCGGAAGAAAGGCCCTCATAAGCGCGGCTCCTCAATCAATGGAGGAAGCAGACCAATTAATTCAGGTGAAAAATGATCTCGTTTGAGTCGAAAAATTGCCGGAAACATTATTTTTCTCGGGAGAAGCGGAAAAAGTGACCCCAGAGTGTCTTATTCACTCTCACACTTACGATAATTGCTAAGGTGAGTCTTCAGGCTTATTGGTTGATAATTTGCCGCTGAAAAATCTCCTCAATGCGATTTTAATTTCTCATCGCTCTCAATTATAAGCCACAGCGGCATCTTTAGCGATACAGCAATGTTTGTTGTTACAGTGAGACGCTGAAGCTTCACCCAGGAAAAACCGACACTCTCTCTGTATAAATATGTATAGTTTTCTGCATTTGGAATTGACGGCTCTACTTTTGAGTCTCACTGTTTTTCCAGCCGTGGAAGATTTGCAAGTAAGTTGCAAACGTGTATCTCATGAGTGAATCTCAATTGCGTGCACAAAGATTTTTTTCAGTAGACTTTAAAAGGGGGGAAAAGATTCACGGTGGAAATTCTTGAGGACTCAAGATCAAATCATATCGCGTCATTAGTCTTCATTAAGTGACTCTCTAATGGATGCACGTGGAAGCGTGTCTCGTTGAGCATTTTGTCCAGCATTTTCACTTGCATGTGAAAATTGCAGGCCAGGAATGCGTGCATTTGCAAGTGAGTGAAAATATGTGAAATTTTGAGACACTCTGGCATTCTCTTCGCCGCGATGACGGTCAAATGATGGAGTGGCGAGTGAGTCATTCAAATGTGAAGAAGGTCAAAGCATCTTCTCACAATATTTTTGTCATTTATATATTTCTTATGTCGCCTCAACTTGGGGCTCAGTTGTGGAAATATGCAAAATATTCTCATATTCTTGTGCGAGTTTTTTTCCGTGGAGAGAATTCAAAGAGGATGTCATTGGGTATTATTTACATATTTGCGAATAAATAAATCATTAAGGACTTCTTTTGTGAGCGGAAAATAATACACTTTGGAGCTTCTCAGACACTCTCGGATGGCTTGAGATTAGGCAATGAATTACCGTATCTTCCCCACCTCGATTGTAAATTAATATGCGATATTCGTGGATTGAAATGTGGCAAAACCTGTTGGACATTTCAACTGTAGTGCGAGAAATTTTTGTGAAGCAGCGTCACACAAATCTTCAGGTGAATCTCGAGGCTCCCCATCAAAAATCCATCAGTGAGAATTACCATTTTTTCGACTCTCAATCAAAGAGTGATGTATGGAGTGTGAAATCGAACGAGAATCACCATCTGAACACTGGGCAACACACATACAATTTCCACTGGCGAAGCCGCATAGAGTGAAAAATTTCATTGCATAATTTTGCAATTAATAAATTCTTCGGCTCTTTTTTCTCCTTCTCTCTCTCCCTCTGTTGGAGGTGAAAAAGTTGCCTTATTTTCCACAGCGAATGAATCAATTTGAGGTAAATAACCGAATAATGTGACTAATGCAATTGGAATATTTATTAGGTTGTGACTTCATGCAAGCTCTGTTCAGACTCACAAGAGAGGAAAAACACTGCATGTTACAAGAAAATTTACACGGAGATTTTTGCGATGGATTAGAGTGAATTATTGCAATCAATTTGAGGTATTCAAGGTTGTTTTGTACCACAAATCCGATCACTTTTGTGCTGGAAAATTCACATGTCTCGAGGAATGGAGTGAAGCTCAAGAACAATTAAGTATGTGGGATGATTTTTGGGCGGAAGACCAACAAGAGTTCAGCGCGTAGTGAAAGAAAAAGTGAGGATGAGCGCAAAATGTTTGGTATTTCTCTGCACGTGCAGAGCTGTATAAATTGCTAATTAGCACACAATTAACAAACGCATGATTTTCTCGACAGATCTTGATGCAATTCTTACCGTTTTATCGATGTCTTACGCCACGGTCTTTCTTGCCACTCTTCTGCCTTTTTTCCGCGAGATCAGCTTCGAATTACAGTAATGTTTGTTGCCTTACTGGCCGATGATTGTTGATGTTATGGCCACAGAAGGCCAATTCTCGGGTCTCGTCGCTCCTTCAGCTCCACTCACGGCGAGCCATAACTGCGTGTGGAGAAGAAGTGCCATTGCAGAATATTATTGTTGATCTGTCTAAGACTTTTATGAGTTATACATTGTCAATAGAGGGGAAACATTGGCATATTTCTGGCAGACGTAACTCGAAGCAATGATCGGAATGTGCGCATTTCGAATACTGCCTCGACCTCAGACTTTCTCTCACACGCTTCCCCGCTGTTGGGTTGAATGACTCGAAATTCCCACCCATTTTCTACCACTTCGTATCATCGTCCCATCAATTTGGCTACATTATCGTCATATTTTCACGATCTATTTGAAATTTAGATCAGTTGAGAGAGATTTACCGACGCCATGGAGTGAACATCATGCCAAAACATCAATTTTTCTTTAGGGATGAGAGCCGATCTCATGAGCTAATCGGCAGAATTGTTGCAACGGGCGATTATATGAGATGCGGAGAGATTTGCATAAACAGTGCTGGCAAGTCAAATTGAGTTGAATTAATCAACTTGGGAGAATCTCAAACCGCTTAACACTTAATAGTTTCGCATTTATAAGTCAAAGAGTTTGTCTCACTTCGCCACTAATGAATTGAACGTAATCCCAGAGAATCTGCAAGTTTCCCCCTCATTTTCTCCCATGAGAGAAATGTCCCCCCGTGAGGCAATCGCGAGTCTAATTTGCAACATTTGTGACTGATGACGGAGGTTGGGAGGTGCTTCAAATAAATACTTATGCGGCGCTGCAAAATTAACTGTATTCAGCGTCTTGCGATATTAATCTCTGTGTCTGTCTCACTCTGGCGAATGTCTCGCGGGATGGAGAATCCACTTTGCGGTGAAGACATATCAAAATTGAGCGATAAAACAATCATTTTCTCTCACACACTAAACTGGCTGCTGAGGCTGAAGATCAAAACAATTGTGTGGGGCGCAGGTAGTTTGTTGCACAAAGTTCTTGCGGCTGGGAATCACACCGCGTGGAGTGTTAAAATGTCGTGGAAAGATCACGGGATTTTTTCACCGTCATCTGATCTCAATTTTTACCCGACACAATTGATCGGAGGCGCAAGAATGCCGCCCAGAAGCCCCGAGGAGGTGCACACAAAAAGGCGAGAGCGAGAGAGACAAATTTGAATAGAAATCTTCCGCATTTCGAGGGGGCCTTCGAAAGCCTTCACTCGCGTACACTTGTTGGTACTTGTGGTCCATTAATTTTTGGGAAGTTGAAACAGGTTTTAATCGCCTTTTCCACGTTCATGACTGCACAAATAACTTTTATATCATTTATTTATACAGCGACAGAGAGATCTCTGGCGCGGCGGAGCAAAAAAATACCCGTAAAAATGTGGGCACATCACTTGGAGAGAAAGTACAAGGAATGCCTCACATCGTCATCTCGGCGATAATTTATCATCCTGAGCGGCTTCTTTCCCATCCTCAGCGCGAGGAATCCTCGTTTTTTTTTCTTCTGCCCAACGGACAGCGAGAGAGAGAGAGGTCTTGGTCGATTGCTTTGAAATAAATCCACAAGTCACGAATGCCAATAGCCTGAACCACTTTTTTCGTTGCAACAATGAACTGTGTGTTGAGACTTGTGTTGAAATTCACCCGAGAAATTCATCTCAGTGAATCTCCCCAGTCGTCTCGATGGTATAAAGAATAAAGTAAAATATATTGCCACATACTAGAATGTTGGCTGCAAGACACCCACGAGAAATCCCGTTTAAAACTGTCACTCCGTCTAATTAGAACTTTGGCACAGACACATAGCACCTTTGCGTGGTTCTACTGCGCGCTCAAGAATGTCTATTTCACCCACTGTTTGTCACCCACTGTATCGCCACCTGGCTGTGAATGAGTTGCCTTTCCTCAATGAGCCACTGTCCACGGTGTTTCGCGCACAAGAACTCACAGCGAACCACCTCACGGGAAGGTTTCACTCTGACTGATCCTCACCTTCTTACCTCACACTTGAGCCGCCGAGGAAAACGCGCGCGCGCGAGAGAGAGAGAGAAATTCAGTGAGAAGGTGGTTTCTCAGTGTTCGCCGAAGAATTTCTTGTATTACACTGGCGTTCAAATACATTCCATCATCTCTGCGAGCATTCACAATCTCTGTTCCGTCGTACACAGTTGTTCGACACTGTATTGGCGAGAGGATTTGAAAATTTCCCGGGAGAAACAGGTAATTCGGCCCGAGCCATAGATTTTCTTGTAGACCTCGCCAGGTTCGTTGTTTGAGCGTTGATGTCTTTTGTTTCTCACTCCATCTCTGCGACATTTAAATCACCTCCAATTGAGTTGATTTGAATGTTGCGCTGAAAATAGCACTGGTTTGATGATTGATTTATTGCATGATGATGGAGTGAAAGAGATGTTATTTTGAGAAAATTATCCAATTAGGCGTTTAGTAGTGCGCCAAAGTCGGCAGTCCAGCGACAGTGTGTGTTTGCTAAAAGTGAAAGGTGATTTCGATAGCGTGTGTACATATCTGTCCCACCACCAGTCTTGTCACCACAATTCATAAAATTGGCCTAAATGAGTCTCTCCCATGCGATTAGTGACGAAGAAAAGAAGCATGTCAGGTGGAATAAAAGCGACTAAGAAAATTAGTCGTTAATTGAAAATTTTATTTTTAACTACGGCATGTTTTCATCTCTTTACAATGCTATATAGTACATTAATCCCTGAGGAGGAAACATACTAAGAGTTTTCACTACATGGTAATATTATGACTTCCAGTAACTCGTTATTAATACTTTTGTTGTCTCAAAAAATGTGACTACTTAGGAAATATAATGTCTATTTACAGGAAAAATACCAAAGTTGTAATAAGGGTTGGGAAATTTGATTGTATGTGACTCGCCTTATCAACTTATCAATGGTGTTTAGAAATGTCTTGAAGAAGTTTTCTGCTCTCGCCTATGACTGCTAAATTCGTATGAGGAACTGTTAATTGTAAATCCAACTACTTAAATGCCTTGTTTTTTTTGGGGAATTGCAGCAATTCTATATTTACATAAAACACTATTATACTCTGTCTACGGAAACAGATATCTCCCACTGGATCTATCATTTTATTCCATCCTCAACTCTCGACACTATCTCCACGTTAAAAGTTTATAATTTAAAATAGTGATTGGGTGATAAATTTGTTATCTTCTGTTGCATCTACTTAAGTTAACAGCTGTTCCCCGGGTGAGGAACAATAGGGCAAATAAAACACAAAATAACATTAGACTAGCTTGAAATCGACTCAAGGTCCTCCACTTCACCCCACGCGGAAGCCACTCATGTCCGGCGCGGTGCGTTTCAGCGGGAGGGCACTGTTAAACTGAGCACTCAATTTGATTCTCTGCTATTCTCACTGCTGCCCGGTAGGTTTGTGTCACTGGTGGCGGAGGCTGCTGTACCGGTTGGGCTTTGGCTGAGCGGTTCTGCTGGGACTAGACCTTCTTTGATTCGCTTCTTCTGCTTCATTCGACGGTTTTGAAACCAGATTTTCACCTATGAAAATGACACGATTCATTGAGAGTCGCATTGAGTGGCGAAATGGGGGAATTTTTACTTGGGTCTCATTGAGTTGCAGAGCGTTGGCTATCTCAATCCTTCGCGCTCTCGTGAGGTACTTGTTGAAGTGGAACTCCTTCTCCAGCTCCGTCAGCTGCTTATTCGTGAAGTTTGTCCTTCCTGTGTTGTTGTTGTTGTTCATCAACAGCGGGTTGGTACCTTGAGAGCCGGCTGTGAGGCCTGTGGTGAGAAAGAAAAGTGTTGTGTTATCACAATCTTGTGGATATTGCACTGGTGTGATCTCACTTAGTCCTGCCAGTCCTGATATTCCTCTGCAAGGATCCAGTGTTTGAGCAGGATGATTGCTGTATTCCTGCATTGGTGGCGTCAATTTGGGGGCTGCAAATAGGGCAAGAAGTGGAATTTTAATCTTCCCATCAGACAATTTACTGATCACAGATCGCACGATAAGTGAATTTCTTTTGCAATTTCAACCATGAGCAGTCCCTAAAAGCGATAGGTGACACTTTTCCAGTGCTGGAAGATACGCATTGAAATATCAATCAGGAATTTTTCAGTAGCTCATCCATCATTTTCTCACACACGCTTGGCCGCGATGCAGTACAAATAAATCGATTAAATCAAATTACAATCGAACATTTTTCTGGTGTTCGATGCCCAGCAAAAAAGAGCCAAGTGAGCTTAATAGATCGCTACCGGTCAGATTTGGTGTGTTTGTCCACTCTTTTTTCGACGTCCACACCACGCATGCAATAAATCACTTGGAGAATTAATTAAATTGAAGATGTCTGTCAATTCTCACCTGAAGGTGATTGTCTCCTTTCTTCCAAATGAACTATATAATTAGATACTCCTCGAGTATCAGGTTGTGTGACTTTTTGGGACAGTATATAGAGCGTGGTATTTAGAGCAACAAATTTCCCTTTTTCCTCAAAACATTTCTGCTCAACGTTCTGGTGCTTCACTATAGGAGAAGGTGGAAAAGTCTTTTTCTGAATGCGAGGGTGGGTTTGGAAAAAAAAAATTATCGCTCCACAGTCAGGAAGGGAAGAAATTAATACTCGCAACAAAATCAATATGCTTTCGTGCGAGAACAGTTTTTCGTAATGTTTTTCTGTACACGTCAGTCAAAATTAGAGATAAAATCATCATCAGGAGCTTTAAATTCATGACGGGGCTCGTTTTTCTCTTGTGGGGGTGAAAATGTCGCTCATCGCAAATTTTCCTGGCAGGTATTTTTCCTCTCTCCAGCCATGTTATGCCATCAGGAGGGCGATAATACTTAAGGAATTTCTGGGTGAGAGCGCGCGCATATGAAATATGACAAATATTTCCATATGAACTCCTCGAACTCTTCACACGAGTGAGCAAATAAAATCATAGAGGAGAGATATCAATATTTTATCTGTATAGGTTTCTGTGTGGATTCCCAAAAAAAGGTTTCCCCTCATGGGCAGCTCAGTGGTATATTGACAAGGAGTTCTTGACACTTTACACATGTTAAAATTGTCAACAATTTCACTATTTCCGCGTGTGAATGTGGAAAATCGAGGTCTCTTCCCAATCCATAACGCGAGAGCATTATTTGTGTAAACAACGTCGTTTCCAGTAGCTGTTTTCCTTATCACGAAAATTGTTTATACGTTGTCCCTGATAAGGCTTTCATTTCTTGAAGTGATTCTTCCAATACACTCAGACAAAATTGCCAACAAACGCGAGGATTCTCCTGGAATTATCTCTGGGCTAATTGGAGAGGAGTGATTGAGTATTTTTTTGGGGAAGGAAAATCATGGTCTGAGGGTGATATCAATCAGTTCCGGTCGCTTGCTTCCGTTCAAGCACTTCGAGGTGTCTATAGGCAAATTAACCAGAGCCACATTATCGACTTCAACAACTTGTTACTCTTTCCACCCACATCGGGGCCTCATTCATCACGGGACTTATGAATTTATCTATCAAAATCAATTTAAACGGTCATTAAGCACCTCTCAGCTACTTCAATTGCCTCTCGAGCTCGTCGATGGCACTCATCAATTAGTCAGAGATGAAATATTCCCTCGCTTTTTTTCGGCTTTGGCTGAGTAAAATCAAAATGCACTTTTTTGTGGTGGTTCAGCACCCTCTCGTGCAGTGGGAGAGTTAATAAATAATTTGGAGCTCTGATTATGGCATTCCATTGTGACAGCAGACATGAGATTCGGCGCCAGTGTTATCAGTGACGCGTTTGTCGAAATGGATCATTCGATTTTGATGGTTTACAAACACGGAAAAAGGTGAAAATGTCGAGAGGGTGCAGAGAAATCCCATTTTGAGGCCGTGCATGGGAATTAATAGAGTCATGTCTGATGTCATCCTGACGAGATTTTACCCTCAGACAGATGGTCAAGATGGACAGGCCGAAAAGGGTTCATATACTCAATATTGAGGAATATTGTGTGGGAGGACGTCACTTAATTACTACACTGAAATTAATACTGGAAGCATGTGCGTAAGAATACTTTAGAGAGAGAGAGCATCTTATGAGCGAATATTTCATTTGAATTCCCCTCTGAAAGATTGATTTCTAAGCCATGATTCTTGGCTCTCGTGGCGAATGATGACGCGAGCGAGATGAAAGAGCGTGCCAGAAGCATATTGACCAATGTTTGATTGATTTCCCAATGAGGGTCTTCACGGGAGTTTCCTCGAATTTGACCCGCCGATGATGTTTCGAAACATTTCTCTTTGCTCACGCACAAGCAGCTACTTCAATGGTCAATTAATTAAATTGTTTTCTTGCAAAATTGCTCACACGTTAGGCTCGATTGAGCGCAATACATTTTACACACTGTGCATCGCATAGGGAAAGAGAGATGTTATTTTGGTGTGAGATCTCATGATATACAAAAAGGGGCAAAAAACTGCGATGTCTATCGCGTCTGTCAAGATTCATTTTGTGCCATGTCTAACTCATAAATCAAATGTTCAAACAACTTTTTCCACCGCAGACACCATCCAATTGTGGCCAATGCGGTGTCTCATAACACCGATCAACATGAGTAATGCAAATTTTTCCCTTGCTCCGTCTGTGCACCATCGTCGGGATTTGAGGCAGAATCGTGACGGCTACTGGGAAGCTTCGATGCCTCCCTGGCTGGCGTGTCTGAGACGGATGGCCGAGATGGTAATCGCGAGATTGCCTCAAGTGCAGCTCACACGATAGCTTCCAATTGATTGATAAGGAAATTCTTGAGCCGTGATGTCTCTTTTATGGCCCCTCGAGTGTCTATCTCCGGACTCGTCTCTTCTCCAGCCTTATCTTGAGTGCTTCCATTCGCCCGAGAGTCACGTGCTTCCTCGGCCAGATATCCAAATTCTGCTCAAGATCGAACCTCGTTGTGCAACTTCCTAGTGTGACAATGGCCCCAAAATTAACTCTAAACAATATCGCGATTACGGACGGATTAAGTGCAAGATTAAGTGCTAAGTCAGTCGCGCAGCGTAGTAAAATCCACCTGAGGTAATTGGCGATAGTAGTGCTGCAATCACCACTGTGAAATTGGGAAAATCCGAAACTCTATCTCCACGCCTTTTTTAGCCCAACAGTCTTATCAAAAGATGAGTGATATCTGTAGAAAACTGATAGAAGAAAGTGACTTATTCACGTTTTCAATCCTATTCTTCTCTGGCTCCACCAATTGGGGGATTTGCTTAGCTGATGAGATTAGGATAAGTGCGACGGATGGGAATTATCAATGAAAAATAAAAAGTCCAATGAGTCGCAATGACCTCATACATTTTTATATGGAATCATTACACACAATTGAGAATGCTGAGAATTTTTTTGCACACTCATAATGTCTGTCTAAACAATTTGTTAAACGATTTGTTCACCTCAAGACGAAGAGAATAATTCATGAAGAGTCTGTCATCGCGCGAAAAGTCTAAAGTCTCTGGGATGTCTTTCGGACACAGGCGCCTCTGGAAAGCCTCTTTAAGAAGACAAATTGCCTTCGTGACGCCTTGGGATGACACTTTCAATGGTCGACAACAAATTTGCCACCACTTTTGGCGGCTGAACAACCCTTTATATTGATTCGCCTTCACCCGCATCGCAAGCGCTCCTCCCACGAGCGAAGATGCCATCCAGTTTAGTGGTACAAATAACTAATTTGACAGTGCTAATTAATGGATGGGGCCCGCAGTGACACAGGAGGAAATGAATTGGGGCGGAGGACTAATGTGGAACTGTGGGATAATCTAAATTTAGTTTGTGTGTTTCATTTTATCCAATTACAATTCATTTAACCAGACAGGCATCGTTACAACTTCTGCAGAAACTTGAAGTGATGTTTTTTTATTTGTGGCCAGTAAAATTTCTGGCCAGTGCCCAAAGTCCAAGAAGTGGCTGCGAGGCATGAAATATGTGTGAAGATTCCCAAAATATTACCAGCAATAATTCCGCGTGAATTAGGCGATAAGGAGCGGCGATAAGGCACTCAAAGGTCATCGGATGATGATTGTTGTGGGCGATATTGCGAACAGTGGGTATACATATCATATCATTTCAGTCCATCGGGCTCTGTGAAGGGTATTAAGTGAGTCTTTCTGCTGATCATAAAGCAGTCATTTGTAATCCCGTCTTATTTCCTTTAAACTCGTGGGCCTGTTCGACAAACACACCTTCCAATCTCACTAAATCCCGAGAAGAGGCTCAAGACACCGTCCACCATTCCTTCGAGCCCCTATCTCTGGAAAATTCCCTCACACCACCCATTATTTGAATTTTTCCGTGCATCTCGATAAGGGTCTCGAGATTTCTCAATCAACACGTGATACCGCTCATGTTGGCGGCGCGGCTTCTTCCAGCGGCAAAAGACGGCAAAACATCATCTATCAGGTAGAATAAAGAATTACCAATCAATTTGTCAATCTCGTGCTATTTTCCACACTCGTCGAGATCACAAATTCACCTTTTGGCACGTGAGTTATTTATGGTTGGGCGAATGAATTTATCAGAAATTGGCCAAAAATTGCCATTCAATCGCGACAATATTGTAAGTTTCACAACTCATTGCGCTATGGTCAACGTGAGTGAGAGCAAATTGTACTCACAATATTGACTCAGAGTCCAGGGAGGAACCCATTAAAATCGAATCAAGAAATCGAGCAATTTGATGGAAAACCACCGCGACAAAATGTTATCTATATTCATTCTCTTCTCGCTCGTGTTATCAATTTCATGGGTGTTATCGCGACCCTCAGTAAATTATTTTGGCTACTGGTTTTCTCATGCTTGTTTCGCAATCTTAAAAAAGTCGATTCAGGTGAAAAGGTGTGAGCCAGGAAGTATGTGTGTTCGTGTATGACTTGGAGTCTTTGGAAGAGAAGCAGGAAAATTATGATGTAATTTGGTAAAAATTGCATTGACTCTCTTCTCGCTTTCATGGATTCTTTTATTTTTTACCATCAGTCTCTGTTTTTCATGTCAACAGCCAGAATATATTCCTAATCGCTCCGCCCTTTGACGATGTTCTCGTAACGCACACCCGAAAGTCCCTCTTGAACAATGCCCAAATCCCCTTCTTTCCGATTGCATCCTAAGGGGGAAGCCTTCATCTCGCTGTGGCTCTCCATCTGCGCACCAATTCAATGGCATTCTTAATTCGGGTAATACAGAATGACAACTTGACGGATCACCGAGTTTTTTTCCCCTCTTTGCTCTCATTTTTCCATCCACGGGAATATTTTTATTGTGTATATGACGAAGGAACGCCATTGGAGGGTTGAAATAGCCGCCTTTCAGAGATGCCCAGGCTCGAAAAGCTCACACGTCTCTCTCTCTGTGCGGCAGAAGCGAGCAAAATCCGCACATGATGAGAAAAATTTTCCACACTATGGCAAGGATGAAGAAAAATTTCACACGCGTCAGTCAAAAATTTTCAATTACCAAATTGCCTTCAAGAGCCCCCTCGGCGGGCGGGATAAAGGGGTGGCGTGAGCAAATGTTTTCCATCCTCCTGACACTGTGGTGTTTATTTTTCCATATAATCAAATTGGTATGGAGAGCTTTTTGCGGGGGTGTTAGAGAGGAAAATTGGAAGGAACCTAATGGAATTCCACTCCAGAATTTTATCGTGCCAAGGAAATGACGCCAATTTCTTTCTACGTCGTTCGCCTTTCTGTGTCAATATGTATTTCGCTGAGAGAAATTTCGATGGTTTTCCCCTTATCTTCACTGGCCATTCGCACGAAAGACCTTCTCCGTCAATTCGTGGTTCATATTTACTCTCACCTCCCCCACCCGAAGGGGTGTGCAGGCTCTGAGGTCCGTCACTCGCGATCTCAGGCCGAAAAAGCCAGCAGAAGTCACTCCTTCTGGACTGCCAGCGAGAATGACTTGCATCAAAGGGGACATTCCCTGACGAGATTTTCCGCAATAAATTAATTAACGACATTTATCGAATTACAAGAGGTGGAATTTCGTTTTTTACCCACTCACGCACTCATGTTGTACGTGAAAATTGGCCCAACTTGCTAATAATGTGCTTAAAGTAGTGGAATATTTCAGTGGCATTCTTTATGGTTCCCCACATTTACGTGTTGGACAGCACTTTTTTCGTGTAGTCCCTCCAACTATCGTCGTCACGATATTGAATATTGTGCTCTTTTGCCCTCAAACACGCGACACTCAGCAAACAAGCCACCCAAAACTCGGTGTCCCGTTGCCCACACAGGGTAATTAATCCATTCATCAATGGGGTAATTGATTCAAATGATATGCAGTGAAACCTCGACGCTCAATTTCTATAAGAAAGTTCCGAAATAAATCGACAAATTGGTGTATATATTCTCCCCAATTGTCGCTAAATAATCAATGAAACTGATCAGCTATCAAGCTCCGAAAATAATTTAGCTCTGTTTTATTGTCCTCTAATATATGCACGGATATACATTTCTCGTGGAATTAGTCAGGCTAAATGGGTATATTTCAATCTTAACCACATTATTCCACCGAGGGGTATATAACGCAGTTCTGAAGCTCTCTTTTATCAATATTGCTTACTTTTCATATTTAAAATATATATGGTTCGATAGTGAGTTTTTCTAGATCCGCTGACTGCCCTGTGTTTATCCCATAAACATAGTATTTAATTACCAAACGGCTATCGTGTGAGTAAATCGCATAAAAGAGAGATGAGGGTGATTTGGGGGCAAAAAATAGTCAAGAAAGCGTCACCAATTGATATTTCTGTCCAATAACTCTCTGAAATCTCAATTAGAACCACAAATAGAGTTGCGATGAATGGAAATTTGTTTCTTGTTGGTCACTTTTTAGATATGGATTAATATGAGAGGCTTTTAATGCATTAATAATGTATCGATAGTGAGACAGGATGTGTGGGACGTACACTTTGTTTTATTGGGGCTCATGTTGACAAATTCTCAAATAGACAACTTCTTGTCTCGCTGTGACTCTTTATGGGGATCTCTCGGCGCGACTAGTCGAGAGTCAGCGAAGCGAGATGCCTTCGAGACCGAGAGCAGATGTAAGTCCGCATATGAATTTTTGACCTGAGGAAACGAGATCGGTAGTTGTTGAATTAATTACCGAAATATCGCGCCACAGACAAAAGACAGGGAGGAACGATGAGATGCCGAGATTAGCTGTTGAGATGCGATGATGGGCATCATGGTGAGGAATTTAATTGTCTGGGCCCAGAGCCAATTTCTCCGAGTGTGGGAACCGAGTGGCGAGTGCAACTTTAAACGCTAATGCAATGATTTTAAGGGATTCAATACGGGAGTCCCTTCAGAGTAAATATATCAATTTTCCGTGTGCGGTTGCATAATATTTACACTTCACTCTCGCGCTGCTGATTCATGATTGCACAGAACAAGAAGAGCCTCAGACTTTGTGGTTTGTCGTTTGCCAAATGAAGCCCACAATTGGTGAAAATGCTCCAGCGTCTCAATGCATTTTCCACGATTCAATGAACGAGTGAAATTATTTGGACGTATTGAGGAAGATGCCACAGTGATTCTTGGTCTCGCTGGATGAACAAATAAAAAAAAAACGTCTCACTCATCAGATCGAATTTCTCATTCTTCGATTTGTGTCTTTGCCACCAAAAATTGTCTCCGATCGACAGACCCAATTTTGGGATGATGAACTCGCCTGATGGGAGAATTCACGACAATTTTTCAGATTCATGAAGACTTCAAGGTGATTTCAGAACGGTAGAGAATTGACCCATCTCTTCACCAATTCATTGATCAGAGATGAAACTTAGGAATTTATGTTTTTTTTGTGACGTGTGCATAAACAAACTTGAAACTGATCCGTGTTTCTCTCTCGGCCGGATCAATTTTAACCATCGATCGAGGGTGGAGAAAAGCCACTCATGCCCTGGGCGAGAGCGTGTGTTTGTCAAAAAAGTGAAATGAGACATTTTGAGGGTTGCGTGAGTGTCAAATGTTCAAGAATCACCCCCTTTTTTGCGCTACGGTAACATTGAGAAAAGGGTAGCCACTCTAGAGTGTCGTGTAATTTACATTCGGATTATGGTTTTAGCATGTTTCCACTACATACATCTCCTCCGTGATTAAGCCGTTCTTCACCACTTCTCGCGAGATCGCGCGAGAGCTTCTCCTGTCGAGTCGAACATTTTCCCACTATATATATACAATGTGGAGAGTCCTAAAATTGAGGGTGGTGAGTCGTGGCTGAGGGTAGAAATGTTGTGGTATTCAAATTGGCTTAATCACCCCTCGACTGCGGGTGCGACAAAATCTCAAATCACACGAAGAAATCTACCCTCGAAGCCACCCATTGGGGGTGAAAATAAAATGTATGGTAAGTGTCCAACGTCGAGAAGGCTGACTGCGCTTATAAAAACCCTGACATTCCTATCGCAACATTGAATTTTACTTGCACGCGCGGGTGGAAAAGACACGACAGTCCTGAAGAATGCAAATGAAGTCCCAAGTAATTAATTCAATTGCATATTAATTGCCTGAGGTGTAACAATGTCTCAAGGGTTTATTTATTTACTTTTTCTCCCTCTCGCGCGGTGCAGCTTTGACAATAAAAATCACCCGCCATAGATCATCGCATCGGGACAAAAAGCACCTTTCTCGCGATGTCTGTCTTGATCTGGAAGCGGAAAGACACCGGATGACGTCAAGTGATCATCCAGGCAACATCATTCAGCATGTCAGATGTGTCGCCCTCGTCAAAAGTGCCTCCAACAGTAGACAGTGTCATGCGATCGTGTGCAAAATGTGCGCGATCTTGCACAGATCCTCAGAGGAGGCAAGGGTACGGCACGCAGGGAGCTAAAACGACACACCAAATCATCCGTCTGTCACTTATCCATGGCGTACACATCAGAAAAATTGAAGAATTGAAACATGAACGCGCCGTGCTTCTTGTCAATTAAACGCGATCATAAAGTGATATTTACGGAATTTTTTCCCAGTGCCCACAGCACGGCGCTCCGGCCGACGGAGAGGTAGATTTTGAACTTGGCGAGGCAATGAAATTTCTCAATTGAGATACACCATCGTGAGAGACATCCAGAAGCAAATGATCACACGCTGGGCCTCAATATTTCAACGATGCATTGCAGCTGGGAAAGGTTTCGGAAATATTTCCTAGGCACAGCGCATGTCTGACTGAAACATTGCTAGGCCGGCTAGGCCAGTCGCTGACGCTCACGACTCACCTTGGGGCTTTGGCACATTCCTTTTGATTTGCATCCACTTGAAGGTGGTGACGTTTTGTTGATTTTGCTGCTGCTGTTGCTGTTGCTGATGGGACGCCTGGGCATGCTGCATGTGTTGCACTGGAGGTGATCCCTGCATTCCCGAAGACGCCATGTGACCCATTTGGCCCGACGCTTGGCTTCCGCTGGAGATCTGCCCCAGCCCAAAAGGGTGGTTCACTGAATTCTCCAGATAGGAAGAGTGGTGATGATGATGGTGCCAGTTCCCACCTCCAGTCGTGCCGTGATGGCCCGTCGCTGATGGCAGCATCTCATCTCCGAGCTGGTAGTGGCTCAGGGAGACCTTCTCATCGCCACTCTGGATATAGGAGCTGGGAGTTCCTCCAGGAGTGCCGTGGTTCTGGCCGTAAATGTAGTCCAGGTTGGTGTAGCTGAGCCCATTGTCGGAGCTGATGATGTGGGAGTCCTGCAAGGGTCCGCCGCCAGGGCCTCCGTTGGTGGCCGTCGGGGGAAAGTAGGGCTGATGCTCGGTGTCGTAGAAGCCCTCGGTGGGGGAGTTGTTGGCCGTGGTGGTGATTCCGTACTCCGCCGCTGAGGGACTGTAGAGGTGCGGGTGGGATGTATAGAGATGTCCGCCGGCTGTGGACACCGCTGGGGCGCCCGAGCCCTGTCCCGAGTAGCCCGGCTCGGTCACTGAGGCCTGCTCACCAGAGCTGGCCACATTGGACTGGATGATGCTCAAGTGAGGTGGAGGGTGGTGGTGGGTGGCTTGGAAGTAGGAAGCGTAGTTGGTGGAGGTGGCATCGGGGCTCTGAAAGCCCCCGGGGTGGGTTGAGTGATTGCCATACATGCCAACGTCCATCATATTGGCAAAACGAGAAGTATCCTTGGGTCTCCTATTCGCACAGTCACTTCCTTGGACCATTCGATCACTTATTATCACTCACTCACATATGGGGGGGGGGGGGAGGTTTCACGCACGATTGGCTTACGAGGGTCACTAAAATTCTTTCCAATTGCCTCTCATGCAAAGGACACCATCGCGAAAGCGAAATCCCTAAAATTTCAACACTGCGCGACTCTTTCGTGAAGCGGACTCACAGGCCACATGATGCCATGTGCTCGACTTGCTTGACTGTTCACGTATGATAAAAATTGCGCCGTGGCCGACCACTTGAGACTGCTCTACACTCCTCTGGCCGGGGCCATCTGTCTCTCTCTGGCCCACTGAATGGGTAGAGCTTCAGTCTGACTCTGGCGGAATGGTATAGTCACGATTCAGTCACACTTATTGGGATTTGCGCTCAGAGTCGCAAAACTTGGTGCCTTATCAGTTGAGCTTGAAGTGTGACTTTAGATTTCACTGTCCAAATTTCAGAGCAGGCGCTGTTTGCAAAATTCTGTAAAATCTTGTTTTCGAGTTATTTCTTAACAGCGTTAAAGATTTCAAAAATCTTGATATGAAAAAAATCTATCTTAAATACAGGAAGAATGCTAAATTTCGAAGAATTATTACTGAAATTTTATTGGAAAATGATTCACGATTTTCCGGAATGCTTCGTCTGAGTTTAACCCTGGTTTATGGTGTTCTATTCTCATCTCGCTTTCGCTGCAGAAACCTTATGCTTTCTGGGCGGTCTTTCGGTGAGACTTGCAGGGCCAATCAGATGGCGCAGTGTTGCTGCTCATATGGATTGGATCGTAGGGAATAATTCCCAATTATCCAGGGAAGCATCTCTGAGCCATGGCACACTTTGGTGTGAGTGGCAAGGAATAGTTTCCGCGCGTGATATTTTATTATTTAATTAAATCCGTCTGGATATACTTTATTGGCATTTAATTGCTGTGGAAGATTTGTACCTTTCTTGGGTGCGAGGTGGGGTCTCTGAATGGGATTTCGCCAGTGGAATTTACTTTGGGGATAATTGATCAATGGAATTGATAATTTTTGATTAATACCTAATTCAATTGGGTGGGATCTAGGCCAGTTCGATCAAATGGGATTAGCTGAGTGGGCTAAACTTGGGCTTGGGATCAAAAATTCAATATTTTGATTTTACTAATCTTACACCATTTTTAATTATAGTCTCTAATTGGGTAGATAAAGTGATTTATTGATTTTTCCAGATTAACCAAAGCTGCGTACTAAATCATTTCACATAATCTCTTCTTTGCTTTTTTGACTTTGACTTTCTCACACAACACCTGGATGACTTAATCACGTCCCTCGGGATTTGCAATGAAGATTTCCTTGTCGCTCTGCGGAAGATGATTGAAAGGCGTCTGTGGGTGATGATTTGGAGAAGAGCAGCCTGGAATTTATAGGCATATCTTGTGTGAATCGGGATGAGTATATGTCAATGGACAAGGCATGTCGCAGAGACAGGTCATCAGGGTAATTGACAGGACATCCCAGGATATCCTTTGTGTCTCACTCCGGGATCGTCCAGCCTTCTTCTCCGGTGCTGTCACGTGAATTCTCCTGCATGACACTTTTCAAATGTGTCTCCAAAAGTTCGTCCTCAAGCGCGCTAACACACACTCTCCACCCTTCAGTCGCCTGAAACTCAGTGCGAGCTAAAGGTGACAGAGATAGTGAAGAAAAACCGACGTGAGTTGCTTATCGTGGCCCATACATGAAATTTGTAATCATTTACAGCTATCACTTATATCTTTTTCAACTAATCCCCGCGCATTAAGTGGGATTTTCGTAGTCCGATTACAGGAGAAGGTAATTTTGGTTATTTTGCGCGTCATCCGTAGGTGGTTCGTCCCTCTCTCAAATATTTATATTCAATACTATGCATATATTTGCCATGTCACACCCCAGCCAGAGAGGCCCTCATCATCTGCCAAAAAGAAGCCCAGAACAGGCTTAATCTGATTTCGCGAAGTGTCGCGCGAGAGATCACATTAAGATGTTGTGACAACATTAATTGTGACTTGGTCTATCGCGGTGAGGTGACTCTTGACGAGGAACATCCGCCTCTAAAGTTGATTAATTAAATTATAATATCCTTTCGCGCCACTTGACACACCCACACGACATCTTCAGCGCGCCACTTTTCGGCCTCGCAAAATGTGTCTCTCCAGCTCCAATAATCGCATCTTAGCCCGTCCGCGTGTCCAGCATCTCGAGGACTCTCCATCTCTGCGATGCACTTTGAGATTGAAATGCGATACCCAAAATATTGAAGACAGTCGAGCAACAAAGTCAACGATTTCAGTGGTTTTGTCCTGTCACCTCGATCAAGTGATGGATGATGACAAAATAAATTTAACTGTGCAGGATATCGTGGCAGAAGGATGATGACTAAATTACTTTCGCGTCCTGGAATTCATTACAGGAGGTTATCAGCGGTGAAATTCCGCAGAAATGGTCGATGAGAATCGAAGGGTTTCAGCAGGTTACTTTTTGTTCAGCTACAAACTGTCATACAGTTTAAAGATTCTAACCCCCTGGAATTAGGGATATTCAGCCACGATTTGAGCCCACAGTAGAAGCATTATTTATAAAACATAGTGGATTCTTATTGTGAGGCAAACTAGCGAAATTCCACGAGTCATTCTCATGAGAAGACGTGTGGGGAAGGATTAAGAAATCTCAGCATTTTTTCTCTTTATCTCCCACATGACAAAATATCTCTAGCGCTGCAGGGAGCTCCAAAATACTCACCATTGAATGTCATTCCTTGTGGTCTTGTACAGTTCTTTCTGTCTTTATGAATATGAGAGATAGAGAGCTTGTGTTATTGCTTAGAGAAATGTATGCCAAAAAGTTGATGCAGTTCATTGTCCATTCAACTTCTTTTTTGAGATGTTGGGAGTGTCTCGACGGAGGTAAAAGGTATCAATGTCTTCCTGGAAGATTGTTTACACAGTTTAGCCTCTAAATCCCATTATTGACCACACTTTAGGGATTTTACCTGCCTGAGTAATACTTTCTCAATTTCATCCTATACAAGGATTAATTCGGTGGCTCACAATTTGTCACACGCTCTTTTCATGACTCGGAGGAATTTGGGTTGAAGGTCGCGGGGGTGTTTCTTTTTTTTTATTAATTAGCACAGGTGGTAAATTTTTGGCGCTGCGTGAACATGGACTCTTTTGTACCTACTTGTGGTTATAAAATTACTTATTCCACCTTCTTGACGGCTCAATTTACCATTGACATGAATGAATTGCTCAGTGGTGGTCACTCTGGAATTATACCATTCTTTCCCGCTGTGACATTTTTCACCTGAACTGATCTCCCGTGACAGTTGCTGGGGAGTTTGGGGCGCGAAGGGGCCCTCGATGGCGCACCGATAGCATTTTGCAACAATAAATCAATCAAGAGAGTGTTCTTCCAGATTTGGCCTAGTCGTTGCTCAACAATTAATCAAACATCCACTTATTGGAGGTGATTGAGATGAACCAGGAAAACGTGAGAAGTCATTTTATAGATCTTTTCTATTTTGCAGAAAGAAATAATGGATATAAAGTAGAGTAATAGATGTCGGAGAACAGAATTAGGTGTAGAGCAAGGGTTGAAGATGTTCGTTCGATTATCAGTATTTAATATACTGCGTCGAGGCGTAGGGTAAAGTCGTGGCGTAGGCAGCAGGAGCCAGAGGAGCATAAGCTGGCGCCAAGGCTGGAGCAGTCTTGATGTACGTGGCTGGAGCATAAGCTGGGGCAAGGGCTGGGGCGTAAGCTGGAGCAAGAGCTGGAGCATAAGCTGGGGCCAGAGCTGGAGCCAAGGCTGGGGCAGTCTTGATATAGGCAGCCGAAGCATAAGCTGGGGCAGTCTTGATGTAAGCAGCAGCAGCCAGAGCTGGGGTCAATGTGGCCTTAGCGATGGCCGGAGTGGCGTATGTCTTGATGAGAGCTGGCTGGGCAGGAGCGATGGCAGCTCCAGCATATTTCACATCAGCATTAAATCCGTTGATAGGATCAGCGATGTAGTCCACGATTCTCTGTCTGCCATCGGGCTCAATAAGGCTATACTGTCCCTTGATGACGCCATTGTCCAGCGTCTCTTGTTGGTTCTTGATATCTCCTGTCAGGGCATCCTTGATGTCGTAGGCGAAGCTGTACTGAGGATTGGGATCGATGGTTTCAAACTCCTTCTTCAGTAGCAGAGGCGCGGCGGGCTTGGCCAAGAGAGCTGGCGCCAGTTGAGCCTGGGCAATCAAGGGAGCTGGCTGGATGAGAGCAGCTGGAGATTTCAGCAGAGCGGGCGCCTGGTAGATTCCGGGATAACCGTGAGCCACAGCCAAGAGAGCGAGAATAGGAACAAACTGCAAAGAAGTGACATGTCAATACAGGGAATTATAAGACAATCTTCTTCTACTCACCTTGAATGCCATTTTAACTGAATATGTTTATTGTGCAGAAGGTGCAGAAAAAGACTTGTTTAATGCTTTATTGCGAGCTGAGGCTCTTCTATATCACTTGAAGGTGTGAATACTGAATGAATTGCATTGGCGATTCCAGTGACTTTTATACAAAAGTAGAGTGGACCAAGAGTGGTTGTGGAGGGAAATTCGAGACCGCGGTGCAGGTAATATTTTATCAATATATTTCACGTTGAATAAGAGCAGCGCAGCAAAGCTCGTGGCTGATGTAATAACATTGGCTGGTGTCGTTGATGCATTTATACTGAAGACACATCGCAATCCTTCATCACGCTGCAATGACAATGAAATAAGCTCTCATGTCAGTGAAGGAAGTGTGATTGGAGAGAAGAGTTATCAATTTTTCCCGAAATTTGACTATCAATTGTAAAATTGCTGATGCAATTCCGCACTGAAATTAGTGCAAAATACCAACTGGATTGCAATATAACGCGAATTCGCGGCTTTATCCCCACACCAATGCTCTGTTTGGAGTGAGAGAGCAGTAAACTCGTCGGTTAATCCATCGCTTAAAGTTTCAATGCAGAGCTTACGCAACGGCCTATGTAATTTCGTATTTTTTCTCTTCATGTAGTTTCGCTGATTCCAAGTTCACGGTCACAATTATGCTGTGGTTGATGACAAAAGAGCTGTTTTGAGAGGATGATGAATACCAGGGATCGTCACGGTGGCGAAAATTGAATTACAGGATAGCGTTTCGGTGAGAATTCATATTTCTGCTATCTGGAATGACTTGAGTGATTTTTATTGTGCCTTTCTTGGAGTACGGAAAATTCCCAGAAGATTCCAGATGATGCCAAGAACAGAGTTGAGAAGGAAGAAAACACTCTCTACAGGTTTATTGTGGATGTGTGGCAATTTTCACTCCATAATACCCTTCTATGCTGCTGCCAACTCTGGCTGGGAGGAAACTCAATGTCTAGGGAAAGAATATAGCGTTAAATAAGACGATTGCAGAGTGTGAGTGCAGTATAGAAATGGTAATATAATCCGACTAGTGATGGCAGAAAAGTGATCAATCTAAAAATTTCACCGACAATGTCAAAATCAATGTTCAAACTCTTATTCAGTAGTTTGCTCGCTCTCGCATTTTTTCCCGTCCAATAGAAGTATGACTCTGGGCTTTGGATGTTAAATAACACTTCTTTCCCTTTATCTCTCCTCCCTGTATTTTCTTCAAATGCTTCCTGTGCGACATTTGAAAGACGCGAGCGTGTTTTTTTTTGCTCCCGCTTGATGGACGAGAAAGAGGTGCTGCGTGGAAGAAAGAGGAATTTCAGCAGAGTCGTGATATTTTAATCTAAGCTCATGCCGAGGGTGGCCTGAACCACCCTGTACCTGTCCCATTGAGACGCAGAGGAAAACCCATATGGATGCTGGACAGCTAAAGACCGATCTATCTTTCTGTCACCTACAATGCGTATGTATGCTGTCCATAAAAATATTCCTCTCGTGTAAATGTTCGGGATATTATGTTGAAAGGCATGTACTTTGCTCCGTCTTATGTACTCTCGAGAGGGTGGAAGGCTGACTAGGGGAGATTGCATGAGCTCACACTTCTTCATTTAGATTTTATTCTAACTTTTACTTTATTCTGTTATGTACATTGCTAGAGGAGAGATTCAAAATCATCAAAAGATTATACATTCCTAAATTGCTCGCTGTCGCTCAGCTAAGAAATTCTTTTCATTCGATAAAGAAAGGCATTTTCATGCACAAATCATAAAACAAAGCAAAATATTAAATGGTGCTTTTCTTTGAGAGAATAATTTTTGAACTCAACAAACTCAACATAACAATTCATTTTGCCGAAATGTTTCCCTGTGAAAAGAATTCGCGGTGAACAAATTTCTTGAGAGAAAGATATTTTGATCATAAAGTTTATCGTGGTTTTACACATCAATTGTTATTTATGTTAATTCCTTATTATATCTTCCATTTAAATACTAATTGTAAGTTTTTCTGTCATAATTTAAGTATCCTTCTTGCGCTTTATACAAATATCTTGTGAACTTTTATGCTCTTTACACATTCAATAAATTATTCGAAAATTTCTTCTCTTTTCCTATGTCCATTCTTGCTTGAGATTAGAATTGATTTTTTTTCTTCTTCTTCTTACAGGATAAGTTCTGTCCGATGATTTTGGAGGAATAGTTCTTTCCTATAAAGTACTGAATTGAACTTTATGCAAAATAATTACTTTTTTCTATTAATAGTGGACAGCAAAGCTTCCTTGACAATGTATTCCTTATCAACTGGTAGTATTGAAATATAGGGACAAGACGTATCAATTTATCTGTGAAAAGTGTCATCTTTCAGTTGAATATTGATTTTCAGAAACATTCTAGTCACTCGAACTTCCTCTTCAGCGGACATTGTGTGCAATTTACAAATTCTTCTGACACTGCTCGTGACTCCGTGGATCACGAGGGATGTCGCATCTGTGCGGTGCGTGACCCATTCACTGCGCTGCCCTGGAGAGTGACTAACTCAGCTGGTAATACTCGGGAGCGAAGTCGTTGGCGAGATTGCTGAGGAAGTTGAAATCCGACGAGCTGTTGCTGTTCTCCAGCGCCACCATGGCAGCATTGGGATTCACATTGGCGCCGCCGTGGTACTGGTGCTGTGTCTGCGCTGGCATTTGCTGCTGCATGGTTTGAGGCCCCACGAAGTTCGCCGCGTGCACGCCGTGGTGATGGGCGACGTGGCCGGCCGGTGCGGGGACTTGGTTGCCATTCGGTGTCTCGTAGTACTGCTGGAAAGTGGCGAAATTATCACAGTTGTCGGTGGATTGGATGGTGGCGCCAGCTGGCGGCGTCATGTACGCCTCCGCGGGATATTCGCCGGGCTGCTGATAGTTCATGCCCTCGTAGTAGTTGGTCTGTGTCTTGGGTTCGTAGTACGCGGACGGGTCCATCGAGGGCGCCTCGTAGTCGCCGGGGTAGCCGCCGTACTGATTGGGGGGATACTGGACGCCGCCCTCCTGGTAGTACGCCTGCCCCTGGTGGAAGTTGCCCACCTTGTGCCCGAAATCGCCCTTCATCTGGTGATAGTCCGCCTTGGGCTGGTGCACGAAGTCCACCTGATGCTGCCCCATCATCGGCTTCTGGTGGCTCGTGAACTCGATCTCGTACTTGCCGTAGTACTCGGGCTGCTGCTGCTTGTAGTAGCCGGGGAAGTAGCCGCTGGCGGGGTCCATGCTGGTGTTCTGATATCTCTGCTGGGGCCCCTTCATTTGGCCCATCTGGGCGCGAGGGTACGGCGCATTTGTGGGCGCTATCGGCGCCGCCACGCCCGCCAGAGGCGACACTTCGCTCTCGCGCCGGTACAGTTCGTAGTTTCCGAAGTAGGTGGACTGCTTCGATGTGGACACGGCCTCCTTCTTCACAATCTGCAAAGGTGGTTCAAATAGCAAAGTTGAAAACGCACCCAATATTGTTTCATAGATTTTGGAGAATGTTGTTGAATTTTTTTCATAATTCAATTCTATAGAATATTCAATGCTGAGAATTGTGATAATTGCTCAGTGTGCAATGATTTCTTGGGCAACATAAGAAATACTCGTGTGAAAGTCTTTCTGCTCTTCATAATCGCCTATCTTATCGTGCAACAACTCTGTTGCGAAACTCTGTCCAACCCTTTCTACCCTCGAATGGGACACTCACGTGATTATCGTCTTTCTTCTTCACCTTGGACGGTGCCTCGTCGTCGTCGTCGAGGCTGACACTTGACGCCACGCTGGAATCCGCACTGATGATGCTCGTGGCGTTGATACCGTTAGACACGACCCCGTTGTTGGTCGGCGTTCCGAGATCCAAGCTGCTGGAATTTGGTGTTGCTGCGAATGGAAGAAGGCCCTCATTAGGAATTAGTCACACTTCTCCGCAGACACACACTCGAGATGCCCGCGAACGGTTTTCTCTCTCTCTCGAGTCAATTGCAGGAAATCATCTGTCGTCAATTTGATGGTTGTTTTTCTGCTAAGATCTTTTGGCAGAAAAATTGAGGAGAAATATAATAGAACGAATGGTGGGATTCAGTTATTTTTGTACAATTCCAAGATGGTGGACTCTGTGTCTTTTTTCTCTGGGTTAAATAAATAAGGATTTCCCACTTGATTGTTATATCTTTTAACAGTTGCTGCGTAGCGTGAGTGTTGATAAATTTCTTGTGTCTCTCCTTGACCTTCCGCGCGCGAGAGAAGTTGATTTATTGACCACCAAACTTACCACTGTTTGAATTTTGATTATTGTTGTTGGTGGCACTTGGAGTGTTATTGTTGTGGCCACGAGAATTGGACGTGGAGTCAGGAATATCGTCGGATGGAAGTTCGCATCCTTGGCAGGATTTCTTTGAGTTTGAATCTGCAAAAGCACATCACATCTGTTTACGCCTGCTGAGGTGTCAATGTGGACAACAACTTACTACAAGGTTGACTGTCATCATCACCTTTTAAACCATCCTTGTTGGAGTCCTCGTCATCGGTCTTGGACAGCGTTTGTCGCTTGTGTTTCATCCGGCGATTCTGGAACCACACTTTCACCTGCCATGATGGAAGGGTGCAATGGTCAGGAAGGTGTGGTCTTTGTTGGGAATTTTTGCCGACTCACCTGTCTCTCCGTGAGATCCAGACTGGCGGCTATTTCGATTCGTCGAGGACGGCACAGGTATTTGTTGAAGTGGAACTCCTTCTCCAGCTCCAGCAGCTGCGTGTTGGTGTAGGCGGTCCGCAGGCGACGCGGCAGTCCATTTTCTGCGACAAATTCAGCTGTAATGTGTGAAATTTTGCATAACTCTCAAATTGATTCTTCAGCACATGTGGAATGATTAATGGATGAATGTGGAATGGATCTTCTGCCATTTATTGCACTAATCGATCGGATGCCACACATTTTCGCCTCAGTGCGGCAAAATTGATGGGTGAGAACCCCTTCGAGTGGAAGAGAGAGAAACTATTTAGCACTCTGAGTGGGTGTTGTGATATCATTGAGGCACTTCCTCACATCAGGAGTACCTCTAATTCATGCTAGAAACCGAAAGTTTCAATTTTCCGGGAAATTTTGGTTGAAACTATGAAGTTTTCAACAACTTCGGGCCACTCTAGAGGTCAATCTCTCGGTTTGATGCGCCTTTTCCTTTCTGGCTTGCCTCTAATTTCGCTCAAGAGTAGTCAGTACTGAAATATTGCACCAATTCTCGTGAAATTTGCAAATCCGCAGGCAATTGCACAGCATATGGAGAGCAATACAAGGGGAGGATGTGCCATAAGTTACCGGGTGGCGTGGATGAGGAACCTGGGACCTTATCGGGAGCACCCGGCGGAGCATCCCGGCAAACTATCGGGCGACGAGAACTGGTGATGACACCCTCTCCTTTGTGTTCGTCAAATCGGAAATTTCATACGAGAGGGAGTCTCATTTGAATGCCGTGATCGTGGCAAGACGCGCTGACGGAAAAGCATCCCCGATAGGACAGACGCTCTTCGGGTGCGCGAGATAAATCCCACCAGGAAGAACAGCAAAGCCCGGAATACAGCACAATCGGCAATGTTGCGGAATCATCTCGCCCGGAGATTCATCTTGAATTGTGTGGCGCATGAATTATGACAATTTTCTCACTCTCATCGTCGTCAATCTTCCATCCCTGCGAGCGAGGAAATTGTATCGTGAGTTCAAGGGTGACACATTCGAGGTGAGTTCGTGTACAATATATGTATGTATTGAAAATATGCTCTTCTCGCGCGGAGATTCTTTTTGCCGGAGCGCGTCTCACACGAGCCGTGGGTTAGAGTTGATGTAATTAATATTGTAAGAAAGTAAAAACATGTCAATTTGTTAGCATGTCAACCTCCACTAATTACACGCAACAGTCCCACAAGTTGGAGTCTGTGTGGTTGGGAGGATTCGCCACCCCGCATGATATTTCACTGATTCCCCGCGCGTTTTGACCGTGATAATTCTGCGAATAGACAAAATGGTAATTGTCTCCGGAATTAGTGTAACATCGCGCGTTATTTGCTATGTTACTAATTCTGGGTAAAACAATTATTGGTACATAAATTATCTGCATCATCGCATCACTTGATCCTAGGTTAAAATGTTTCACATTATGTGAGTGTCCAAAACGAGAAGAGATGGGCTAAAAATACGCACAAGATCTGAGAGGATGTTTCACAATGGAAGCGACAAGGAGGGTGAGGCAGGAGTCCCTACAGTTTACCACTTGTGCCAATGATGAGCTCAATTATCTCTCATCATTGACTGCCTCCAAAATAGATATGAAAATGTTCGCTGCGTGCGCCAAGACAGATCCAATGAAAAAGCCATCCGGCTCCACTGAGTGCGGACGGACGCGAAACTCCTCGGGAATGCGTGTCACGAGAGAGTGAAATGTGACATCCAAGTTGAGGAAATTACTGAAAGACAACTCTGGGACAGCCACAACTTTTTTTGTCGCGTCCATCCAACTTGTTCGTCTTTTCGGGCACTTTTTTGTCACCCAAAACACTCCTGATGGTCCCACAGAGATGTGTTCTAAACGGGCAACAGTCAAGTCGAGAGAGAGAGAGAGGGAGAGAGAGTGAGGAAATTTAGGGGAGGGAAAAGTTTGAGCATGTATGAGGACAAATGATTGATTTCTTCTTTTCCTGCTTCACACGCAATTTTTTCTCTCTCTCTCTGGATGCTTTTTCAGGCCCATTTCTGGGTCAACAAAAAAGTGGTTTTTCACACACCCCAAAAACAGCAGAGATGGAAATCCCTCGCACTAATTTCTGCCCTCGACCACGGGGGAAAATCCTCGGAGGGTGGCTGGAGTATTTACAGCCATGGCGAGAGCCTCCCCGAGCCGCACAAAATGTATTAAAGGGAAAATATGCAAATGGGCGCAATCAAAATCGCATTTGAAGAAAGTCAGAGCGGTGAGTGGTTTTGCCCAAAGTATAAATCTCGGATGTGCGCTTTTTAATGCATATCAATTTACTGGAGTGCGCGCATTCCCAGCCACCCCTCAAGAAGTCACCACGCACTGTCGCGAGTAAATCCACCGTGGCGAATAAGATTAAGTTCACAGCCTCATAACAATTAAAAACACTAAATATTGCCGCCAATTTGCCCCCGCAATGTGGGTGAATTTAATTAATTAAAAGATGTCTCTTGCTCTGCAACAAGGCGAATGATATTCGCCGCTTTCGTACAATCGTCCGCGGCAGCATTATGGACAATTTACAAGATGTGGTTAAATGTTTACAACAAAACACAAATTATGCATTGAGGAAGCAATTAGACCACTTCGTGCTCAACTAACTGTCGATACTCAATCAGTGGAGGTGATTGAAATTGCAAATTGAGGTAATTTGCCTGACACAGTCATAAACTATTTCAATTCTAGCTGTAATTGAGTGATTTGTTTCACAGGTAAGGAAACATGAAGCTTCTCAAGAGACATGCTGATGAAATAGGAAATGGGTGGTTTGATTTTTCAAGGATTGTGTATGTGTGTATATTCTATCATTTGTTAGAACACAAATTGCAAAGTTCGATTCGAAGGTAGAATATCAGTGAGTTCTATTTACCTTGAACTATCTGTATATGTAGTTTAGAATTTCGACAACTAGTTTCTTCACTTCTACCTCTTGTCCAATGCTAATTGGCAAGTATTCTGGCTACTGAAAGCGCTTCAGAGTTCAAAAGAGCGTCTGATTTGGCTGGGATTCGTGGGAATTTCTGCATTTTCGCCCGTATTGATCTATTGAGATTGATTCTATTGTTGGCTGTGAAACAAGAAAGATGACTAAATAATAATGATTAACCATCATTGTGACCTCTTCAAGTGGCTTAACATTGCGGTTTGGTGTTCATCAGTCTTCTTCTTCATGCGCTCTCTGAAGTCAGTGAAAACGGAACTTACCACCTTTAGCGGCTTAGAGGCTTTTTTCGGGTGTTTGGAACTATTATTGTTTGGTCCGCCAGAGGAAAAAGAGTGGAGAGAAATTGAAAAATGATCGGACGAGGGCTTTTTTGCCCGTCTCTGGGTGTCTATTGAGGTTCTGACGGAGGAATCCTCCACTATTTATATCCTCGGCAGCCTTTTCTCTGCCATCAACAGCACTCTCGGTATTAATTTGTTTATTTTCTCATGTGCCATCGAAAAGACTCTCAATGGGGGGAATAATAGAAAAATCAGAAAGCCGAAGGCCGATCGCATGAACCCATTCAAATGGGATTACCGCGATAATTAATGATTTTTTCGGGGCCTCCATTCAATCTCGTTACAGGTGGTTGTGTACTCTGGAGCTGAATATGGTTCATGAGCCATACACTCTCTTCATCTTACCATGTTCAATTTCAAAGCTACTCAAGAGAGACGGTTGCCTCTAAGGTCTCTCGTCATTCTACAAAATATGACGTTCTGTGACGACTTTCATCTGATGAAATTTCCCTCTGTGCGCGTTTTTTTTGGGGGGGTGGAGGAAGAAAAATTATATTTGAAACGCTGTGCTGAGGGTGGAGAAGCAGCCAAGAAACATACACAATTAATTTATCAGAATTACACTCATTCTAGCGTATGAATAAATCTGCATTTCTGTATAACTTTCAAAAAATGCCAACCCATAGAAGCTGTGGCGTATTCTTGTGAGGCGAAAAGGGACGACGAAGGAATCAACTTGTATATTTTTCCAGACACCCAAACCATTGAGGGGCAACTTTCAATGTGAAATACAAGCACAAGAGGGCAGAGGAAAAATATCTCTGTGTGGAAATGTTTAAAAATCTCCCGAAAAAAAACCATTTAAATGATTAATGATGTTTTTCCCAAGCAGCATTTTTACACACACCGACCATTTTATATTATTCAAATATGAAATGTTTTATTTTTCTATAATATGACAAATGTTAAAATGTGTCGACGACAGGTCCTTTAGCGAAAGGAAAAATATTCCATGCTAGGAGAATAATGAATTGCGTCACAGTTCTCATCCACCGCGGGGAGGGTGTTTCCGAGGGCCACCCTCTCGATGATTATTTGCCGGCCAACAGAGGTGGCGAGACAATAAAAATGCTCTCGAGACTGAGATTTTTTCCTATCAATCATCCCGCAGGAATCTCAAGTTTTCACCCAGAAGCTCAGTGGTGGATTGCTGCTGAAGAAAGGAAAATGCAAAATTATTTAAATGTGACCTTTTTGCAACTTTTTATGCTCTGATCCCAAGTTGGACGTCCAACATGGGCTTGTGCGAGGCTGTTGAGTTGTGTACTGCGGGGAAAATATCTATTCTCTCAGATCGGTCTGTCAGACGTTCGTTTTTTTTTTTTCAAACTCATATACTATATATAATTTTAGTATGTGAAGAGCAGAAGAACAAGCAAAAGAGAATAACTGAAAATGCATATCTTGGTGGTCTAATTGAATAAAATTGAGCTTGTTTCTCAGAATAATTGCTTAGATAGGCATCAAAGATTATCTCAGTGTTGAATCGTGGGTCGTTTGCACTGAAGGAGGAAACAAAATAAGCATAGAATTGCATAGAGAATTCAGGTGATGTTGTACAGAGACAATTTGTGTGGTTAACCGCGCTGAATATTTCTCTCAGTGATGCTGTGTGTGATAGTCTGAATGGCGCTCCTCGAAAAGGGTGAATCTGTCAATCAAATCCCTTCCAGCCATTCCTGGCATCCACCCCATAGGAAAATGCCTCAAAAACGGATCACGAAGAAGCCCTTTTTCTTGCTGTCTCCTCAACTCGGAATGGGTGCGGATTTTCTCATG